AAGGAAACCCTGCTGAGGAACCAATGAGCTTTTTTTTTTGCTATACCACTCTCCTTGATCTGTGCAAACAATTAATACCTCACTCAGGCAGGAGGAGGAGGAGGGGGGAGGCATGCACAAATCCCCAGGTGCTTAGCAGAGCTCCAGCCTCCCTCCTCAGCCATGTTAGAGGTAGAAAAAATGTCACAAAGGGATACAGCCCATGGAGACACTGAGGGATGATGTATGACTCCCTGTACATTAATTCAATGAAGGAACAGCGTTCAGTCCATAAATCTAATCAGCGGCACACATCACTAATGTCCTTTTAATGAATGTTTGGAATGCACAGCCATAAAAGTGCCATTACATCCCGCCACATCCATTTGTAGGACGGCTGTGATTGTGCAGATATGGCTGCAGCAGAATAAATGTGCTGCATGAGAGGAGGTCTGACGTGCAGAGCTGCCAGGGAGCCATTAGGATCCATGAGTGACTTCGACGAGCTGCAGATCAATGCTCCAGGGCCCTATCTATTACTGACATCCAATTATAGCAATGGACGTCCGCTTAGCACAGCTACTAAGTGCTTTAGTCTTTTTATTGACTCCCTGTCAGCAGCCTGCACAAGGCCCAGCTATTGGCTTATAACCAGCCATCCATCGATCCACATGTCAGATCAGCAGCATGTTATTGAGTGTATAAAAAGTGTGATGAGGGTGACAGTGGTCACAATAGAGAGATGTCACAAAACATGCTCGACTTGTCTCTCAGTCATCATGGAGACGTTTCCCATCATTCAGCGTGTTAATTAGAGAGCTATTTTTGTACATCTGTGATTAGTGCTGGCTTGCATTTGAAGCAATTACACCACACATTAGCTACGGGGGAGGCTGTAATTGAATAATGGCAAAGCAAATGCAGAAACAAATAACCATGATGATGCAGAGATAAACAAATAACAAGGTGGTTTAGATTGACGGAGACTGGAGTTTTGGTCTGCACATTCATAAAATCCTTGTTTTATTTTCTACCCAATCAATAAATCAATCTTTATCTTATTCACAACAAGTGTTATCTCCAGAGGTTTTTTAAAAAGCTGGTCTAGTCCTCTATTAACAAAGACCCAATGTAAAGATAGGGTCAGATTCAGACCCACTCCCATCCTATCTTCAACCAAATGAGTGAAACACTTCACAGCATTTATCAAGTTACAGTGGAGAGGAAGAACTTCCTTTAACAGGCAGAAACCTCAAGCAGAGCCAGACTGATTGGGTTTAAAGAGGAGGCAGAAGGAGATGGACAGAGGAGAGATGATCGAGGGTGTGTATGGTTGTAGAGACAGCATGTAGAAGTGTGACTTCAGTGATGCTCAGTGTCAGAGTTTTTTTGACACTGTTGATCCATCAGTGTTAGCCTAACTGTACAGAGAGGCCTCTGAGTTGGCCGAGCGGATCAAACAGACATCTGTTGTACACAGATACAAGTTGTCTAAATTCTTTCATGCAGCTCTACACGGTATTTAACTTTAAATTGATGCTGTGAACTCTTGTGCGTACAGTGAGACTTTAGTGTAGAATATTTGCTTTACAAAGCACAAGTGTTGCCTCTTAAAGATGACTGACACCTTTGTCCTCTATGTAGTGTATGTAGTCTTCAGCTTATGACCCTAAAACTGAAACCCTGAAATCCCTGTTTTTTCTGATACATCCTCTTCCCCCTCCTTCAGGCAGACAAATGACAAATGTTCATAAAAACAGTAATATAGGTGAGTCACATGCAGTCTTTTACAAAGAAACTATTTTCTTAAAGTTATCATTATTATTACTCTTTTGACATCACTTTCTGAGCTATACATGTATGTGTAAGGGTGGTTAAAAAACGGAACAAAACAGAAACCAGATTGTCAGTTGACATTCTCATTTCTTTAGCAGCTACAGAGAAAACTGTAAAACAGTCATTTCTACAGGGCAGTTTTCTGTGATTGCTCTTCATTCTAGATAATACTTTTCAGTTTTCTTATCTCAGTCCAAGTCATTCTGATGTCAAGAGGAACACCTCTGTAACCAGCAAAGTTGTCATTCATTCATTCATTCATTCATTCATTCATTCATTGACTGTTTGGATGTCAGAGGAGCAAGACTGACAGGGTTGACATCATCTCCCTCACTACTGAATTTTCCCTCGGGATAAATAAGAGTTCTTCTTATCTTATCTTATCTCACAAGGCAAACTGCTCTTTCTATGAACTTCTTGTTACATATTTTGTGATGATTTATCATAATATTAGTGTTTAATGGTGTAATTACGCACAATAAATGTTATTTTTCTCATTCATTTGGGTTGTCTTTTTTTTCCCTCTTTCAGGTGTAGAAAGCTGAACATTTTGGCTCCAGCAGAGGTACTTATCTGATATCATTTGTGAGTTAAAAAGGGAACTGTCTCGCAGTGTTAAATTTTAAAAACATTATTTGAACTCCAGAGAGTATGGAGCTATATAAACCCTGAAACAGTATTAAAGTCAACTCTGTGAGAGTCAGTTCATCACTGGACTTCATGCTGTTTCCAAAGCTAATGTGCTCTACCTTTGACCATCAAGCTGTGCAGCTCCTCTCTGTCCTGTGAAGGGAAAATGAGGACATGACTTTATGGTTTATTCACATCACTCTGACCTCGACATCTGAGGAGAAGAGATCACCTCATAAATGATATTTTATCCCGCTTGTATTTTTTTTTTATGTCTTGTGTTGAGGTTGCTTTATTTCCTGCACTGATGGATTGTAAATTTCCAACAGATAGATAGTCAGAAAGTGTTCAATTATTTCCAGACCTAAAATTTGATCAAAACCTCTTTGTTGTAGGTCTTTTATGATAAATAAAGATGTAAAAAAAAAACAACAACAGTATCATACTGTATATGTATCCAATCCAAACCTGAAAGCATTTAAAAACAACACAACAAGCCTAACTGCATGTCAGACAGAGTTGGAGTCAGTTGTCCAAAAATATTGATCATGAGGTCACATTTTTCTTCTCCCATCTCCTTAACAAACGACTAACAAAAGGTTTTCATGTAACCCCAGCCCCCCTGAGGACTATCTAGTTTGATATACTGCATAATTACATTTGATAGATGTACATCCTGTGCTGTGATACTAAATAAAGTAGTGAGAGAGGATTGATCTGTTGACAACCCCTGTTATTTCAGAAAGAGTATCAAAAAAGGGACCTTCAAAAGGGCAGTTTTAGACAAGGAAACAAAAAATTGGAGCTTGTTTACACCTGTTACAAATGGAGTCCAGATCTTGTGTTATTTTTTTTCAGGTGTGAGGAATTTGCTGACTTAAGTCCTCCTCCCATTTATTCTCTAAGCTGAATTAAAGAGCAACATTATTTTTCAGAGGGGATAATAGTCCTCCTGTGCAACACTACCTGATAAAATAAGGACTTTGTGATGTCCCTTATGTACAATGCTACTCTTATAGTGTTCTCTATCATTTATTACTTTAATAGAGGGATTCTTCTTTTTTGGTGCAAAATCACTTTTAATTGAGGGCTTCATCACCCTGTGCAATACTGCTATGTAAAAAGATCACTTTTTGGTGTTATTAATGTGCAATAGTATTTTTTATTAACATTCATTAAAATGCAGTATTACTCTGTAATGAAGGACTTTAATGTGATCACTATTCTGGACTTGTCTATGAAGGTTCTCTCAATCTAGGTTTTGGTATTTCGGGAATTCTTCTAAAATGGCAACTGGACTTCTTGGGTTAGCTTTAAGACGTTTAGCCTCTTTTCAAAAGGCTTCCTCAGTTCTAAGGGGACTGGGTCTAGAGCTGAAATATATAGCCGAGGTGACGTCACCTGTGTAAGGGGGCGTGGTCAAACATCTGAGGACGTGATAATGTTTGAACACGCCCCCGTACACCGACGATGTCACCCTAGGCTATATATTTCAGCTCTAGACCCAGTCCCCCTTAGAACTGAAGAAGTATTTTGTAGAAGAAGAGGCAAAATGTCTTTAAGATAACCCAAGAGGTCCAGTTGCCATTTTAGAATTCTCGCAATATACTGAACTTGTTAAAGGTACATGTGTACTCACAATATAACATCCATCGATATTCTACTACTTATTACCGTTAGGAATCGTGGGGGGACTGGAGCCTATCCCAGAATCTTCAGGCGGGGCAGGGGACACCCTGGACAAGTCCCCAATTTATCGCAGGGCTGACACATAGAGATGAACAACCATCCACGCTCACATTCACACCCACAGGCATTTTGAAAGTGGCCAATTAACCTAACCCCACTTAGGTATGTTTTTGGGATGTGGGAGGAAACCCGTAGTAAACCCAAACAGAGACAGGGAGAACATGCAAACTCCACACAGAAACACCCTGAGCTGGATTCAAACCTAGGATCTTCTTGCTGTGAGGCATTTGGTAATGAAAAAGTAACATGATTCAATCACCTGGAAAAAAAAAAAGTTTCTGTTAACTCAGGATGAGACTTCTGTGTCTTCATAGAAGTGAGTCCTCTTTCACAAAGACCTCCATATTGCTACAGAGGACAAGTAGTAAGACAAAATAGTAATAAATGAGAAAGTAAGCGGTAATACTGTTTCTATTGACAGACACCTTGTTGGACCCCTACATAAGAGAGAACTCTCTTAGTGAAAATGATTACGCAAGTGCAGGAAATAAAGGAAAAAAGTCTAGAGAGGGCTTTCAGGTCAGCCAGGTCACTAACTCTGCACACTGGAGCTGAACGAGGGGCAGTGGAGGCAGCAGGCGGCTGTTTGCCATTGATTAATTACAATCATTAGGCAGTAAGAAAGTCACCTCACCTGGTGTTAGGGGCGGCATTTACGGCCTGATTAAAATTAATCACAGTCAAAAAGCTGCAGGAGCCCGCGTCTCCAAGGAGCACACACGCTGCTGGAGGGGAGAGAAATAGAGTTTTATTCATGCAGCTGAAAACGCCACGCTGTAATCAAACAAAATAAACAAGGCGGCTGATGCTTTTTACTTTCATTGACTTTTATTATTCAAAAATACAGCACAAAAATACACACAAAAAAAGAAAGAAAAACTGGTTTTCACACAGTGTGCAAACCTCAAAGGAGATCTTCATACAATATTAGTACGCTGATTTCAAAGCTACTGTTAATATTGTTAGTAGTTGTTAATGCTGCCATGAGCACACAGAGGGACACCACCTCCCCCACAGCTCTGTACAGTTTGTCAGCAGGTGAAAGTCTAACTAGAGTCCTACAGGGGCCCATTCTGACAGCAAACTCCCTTCATGAACATCCCACTTGCTCCCACACACACAAAGAGGAAGTGACAGGTGTAATTTCTCTGCCTTTGCCTCCTATGTGCCTCGGTGTTAGAAAGCAGGTGCAACATCCAATCTACAGGAAGCACAAGGCTGAGATGTTTCTGCAGCTGTCACCTCCTCTTACATCCTACAACTCTCACACTAAAAAGACACACACCGCCCCTCTTCTTCTGTTTTAGATATAGATTCGCCAAGCACAGCACAGCAGAGCATCACATTTACAAACAAACATCTTCATCTTATATCATCCACTGTGTTGTGATTAGATAAGGTTACTTCAACAGGATACTTCTACATACAGCAAGTAGTATTCATGTTATTCAAAAATAAAAAGAACCACACCAATTTACTTCATTTAAATAAAGTTTAAAAAAAAAAAAACAGTAAGTCATGTTTGGAGTACAAAAACAAAGCTTTATGACAGTGATAGATGTTTGAAGCACTGAGAAGATTTGCATGAGGTGAGTGTGTGAGGGGAAAAAACCAACAGAAAACAGTCAATAATGAGTACTCATAGTTATATTGTTCTAGCGGCTGTGACGCTCTGAAAGATGCTACTGTACTGCACATAGCTCCTGCACACATGACAGGCCGCTATGAAACAACTCCGCTGGGGCTACAAGGCACAATAGAAGTTAGCAGAGTCCAGCTGTGAGGGCTGTACAGAGGTGCACTGAGGGAAGGTCTGTGTGTAAGGCAAAAAAGGAGGATAAGGCGTTGAAAAAAAAAAAAAATTAACTCAACTGGCCGACTCTGAGTGATGACACCAAACAAGATGAGGTGTAGTGGGGCTTCCAGAAACAACTGCAAACAAATAAAGACAAAAATAACCCAATAACTGTAGGGATGGGCAGACTAAACGTATATTTTGATTTCTTTCCAGATCTATGTCAAGAACAGCAAAGCCTCTGAAACAGCCCCAAATGTATGGATGGATAATAGGCAAGTAAACCTGCCTATTTATGAATCCATTAATTAGACTGCTTTAAAGCTCCTGTGAGGACTTTATTTAAACTAATGAAATGGACTAAAATTCAAGTTGACCTATTTTCATGATATTCAAAAGCAAACAAGACTGACGAATTCTATTAGGTCATTTTGATTCCTGAAACCGGTTTGAGGAGGTCAGACGAGCAGCTACAGAAACAGCCCTGATTATACAACCTGCTCCTAAAATACTAACAATAGATGACACATTTGACTGTTCAAGCCTGCTGGGCTGGATTGTTTTGTAATAGAAACCACTTCAGCATGTAGAGGACATGATAAGCAAAGACTGAAATGTCCACAAGGGGGCACCAAAGTTGATAATAATGCATCAGATTTCATAGCGCTTTATCAAAGACCCTTGAAGAGCCTAACATTGTAAACATCATTTATTCGCTAAGACAGTCACGCTCTGATGGTGGTAAACTATCGTTATACTCACAGCTGCCCTGGGGCAGACTGACGCCAACTTTCACTCATTGGACAACCGCTATACCGCGCTACGTCCCCACAGTACCTCCTGAGCTACTACCGCCCCACAAACGAATACATTTCGCTTGTTGACACAAACTAAATGTTCCTCGCAGGAGCTTTAAAGAGGTCTAACCAGATCGTAATCTATCACAGTTGTAGAAAGTCAATGATCAAACAAATTTTGGTCATTAAGATGGTTTTAAACAGCAGCAGCACATCTCGAGGGGTGTTACTAAGCTGAGAGCCTATTTCAAGGGTTTAACATCCAATTTTAGGGTTTCTGGAGTGTTTGGGCTGCTGTCATCAAAGGGGTGAAAGATAAAACAACAATGTGGAAGTGCAAACAGCCTACAGTTCCTCGAGTGTCCACTTGAGGCAGGCTCCACACATCAAGGAGACCTCATTTAAAAGCGTATTTTTACAGCAGAATTAAAAGTGTTGACAGTGTGGTAAAAACACCTCTTTTGGTCTCAAGGTCATTTCTCGATTGGTGCCAAATGTCCAGATAGTGAGTCTTGTAAAAACTCTTTTTTAGGCTAAAACAATCAAGAATGCAGCTGACTCAACTAGCAGGTGGGCACATTGAGCTGTTTACGGCCTCAGCTCCACCTCTTGTCTGGATTACTTTATTGACCCATTCACAAGATGACTGGTTTTAAGAGAATTATTTAGAAAAAAAGACTCTTTGACGAAATGGACTAATAAAATAAGAAAACTTGATGTTTCTCATCTTTAATCTGGCAGTGGAAGAATTAAAATTAAAGTCAGGTAAGGTGGGTTCAGAGAGTATCTTTCTGAGGCTTCTACATGTCTACTTCTTTGTTGATGCCTCTTGCTACATCCTTCATTTCAAAGTCCAGTTTACATGGCAGGAGCTGTGTGAGGTGTCTTGTTGACCACAGGGAGATTAATAAAGATATTGTCTCCTTGTAATGCAAATAAAGGAGCATTACACATGCTACAGATCTAAGAGGGGCACTGATATTTCAGATGATGACAAAGACTTGTTGCTCTTTTCCTAATATGGTGTTTTGGAGGGCCACATGTTGTGGTGGTCGTGGGGGTCAGGGCCTGCTGACAGTCAAACATTATCAAAGCAGACTGCTCGGTGAACCCTACTGTCCAGCTGCCCCCCTTTGTTTCTCTTCCTCTAGTACTGTGGGGGGAAGGATGAGAGTCTTTCATTGTTTCCAAAGCTCAGTCAAGGAGCAGTAATCCACCCAATCACAGGAGGAGAAGGCCTGAACCCTCCCCCTCACCACCAGCCAATCCTGACTTCTTCTACAACCAGACTGGATGATTCAAACAGCAAACAGCTCAACAGAAAACGGCTGACCTAAATTTCTCAACTCTGTCACAGGATTAATTCACTTTTGCAAGTTTTCTTCAAAGTCTGCCTCCAAAGGTTAAAAACTCTCATCTGACGGCAAATTCATGGATTACAACTCCGTCTGAAACAAGAATATGATCATCATGTTACGTAGGCTTTTAAGGACAATAACTGAGATATACAATTCCCAAACTCCCATTTTCATACACACACTTGAGTCCACGCAGCTGCAGGTCTACACAAACATGCATGCACACAGCTGCACAGCCGACCGACAGGGGCCTGGATCTGACTTGAACATACAGTAGTATCTCTACAGCACGGGCCAGCTACAGTAAAAAAGAAAAACATGCATCCATTTATGTACAATAGATTTTGTATTTTGACCACTCTGCTTATATCCACACTATTATGTTTTTCTGTGATAAAATCCTGGAAGTAAAATTTTTATTTCATTTTTTTTTCTATTTGTAATTTCATAAAAAGTGAATGTGCTCTGTTGTGATTCCAGTAAAACTCAATTTCACTTCTCAGCACCACAGCAGAGCTGGTCTTCAGAAGAAGAGAAAACTCCTGTTCTGCAAGGAATGAAGAGTTCAAGTCAGCTGAGAAAGCCTTCTTCATTTCTTTATGTCCCTCTACCCTCCTCTCATCCCTCCTCTCCTTTCTCTGTCTCCTCGGGCTAGACGATGGAGCCATCCCTGTTCTGCGCAGGGATCATGACGGGGATGCCACCCATGCGGCTGAGGTTGGGGCCGGCCACCTTGGCAGTGGTGGGTGGGGGTAAAGGGGCGTGGCTTGGTGGCCTCTCGTACTCCTCTGAAGAGGGAATCTTGTCGTACTGGGGCTTCAGGGCGTACTCGTGCAGGTTGGAAGGTGACATAGAGCCCAGGGAGGAGCGCTGGCTGCCCACAGTGAAGCTGCGAGCCGTGGAAACGCGACTCTTTGGAGGAGGGACGTCCTCTCTGAGTGGAAACAGAAACATCAGCACATTGAGCAAAATAGACATGACTGTAAACTCATTTTCATTAAATTACCTCAACGCATGGACTATCTGTTAGACAAGGAAACAGCCTCTTAATTTCTAAGTAAAGCTAATTCAGCATCAGTTTCCTCAATCTAATTTTCTCCTAATGGTCTTCAGACAGCAAAGTAATTACAACAAGGAGATATGAGATTACATGGTGCTTCAGTGAGACAAAACAAAGCGAAACAAGGCAAAAAATATACAAAAGTTCAAGTCAATAAAAACCCTCAAATCAGGGTCATCAGCCACAGGATGATCTGAGCTGCAGCTTTTACAGATGGCAGCGATTTATACTCTGCTAGGTGCTTTCGTTCCGTCGACCTTACATGAGATAAAGAGGCGGAGTTGAGGTGGGCCTTTAGCCTCCGAGTTAACAGCTGGGAGTCAGCTGTGCCTGTAATTGAAAATAATCAATAAAACTATGAAGTAGGGGTGGGAATCACCAGTGGCCCTACGATACGATATCATCAGGATACTTGGGCCATGATATGGTATTATTGCGATTTTTAACATTTTGCGATACAGTGAGTATTGCGATACAATATATTGTGATTTATAAAATTTTTTCAAGTTTTCAGCTAATTTAGCATTTGTCTTTCCTTTATGTTTGTCTTTTTAAGCAGTATTTTGTTTTCACGTAGCACATCTTGCAAACCTTATGTGTCAGGTCCATCTCATTTGTGCCGATTTTATTTGATTTTTCCATGATCATACATTTGACTTCACATTAACAATTAATTTGAAAAAATCCATACTTGGTAAATGAGACGATACGACATATCACCAGACAAAATATCGCAAAACTATGCTGTATCAATCTTTTCCGCCCACCCTAACTAAGAAGTGTTATTGATTATAGGTAACACTAAAAAGAATAAATTCTAGGAAGTGTTTATATTTTCAAATCCCTGTATCTGTGATTGACATGCAGCTTCTACACTGATGTAACCAGAACAGAGATATAACAATACTCAGTCATACAACTTAAGATGTGAAAATGCAAAAAGTCCATCTGCTAAGAGAACTGAATCCCAAAAAGACTTTCTCAGGTGCTTTAATCGATAATGAAGTGAGCTCACATACAGGTACAGAAGTTTGGAATGCAGAGCTCCAGCTGTCAACAAAGAAGGAAAACAATGGCGACTCGAGGAGTCTGCGAGAGTCGTTTCAAGAGCGAAACATAATTGGACTCAATAAAGAGGCACAGATAATTGGAGTCAGTCTGTTTGATTGGTCGGGGCTGCACCACACAGACTGTGTAATAGCCTTTAGTGACTGAGCTGAGCATCCAAACACAGCTATGCCCTCCACACCCTCTGCCACCACATTAACTACTAATAAGCAGCAATAATCCAGTTAAATGCTCAATCAAAGTGAGCCTGAGGGGCTGCAGCCTGTTTGGTCCACAGCTTGGTGTTGTTGTGCTGTTTTCAGAGAATGTGTGTGTCTATGTGTACCAGACAGCACCAGCGGTCTAATCCTCTTTGTCCTACAGCGAGAGCAGTGTCACATTGTGGTCTCAGACAGATTCAGCCCGCAGCAGAGTGATAGGAAGCCCGTCGGTGGTACAGAGGCCACAGGCCGGATGGAGAGCCGGAGGGGGGGTGGGAGGTGGCAGTGGAGGGAGGTGGGAGGTGGTGAAGAGGGGGAGCAGCCAGCAGCCGATATGACACAGGATGCACAGAGCAAACAAAGCTTTCAAACTGATTACCACAGCTGTTTATTTGAGGAGAGGTGAAAAAAGAGAAACGCTGATGGAGAAAAACCATTTTCATAGCTGCTGGAGACATGTTTGTGTGCATGCATGTGTGCCTGAGGTGGCCACAGGTTGCACAGCATGGGCAGCTGAGTGTAATCATTTTAAAGGGTAAGCATTTAAAGGCCTGCATATAATCCCTTGTTATAAACCTGAGACACATTTCTCATTACAGAGCAAAGAGACGACATATTCCTCCATCAAAGGGAGCTTTTGGAGCCTGAGAGCCCAGCCTCTCTGATCATGTCTCACAAAACTTACCTGATCTCATTGCAGATCTCCTTCTCGTACTTCTTCCTGTGACGGGCGCGGCAGCAGCAGAACAGGATGATGGCAATAATGAGGAGGATCAGAAGCACTGCAATTATGGCTCCTGCGATGATGCCTGCGGTGTTGGGAGCTGGACAAGACGGGGAGGGAAAGATTATGAGGTTTGGTAAATGTAAGGTTGCAAGCACTGACATCAACAGAGCTGTGGGTTGGTGTCCTGCACCAAAGAGCCCATTTGTTTTTACATACACTTCCATCTGCAGGACACTGATCGGCTGTTTGGTCAGCGGACCTCAAAGTAGAGATGTCCCAATCCAAAACTGATATCGGTCCGATATTGATATCGGGCCGATATCAGCACAAAAACGAATATTGGATTGTATTGACCTGCCTCTAGCAGTCCATTACAGACTGCGCTCCAGCACTTCTTTCCAGCAGCGCCACCAGCGGATTCACCAGGCAGAGACCATGTGATCACAACAACAGTGTGTACTAAGGTTCTAACAAAGTATTAAGGAATAGCAGTGATGTCTGCTGTGAGGCAGTATTTTTCATCTAGTTCTGAATAAGATGATGCTGCTGAGTACTAAAGTCGTCATGCACAAGTTTGCGTTGATACTGAATCAATATTGGTCTCAGCCAAAACTATAGGCTACAATATCGGTATCATATCGGAAGTAAAAAAAATTGTATCAGGACACCCCTACCTCAAAAAGACAAATACATAACCAAAAGTAAATAATGAGTGATCCTGACAGCAGTGATGATGATGTGTTTTTGTCTGAAGAGACACACAGACATCTTTCTGAACCGAGGTTCAAAGAGGATGTGAACTAGAGAGCGGGGGCTAGGGGGTTGGGGTGGGCTATAAACTGTGAGCATACACCTACAAACTGAAAAAACCACCTAAAAGAGAGACGACTGAGCTGGAATAACAAACTCTACACTCATCACTGTGTCCACCTGGTAGTCCTGGTTATTGGTGCACAACTATATAATAATAAACATTACCATATATCAGTGACTCAAACATCGTAGATATGATTAGCTGATCAGGCTGCATGTGGAATAATATCAAAGTGTATTGGGCTTTGTGCTGGCAAAGAAAAGTGCTGGGAATGTCCTTAGCAGACACTTGTTGTTGACATGTGACTCATGCAACCTCACTTCAAAAAATACTGAAATATTACCGATTTAATAATATAATAAAAAATCAACTAATATGATTGGACTTTGAAGTGGATAGTTCTCTGGATAACAAAAGGGTCTTAAAAAGTACAAAAATGAAAAGAATTCAAAGATCTGCAGAGATTCAACACTGCACAGAGAGCACAGACCGCCTGTGATGTGAGTTTGATCATCTGCTGACTACACGTTTGTGTGAAAACAGACTTTAGAGTTGCTGCTCTGTAAAGACACAAAGCTGGTTTGAGTCTATCTGGCCCTTAATCAAGAGTTTGAGCACAAACTGGATAAAAAAAAGTGTCAGAACTCAGGGCATGCTCAAGTACTTCTCTGACACTTTCTGCAGCTTATGGACTCACTAACAAGACAGCAGTTCAGAGTGTGTAAGAACCAAACTCAGTAACAAGAGCAAATGATAATATCCACACTATGCAGCAGCTGCCCCACACGGCCACACTCTGAGATGACAGGTCTGTCACCGTGAGGTGCCAAAGCTTCCAGCCTCACAGCTTCAGCTCATTTGTTACTCAGAAACAGTGAAACAGCTTCAGCTCTGACATGTGAACTGAGAACTGAGACATCGAGCGCTCTCATGAGTGCAGGAAGAATGATGCTTTTGAGTTCTTCACAATAACCCAGTGATCCAACAAATCACACCTTTTGACCAGAAGGAGTTGAGAAGGTCAGTACCTGTCCTCAATAACCCTGAAGATAGTTACAGTTACAAAACAGCACAGATGAAGATTTCCACAAACTGTGTGGACCTATGTAGTAGGGCTGAGTGATATGGCTTTAAATCAATATCACGATACATGAGCAGTTCACCTCAATAATGATAAATGGACGATAACTACTCCACGAGCTGCTCACCCCCTCCCACATTAACTTTGTCTTCCTCAGCGACTGCTCCAGCTGCTACAACTTTTGAGCCGTGGAGTCACGTCCTGACGTAGGCCAGCGTCTTAAAGGGACATATGACCATAGCCTACCTACACATATCCAAAGCCAACTTTTATTTATTAATTTTTTTGACACCAAATATATTGACATGGGCAATATGACGTTGGTTATTGTCATAAATTTCGGTATCAGTAAATTTTCGGTTTATCACCCAACCCTACTATGCAGGCTTATCACAGGTCTAGTCTTTCACTCTAATCTTGTGTTACGGTGATGAGTGGACTACTCAGTCGACAGAGTTTTTCAGGAACTCCTCTGACATGATTTTAAACAGAGCTAGTAACAGCCTGTAAAATGAAGAAATCTGCTTAATCCCTCTCTTAAAAGCTCTGTAAATGAGTATCTTAAAGCCACTGTGTGGAGTTTTTCATTGCTTACAAAACCAGGTTAAAATCAATGGTGTTGCTTCTTATGGCCACACAGGCAAATAAAACCATCAGTGACAAGAAGGACTGAGCAGCAGTTGTTTTGGTACTCACGCGGTGTCACGTTCAGGTGCAGTATACACTCCTCAGAGCCGACTCGGTTGCTCACAGTGCAGCTGTAGGTGCCAGATGCACTAGCAGATGCGTTCCTCACATTAACAGTTCCTCCCAAAGAATCTATGAGAGTAAGAAACACATCCGTTAAGATAGTGTTTAACAGACAGATGATCCGTTAGCAGGACTTCAGGAGTGAGTGTGTGAGAGGGTGCCTTACCAAACCCAGCAGAGGCAGGCAGCAGCTTGTTACCACTGGTCTTTTTCCAGATGTACTCCAGGGGGCTGGTGCCCTCGTTGGATAAACACCTCAGCACGATATCTTTGCCTTCCTGTGTGGGTCCTTCAGCGTAGCATCTGGGCTTGGACGGCTTCACTGTGGAAAGAAAATCAATCATTTAGAGGAGTGAAAAAAACACAAACAACCAGGCATTTGTAATAGCTAAAACTAAAAATGGTGACATGAAAACTCCTCAAAAGCAAAGCCAAAGCATTTTGAACCCTACTGACTGGCTGCAGTATAGGCCGAAAAAGCCAAGGCCTCTCCATGCAAACAGACAGGACATGCAGCACTGTTATTAGTCAAGCCTCCTGTGTCACTGCTGCGCTCAAATCTGAAAGGACACAGCAAACCTCTGCTCCATTGTCTGCACGGTCATTGGTCAAACTGTGCTTCGATTTGGAAGTTAACCACTCCTGATAGATTACAAGTTACAGAACCATCCAGAAGAGCTCACACTTTGCTTTGACTTACAGCTCATCTTTGAATATCCGTTTACAAAAGTGCTGTATCATCTCTCAGACGGCTGCTACAGCTAGCTCACCAGCAGCTGCTGCTACTCCTTCATTTATCTTTCTATCACCATTACTCAGTATTTCTGCTTGTTTATTCTTGGCACAGTATCAAAGGTTCTTTTCTTTCTGTCTATCTTTCCCTCTTAAGATGTTTATGATCAAACAGCTCCATGCATGTTTTGTTCATGTTGAAGGCAGGTTTTTGTGTACTGTGTACTCCCCAAAGTTGATTTTCCTCCCCAGCTCAAAGCAGCAGTCATCAGCATAATGAGAGCAGTAATCAGAGTAATTGATACAGCTGCTGTCATTACAGGAGCTGTCACTCAGGATAATTGTATGGATGTAAGACGTGTGTCATGTGCTTACTGGAAAAACACTAACACACATGTACACACACATTCAGGGAGGAGGCAAACTCAATTTCAGAGCTGAAGGTGTGCAAATACTCCTCGGTCAGACTCTGTGTTAGCAGGAGATGAGATTTCATAGAAAGGGGACTTCAAGAACAAACAGAGGTACAAATGAAAAACAGACCACAACCAGTACAACCTAGACACACTTTCAGACAGGAGAGGAGGAGAAGGAGGACCGGGAAAAAGAGAGACCATGTAAGGGTGAATGATCTTATTAAAGGAGAGGTTTCATTTAGCCAGTTTGACTGAGATTTAAAGACATATCTGTAGTCTGCATGTATATCTTCCAGTACCTGTACTTTTAATCATTTAAACTTTTGGTGTCAAGCATTCAGAAACAGGGAAAGAAATGATTAATTAAAACTTCTTCAGTTATGCTATTATATGGTTAGTCTTACCCATAGACTGTATATACTATGGACAACTTGGTTCCGCCCTCCGCCTGTATACGGATTTGAGGCCAAAAAGCTCTCAGTATTTCCAGGATTTTTCTTCATTTCCTGAAACCAGTGCCGCGCAGTAGCAATGCACGCATTTGGCCGCGCAGTCGCAGAGAGTTGCTGTGGTGGCGCAATCCCTGACTGCCCATAGGCTGTATCAGGTGTCAATCATAGAAAATAGTAACCCCCTAATAACTTTTAAAAAAAGGGAGCTTCAAAGAAAAAAGAGGAATTGAGCACAAACCAGTTTTACTGTAACTACATGTCAACATCACAAGCAGGGGGGAGAAAAATCTATGTTCTGTGTAGTAAATTTCTAAAGTTTGTCCACAGCTCCATAAGCTTTGCTGGCAGAGGAGGGATTTATGACCTGTACTGCAGCCCATCAACAGAGGGTGCTGTTCTAGGAGTGGCTTCACCCAGAGAGGAGGCAGACTCTGTCCATTCTTTATACAGTCTATGGTCGTACCTAAGTGAACACATAAAGGATGGATCTGAGGACACCTTGATACCGTCACACCCGGCTAAAAATGGGTTTAAATAAGAGTAATGAAACATGAAACTCTTTTTTCTTTCATAGACAGCAGAGGGCGACATCTGCGTTGGACTTCTCTTTTTTGACATTGTTAAGTCTCAGAAATCTGAGGCTGAACATTGATGTGCATGACACAGCAGGTAATATTATGCAGTAAGTAATGCAAGCACCAGGTTCATAAATGTGTTCTGGGCTTTTCACCCTTGACACGCTGAAGCTATAAAAACAACATCTGTAGGTCAAATGAGAAACATCCAGTTTGACATATGGACTAAATCGTTTTTGTTTTTTTTTCTTTCCAATGATGCTCAACAACCTGATTTTAACAACAGCCTGTTTCTGTTGTTATTTAATGATAGCACTTACATAACTAAATCACCTCTCTAAGTGCAAAGTCATTCAAAGGTCCTAAATGACAAATTTGTCACCACCAGCTGTTGCAGCTCAGCATCATCAACACCTCTGCTTCATCGACCCCGAGTTTAAATCACCTGATTGGGGCTTTTCAAGCCATCTAATGATTTCACATTTAAACGAGTCTGCAGCCTAGTAGCATTGAAATGACCTGGGCTTATGTGGACAGAGAAATACACCTCCTTTTTTTTTGTCTTTTTAATATCATGTTTTTTTCTTTTTGACTTGAAATAGTTTTATGTCTTTTTGATTTAAATTGTTTTAATCTCTCCTTTTGTATTTTTCAAAATGTATTTCCTTGCATCTGTAAAGCACTTTGAATTGCCTTGTGTGTGAATGGTACTATACAAATAAACTTGCCTTGCTTTCAATGTCTCTTGTGGAAGCATCGAGAAGTTCTTAAAGAAAGAATCTTCAAGGATAATAAACCTCAGTTTCAACTCATATTTTAGCACAATGTTTACATGCATTTGAATGCATGTTTACATGAATAGTGTTTTCCTCTTGGCTTCATATGTGTGTAGTTTTCTTGAATTATCCATCACATAAGTTTTGTTGAAGTTCTGACTGTTGTTTACATTTTTGTTTGATATGAAGGTAAATCAAGCTCAGTGTATGTTCAAGGTGAGAGATGTCAGGGATTTTAGCAGCTCTATGTTTTTTTCAAAATGTGAAATAAAATGCAGAATGGATTTGGCTGTTGTCTTTTTTATTTTGGTTATTCTATTAATGAATGTTAGTACTGGTAATAAACACAACACTATTAAAATTACAGTCCATCTTTTGATGTGTGTGCTGTTCAAAAAACACAGTCGAGCTTGTTTCAATGAAATAAAGGTACCATGATAAGATCACAATCAGTGTATGTGTTAATATTGATCTGATTTTTTCACAACAACAACAACAACAACAACTCTTGTGTGAGGCTGAGATTCAGGCGTGTGCCATGAGTTCACTGACAGAAAGCTGACATGGTGGTGTGGTAATAATGGGCTCTGTAACAACACAGACCCTGAGTGGGGCTCTGCAGATCTAAACCAGGTGTCAGGCGGGGGGCGGGGGATTTAGGATTAACAGTAGACAGACAGAACTGAGTACTGCTGCTAATCTAATAAACACACATGGGGTCAGGATGGAGGGGGCGGCTGAGAGAGCGGGAGGGCAAAAATGAAGTGAGCGCTGATGGCCAGATGGTAGAGTGAGAGAGGCAGAGGCTGAGCAGCTCCAACACACTCCGTCCTAACGCTACAGTGTCACACACACACACACACACACACACACACACACACACACACACACACACACACACACACACACACACACACACACACACACACACACACACACACAGTAAATGTCAGCGAGCGATGACATTTTGAAGGCGTCTTTTAAAGGTGAAAGTCAAGTCGACGCTGTAATGCACAGGTTCTCATATGTCTGATTAGCAGATTTATTCGTTTGAGGGATGAGGTCAAAGAGGAAGGTGACGAGGCTGGAGGAGCAGAGAGAGATAAAGGGCAGAGCGATGGAGCTGACCTGGATCTGCTCCACAAACAATGATTTCTGATTTATGAGCTGCACAAGGCTGTCTCCTGGGTGAGATAAGGAGGAAGGGATCGCCACAGTGTAGGATACATTACGGTCATGAGGCCAAAACGTCAAAGTGAGGACTGATGGTTGAGCAGGACACAATCAGCGAACACTAAAACCAGGACAGACAGAATTAAAGAGATTTCTGTTGAGCTCTGCTGGAAGATCCTGTACGAGATGAGGATTTTCTCAGGCAGAGTTGGGGCTAAACGACTGCTGCTGCTGCTGAGTAAGAATAATTATAGAGGGTCATAACCAGGAAGAAAAACTGGCTCTTAGAAGTTTGAAATGGCCAGCAAATTGGTGATAGTATTCATGAGGTAATTTTTATGGAGATTGGAGGGTACAAAGGGAACGGGAGCTTGGAGAGCCTACCAGTCAGGGAGTTTACAGGAATATTTTCATATTTCTATAGAGGGAGGTTAAAAGCAGGAAGTTTCCCTGATGGAAACTTGTGATGTGGAGGGAGGGAGGAAGGGAGGCTGAATTAGAGACATAAGACAGAAGGTAATCTGCATACAGAAAGAGTTTATAGCATAGACTAAAAACACCATCAGACACTTCACACTTTTATAATCTTTTATAATCAGGGACCACATTACTGAGGGGTCAATGGTTAAAACAAACCATATTGGACACACAGGCACTTTAAAGTACTGAAGCACAAACCAGAGGAAATGACTCTTATCACTGAGCAGAGTTCACATTAGCTGACATTAGCTGCTGGACAGTTTCGAGGGCAGAAAAACATCATTGTCCCAAATGTTTGGCAGGAGAATTAAGTAATAAACACACAGGTCTGAGCATAAGAGGTTTTGGTACCTCCAAAAAAATGTAGGATCCTCTCATAATCGACACCTCTTCATGCTGGGACACATGAGCAGGTGAAATCTGATTTTGTTGCTTTCTTTCAAACCCCGCTAATGACATATTTAGTGGTCAGCAGCAGTGGCACAGAGAAAACTGTGGGACCTGAATGGTGTCAGGACTCCACATCTAACTTTAACTTCTATGTAGAAATCCACATCAAGTGATGAGGAATCAGCAGGATTAATAATGGCATCAGTAATAATTATATTGGTTTTCATTCCCAGCCATAAAAACAATTACCATGTCAACTCTGACAGCCCACTATTATGACTGTTGCTGCCTCGATGACCATCATACTGTCTCATATATTGGTTTTACAGTCTTTTAAATTCAGACAGTTTACTGCTTTTTTTTTTTTTTTTTTTTTTGGGGGGGGGGCTCTTTTAAGTCACTTATCATGGAGCAAAGTCTTTGAGTCCGTTGACAGAGATTGTTTGCATTTGAGACAAGAAAATGGCTCCCACTCTAATTTTGCGGCTTTTGTAATTTGAATAGTTTCCAAAATTAAATACCCTGTAGTACTTCAAGGACTGACTTGCTTTAAACCATCGAAAGAAAAGAAACGTACTAAGTGCATTAAGCCTTTTAAAACAGGTACAGTTAGGGTCTAATCCTGATGAGAGTTGCTGACGTGCAGAGCATTACTGTGGGTGGATACGCTCCTTCTGTCAACTTCAACGTCCTGAAGCAACGAGAGGAGAATACACAACAAGGGATGCTCCAGCACCTGGACAGCACGTACACTGCAGGGGTCAGCAAGTGTGTACACCTGCACGAGGACAGTGTTTGTGACAAGCCACAGCTACACCCATGTGTTTCAATTAAAGTGTGTTTATCCTCGTGCACAGGGATGCATGCAAGTCTCTCCTCGTTCAGGGGACCATCCACCTTGAGACAAGATCAACCTGAAGGTAAAATGCAGAGCAGGCAACATGTCCTCACCTCTCCTTGTCAACGTTTCCTTGCTAAGAACACCGCTGCCCCTGGGGTCAAGAGCTAGCAGTCTGTCAGCTCCTGTAGCCTGGAGCGCTCTCTTTCTCACACACACTCACACACACACGCACGCACTCACACACACACACACACACACACACACACACACACACACACACACACACACACACACACACACACACACACACACACACACACACACACACACACACACACTTTGAACTGTTGCTAAATACATTTGGACGTATTTAATCCTCCACAGGAATTGAAGTCCATTTACAATAATTACCTTAAAGAGTAATATCTTGGTCATCAAAGAAAACACACAGCAGTGACTGAAGCAGACACCTAAACTTCCTAAACTTGGGGAATTATTGCTCACAGTAGAAAGTGGTGTCTGCTTATTCTCCATATGATCAGAAATGGTATTTAAAGCACTAGTGACGAAAATAACCACAGAGCCTCAGGTTGGTTCTTTACATTTTCCACAAGCACATTAATATTTCAAATGTGCAGGTAGGATCAATGACTCGTGAACCACTAACTATAAGCAGTACCCCCCCCCCAACCTCTGACCGTCACTTTTCCACACGACCTGAACTACAACTCCAAACAAGCCAGAGAACAACACCTGTGATTTTAACATTCATCTTTAAAGGCTTGTAACTTTACAGAGTTGTGTGTAGGGATGGGCGATATGGGCTAAAAAATTTATCACAATAAGATTTGCCATTCTGGCGATAACAATAAAAGTCCCGATAAAACACATTATCACTCTTACCCATATTTTTTACCTATTTTGTCTTGAGAACACCAGTTGGGGTAGTCAAATAAGATACTTAACCACAAGTTTGAGTGGTAGGTTATGGATAAAACTAATGGCTGTGAGTCCGTCGCTCGCGCTTACATCATCAACTTGCATTTGTCAAATTTATCATGAGATGGCAAATATTTATCATGGAGGATGTTTCTGACGATTTATCATGAATGATGATTTATCGCCCATCCCTAGTTGTGTGGCTTTTGCGGGGCTACATCCTGATCACAAATGTGCATATCAAGACTGTAAGATCAACCTTAGAGCAGAGAAGATAGGAGAGAGAGCACTGAGACTGACTTTAAGGCTTGCCTGTAATACTTTGTATGAGTCATGTACCTATATGCAAAGTGGTTTATGCACTCTCTCTGAACACAAAGTTTTATTTACAGTCTCACTATTATTAGAAAACCTGAGTGGGCAACATTTAAAGATCCTTTAACGAAGTGAAGAACAAATGTACATAGTTATGTTCAAAGTTAGAGCTATTCAAGGCATCCTTATAAGAACTGCAAACAGCTCTCACTGGGATTGATGTCTCACACTTTAGGTTCTTAGTGCAAAACTGAACACTTTTAGAGGAATTATCATTATTCTTTTAGAAGAATATCAACAAAACCACCTTTCTGTGGTTTAGTGAGACAAACACTCAAGGTATGCAAGAAGAAAATGAAAACATCTGTGCTTGTTTCATGGGAACTTTGGTTCAGGGTGTAAAAGAGTGAGATAAATCAGCAGGCTGGTTCAGTTACTCGCTGTTGAGGAATGTGGAGCTACTGCAGGGAGGTATAGCTGGCACAAAGTCAATGTTTGAAGTAAGGTGTATCAGTGATGAGATTCACTTTCCCCTGTTGCTTCTGTTTGGATCAATTTTTATGTAAAACAGCCTCCCCGAGGGCTCCGTCAGAGGGTCTTAGGTCAGCTTTGTTCACAGTGAGAGATCTGTCCATATAGCTTTTATTTTTATCACCGAGCTGCTTCACGATTCAGAAACAGCCGCGGAGGAACTTGTTTGTTTTGCTTTGTGCATCGTGTGTTTCTGGTTGAGCTGGTTGGTGCAGTGCAGCTACTTTAACACACATGATATCATGTCAACAAGAGTGGAAGCCATTTCCTGAAAGCTGCCCCATCTTCAGAGGGTAGAAACTCCTCTGATAAGAGCAGTGCGATAACAGCACAGTGTGCAGCTTATACCACAGCACAGACTAGTGCAGGACATGAGGGTTGTTTTTCCCATATGCAAATACCAGCCGGGTTTCGGGAGGCGATTCACTTTCAACATCATTTAGCCAGTTGACCGACCAGCAAGGCCAATGTGAGAGTGTGAGAGAGTGTTTGTTTGCCCAGGGAGTGAATCACGTGACTTTACGACTCTGGCGTGTCACTCAATCTCACCCTGTGCAGTAAAAAGCCAGCTGAGTGCACCAACTCTACATCTGAGGTTTAAAAAGACGAGATGACAATCACCTCTCCCTGTTTTTCTGTGAGTGCTTTTTTAAATTTTTACATTGTAGTTTTTAGTTTTTAAAGTCAAAACTATCAAAAATTTCAAACATCTTTTAATACCCACTTGTTCATAATCCTTTTCAAATTGATCATGATGAAAAACATGATGATTTTTTTTTGTTTAACTGAGAGTTTAAACTCTCTTCTTTTGCCTCATCCCAGAAAACATTTGTTGCACCAGGTAGAGCTGTGGTCTGGCCAAAGGAGGCCCTGCTGCACTTAATCCCTTTTAAATTGATCTGAACTGAAGCAATAGATCTAAATTGTAACTTCTAAACTGACATAGCCTCTGAGCTTTTCAGATTTAAAGGATATATAAATCCAAGAAACTGCAACACAATACTTCTACAGGAGCCATATTTTGAGATACAATGTTATGATCAGATAAAAGGATCATTTATAACATTCAAACTTTGTGAGTTTTGTACATTTAAACTTGTTTTTGGAATCGAGTTTCCTGAGTTTTCAATGCTTTAATGCTCAACATATATCATGGTTTATTGACTTACTAACCTTTTAGCCAAGTTTGTGCTGATATAACAGACATAAATCATTTTAAAAACAGCCAAACAGAAAACATTAAGATATGATAAGATGACCTGAATCTTGGAACCCACACTACAGCCATAAAAATACAACATACAGTATATATGGACTATATTTATTCATCTGGGGGTTGGGGGGTGACCAACTCTACCATTGAGCCATAGCCGATCCGACATAATACTACATAATACAGCACAACTAAAGTTAAAATAACTCTCATGGTGTGTACTTTCTTCTCCTAATTTTATGACTTCACTGAGACTTTAGATTTGTAACTATATGACTTTCATCTTACAACATTACAACTTGAATTACTCTAAACTTGATTCTCCTCAGTAAATGATGTTACTCAGATTTTATCCTCTTAGGAAAATAAAGGTATTTTAGTCAGAGTCTGTGAGAAAATGATTTTCTTACAGCTCTACTCTCCTAAGACAATGTTTTTACTCTGACTTCGTTCTCTAGACGGAAAAAAAAACAACTTTTTTTTTTCTTTAAGGTGGGTTCCATACTTCTTAGGTGAAGTTCCTTTTTTAACCACTTTTCCATTTCAACATGATTAATTCAAAAACTGTCTTTAATAGATTATTGCTCATGTCAAAAGCGTTTGCAGCTCCCCTTCTGAGCTCTTCTTTCACTGTCCTCGATTACTTTGATTTATTTTCTTTTTTATTGGCTTGTTCATTTTTATCTCACTGCCCCACAGTTTTGATTTTGATGTGATATCGTGGTCATAATGTCCTCATACTTCTGTTCTGAGTTATTTCTCCTCTGCTGTTGAAATCCATTAATTCTGCTTTGTTTGTCAAAGACCCTTATAAACTGTTCTTTATAAAGGTGCTGTATACATGAGATCATGATTATTATTATTATTTTTCATCAACACCGTGGGCCTTCAGGTGAAATAAAATTGCATATCTTGACAGAGACTAATGTCAATCTCCTCTGTAAACACTGAGGGACAGAGATCTGACGGTGAAGATTTGGAGCTGTAACGACGAGTTTGACGTCACAGAGAGCAGAAATAATAACCACAATATCCATGGCGTAAAAAAACTGGATCACTGTGTTTGACAATCACAGAGCATCTAGGGTGAATGCAGAATTGTATTACAAAAGGGGCTTTGCTGCACAGCCTCTAGGAAGGTTACACGCTCCGTTTTAGAAGGGATTACATCAAAACAGCCAAAGAGGGCAAAGGGCGTGTAATTTGCTGCATTTTCACTGTGTCCAGAGAGACAATTTAGCCTGCGAGGGAAAACAAGAGCACAAGCTGAACACCAGAGCATGTTCAGGGGTTTGTTCCACTCACCCATGACGATCAGCAGCATCTTCCTGCTGCGGATCCCCGGAGCCTTCTTCACCTTACACTGGTAGGTGCCAGAGTCTGAAGACTGCAGCCCCATAAGGTTGATGGAGGCGTCTCCGTTCTTGGGGTCAGCTGCGTTGAAGTGGACTCGACCCTTCATGGGGGGGTAGTAGTCCACATAGGCCCTGTCACCTGAGTAGAAGATGACCTGGAAATAGAGGAGAGGTGGAGGAAGATAGTTAAAATGACATGTCCTCTTATAAAAATAAAAGTCCTGGCAGAAAACAAATAAAAAGGAAAAGGCCTTGAAATGACAGTGGTGAGCTTTGTGAAAGCAAAGGCTGTGCTCACTGAACCAACCAAAACACAAGGAGAGAGAGAAAGCCTCCACTCTTTTATCTCTGCACTGCCCTTCAGCCTGGCAGCCGCTGCTGCTCTGCCCTTTCTGCTTAAGAGGGAAGAAGGTGGAACAAACAAAGCCTCCGCCGTAGAGTTAACACCTGCTGTGTCAACAAAGAGCCACCTATTCTGTCCCAGCACTTCCCCAGCACACAAACACACACTAGTTCACACACAGTCTGGAGCTTTAAAGGAGCGGGGAAATGCCTGGAAATCAAGGCCCAGTGTTGGTGGAAAGAAACCTTGTAGTAGGGTGATGGAGGAGGGGGAAACAAAAAACACAAGGAGATAAGAAAAGAGGGTGAAAGAAAGGCAAACAAGAATGAAAAGAGTTCTCATTCTCTTTCAGAAACACTGGTTTATTCTTTTACATCTCCCCTGAGACCCTCATCACCAGGCTTTCTGTGCCACCGCAGTAATACCACGGGATCGCGAGGGGGGGAGGTAGTGACTATGGCAGGGAGAGAGGAGGAATAATGAACCCATCAGAGGAGACGGAGCACTCAAAGGACGAAGAAGAAGAAGGAGGAGAGGAGCAAAACAAAGGGAAACCACTCTGAAAGTTGCCTTACTGCCCCACTTTCAGCGTAAAGAAGACCAGCTCCTGGAGAGTGCTGTAATGTTTGCTGTGTTCATCTTGTACATATTAGCCACATAAACAGGTAATGCAGTTCAAATTCCTCTTGGCTCTCAGGGGAGGGCAAACTTCTTCCTTCAGCAGGGGATCAGAACATCAGCAGTAATAACAGCAGCATGTGAGATCAGACCATGCAGGAGAGGAAATTAAATTGCCCCGAGCTCAGACAGACAAGAGCTCTCAGTAGGGCTCCACCACTTCACAGGAGCACAGATGGGAGTGCTTACACACATGCACACCTCTTGTTGAAGGAGAGAGAAAAAAAATACACAAACTGCACAATAACCTTGAGATTCATGATCCAGTGAAAAAAAAAAATCCCATAAAGAGCCGGGGGGATGAAAATGAAAAGGGCAAATGACTAGACAAGCCGGCTGGGGCTGGAGAGGACAGACGAGCAGCACCGCTGTCTGCCTTTTATAACAGGTAGGACATTCAATGATACAATCGCCACCTGGCCTGGCTGTTTCTCTGTGGATGGATGGATCTCTGGAGGTTAAATAATCAGACACAAGCATGGTGAAGTCATCGTCATGTGATGCCCTGGGAGCGGCGGATCATTTGAGATGCAAAGCAGAGTGTTGCGATACCTGTGTACTCTAAACAACCTGCAGAGCTGTGGGAGCAGCAACAATCCCACACTGCAGACCTGAACACGATGAGCTCTATTACAGCAGAAAAAAACAAACAAAAAAAACACAACTCCAATCGGATCGAGCGCCCTTCAAAATACAAAATGTCCCGATTTGTAGAGATAAGTATCAAAGATCAGCACTGATATACAAACAAACAGCTTTACCTCGGAAATCCTCCTTTACTTTGTCAACATGCACACGGTCCTGCTGCATGACACTCACAGAACAAAAGGCTCTGCTACTACTACTGCTGCTGCTGCCTTCAAGGACAAACGCTATACTTTATATCAAAATGAAAAGCTCAGATTTTTTGTCCTTCCTATTCAGAGCGTTCAGATTTGCTGTAATCATTGTATTCCTTGTTGTTCCCACAGTGGTGGTTAACACTGAGGGCACACCCTCCTTTCAGCTCTTCTGTAACCAGGCAGTGAGAGCCGAATGCAAATGACTGTTACTGTAGGCATGACTGGCATCTCTCATTCAATACCAACAAAGGGACAAGCATTAGCTCCGCTTCAGCACCCACAAACAGGCTCTGTTGATATGCGGCAATATTTCCCAACAGATGTCAGAATGGATGCTCCCTATGCTGTGGTGTTACATCTGATTGCATCAACACAAAGGAAACTAATGTGAAATATTTGATTAAATATGAGTTTGATTTCAAGTGTAAAGGAACGACTGTGTATCAGGGAATAAACCATATTCCCTCTGTGGCTACCTTCTGTGATGTACCATGTATTCATATGATAATCTGACAAACTGTTCCATCCTGGTTAACAATTTTCATGATGGTGTCGTGTTCAATGGCCATCAACATGTTTTTAAGTAAAATATGGGCAGAATTCAGTGTTGGGATTTAATAAGTGACCTTGTAAGCTGACAACTTTTAACAACCACATGAGTTTAGGATGTTAGGGTCGCTCCTTAATCCATAACACAGGTGGTCTTACCTTCATTATTAGAAACCTTGATCTGTTAGCAGGGGGAGGGATCATAGCTGGGAAACAGCAATTTAATTTCAATAAATCAACAAACATTATACGAATACAGGGACCAGATTGAGGCTGACATCCGAAATGTCAACAATGTAGCAAAGTTTCTCTATTCCCATCTGATCTGTGATTTTTAGACAGAAATATTGACAAAGAAGTGCTCTAATGCAATCATAGCCCACTTTGGACAAAGCAGTCTTTGCTTATCTTGTCCTCTGAATGCTTCAGTAGTGTCCTCATCCTGCTGACTTTTGACAGTCAAATTTATGATTTTATTGAGAATGTGAAGTGTGGAAACTATAAAGCCAGGGCTGTTACTTCAGCTGACACCTCCCCACTTGCACCAGTTTCAGGCATTCAAAGTTTCCATCTAAAGATCTGTCAGTCATATTTTCTTTCAGCTATCATGAAAAAACATCAATTGAGTTTCACTCTTTTTCTTAAATGTGAAAACTTCTCACAGGAGCTTTAAAACATGAGCTAAGCTCTCTCATGATTTCATGATCCATTGTCTGTGTTGCTGCTTATGACCATAGTCTGTCAGAATATCAAGGTTTATATGACTTCTGACCCAGGACACCGTAATCATACAGGACTACGATATATGAGTTTTAGGTGTTACATCACATGAAAATTGTCTACTTTCCACTCAGGGCTTTCTGTCCATGTGTATTTCTGCACATCCTCTGCAAGCTTTTGAATACAAACCAAATGTTGTGGTGGCACCAGAAACTGTGGAAGTAGTCAAGCTAATAGTTGAAACCATGAATCAATCAGTGTTGTTTTTTTTCAAGGTTTAAGAGCTATGTATTCATTTACATGGAGTGACAGGTGGGCATGTTGGAGCAGTTTGTCAGGAGGTTAGAGGTCCACCTCTGCTCCACCTGCCATGTTCAGCCTCATTGAAAGTAAGGCTGAGTCAGCTTTATCTCTATATTACTGACTACTATCCCTGGGCTTCTTTTCAAAAACCAGTGTGTGTGGGATGTTGCATGGATAATATATTTTTCTGAAAGCATAGAATTTCAAATTAATCTATTCATATGATGTGAATATGATTTATTTTGTTATGCTTGTAATTGGCAATCCTCTCCACATCCTTGGATTTCATTATGAGGGTGCTTAAGCACACATGAGAGAAAAAAAAACCCTGTAAAGCTCTTTTTTTTCCCTTCAACCATAAAGCTGCTGTTGCTACTGGTTGGAGAATAGCTCCTTTTTAAAAGTGCATCTGTGCCTTTTTCACAACACACTGTAGAGTCTAACCTTCTACTCTTGCAAGCCACACAACCCATCCCTTTGCCTGCAAAAGCAAGGCATCAAGTTTCCGGCTACATGATCCCACTGAGTGATCCAACAGACAGGCTCTCATTTACAAGTTTTATCTCATCATGGTGCTTCCTCTAGCAGTCAGGATTCTCCCCCCCTTAGACCATGTGAGCAGAGGTCCTCCATGCTTTCAGAGTCTTCTGGAGCCTCTGGCTATCAAGTTTAGCCTCCACTCTCATTTCCCTGCCTGACCTTCAGCTCTGGTGCTGGCAGATCGGCCTAATCCTATTTAGCACTGTCACATATATTAAAGCAGCCCCTGTGAATTAACAAGCGGCTAATTACAGAGAATTCTGGTTGGAGGCTCTACAAATGTGAGTGTGTGTGTAAAGTGACTAAACGTAATAGGTCAAGGAGAACAAATACATGCACACAGAGAGATGCCTGGTTCATTCTAATTCCCACTAAGGTTTGGCAGCATTCCTAATACTGCAGCTCGACCGCAGTACAGAGGCATGCAAAAAATAGACAATAAACAGTACATCCACACACAAAAGGAAATATGTGATAGATTTTCACAGCTGCTTTTATAGGAGTAGGAGGAGAGACCCTCCTGGGGAACCACCCACACTGAAATCTGTTGGCACTCCCAGCATCACTGAGTTATGGGCGAGTTTGAGGGCGAGGCTGAACAGGAAAAAGTGAGCTGGGGAAGAGTTAGTTTGAATTTTGCACTTCGGTTGAGAAAGTATGAGTTTCATGTCGAGGCTGTAAAAATTAAAGCTCAAATTAATAGTTAAAGGTGGGGTAGGCAGGATTTGGTTAAAGAAGCATCTTTTTTTGTGGTGTAAAAAAGCTTTTAATATCAGTTAGAGATGCACCGATTGCAATATTCTTGGCTGATACCGATTTCAGGTTTTAAAGGAGGTCTAACCTGCCAAAACCGATTTTTCCGATACCGATTTTCTATCTGAGAAATAATTATAATCATATAATAGACACAATATTTGTTTGGCTTGAGTACCCATTCCCAATTTTAATTTAAGTACCCCTCTCCCAGACAACATTTTGCTTAACTGCAATTAAAAGCACAACTAACGGTAGGCTATATGCTATCATAACCCCCCTTTTCAAGAATAAAACCTCACAAATAAGAAATAGAGTGAGAGTTTCAACAGTGCCTCCTGAGCAGATTTATTTTCAACACTGACCCTAAAATTCAGTCCAGTTTACAGGTCAATAACTAACTTACATTCAAACAACATTCAAAAACGTCCCAGCATTTGACTGGTACAATGTAGTTTATTGACTACCCCTCCAGTACCTCTCTCAAACGACTCTGGCAGCGCTGTGTCAGAAAAGTACCGCCTACTTGGTAGTTTGTACCAATCAACGCCTAAGACATTTGGAACAACAAACTTAATACGCCACTTGGAAAAGAAGCACCCAGGCTTGTTTAGCAAATATAAGGAATACACTGCCGCTAAGAGGAGGGATGCAGCAGAGTCGCAGCGACCACAACAACCCTCCCCCGTGGCTCCTGTGTTCGACATCAGCGCTGAAAAGTCCAAAGCCACCACTACGAAAATAATGGAGTTCGTGGCACTGGAGGACCAGCCGTTTAGCGTAGTACAGGATAAAGGCCCGATTTGGTAATTTGTACCGTGGACTCAGGAGTTTAACCAGATTTACGAAGCCTTTATCCTGTACTACGCTAAACGGCTGGTCCTCCAGTGCCACGAACTCCATTATTTTCCTAGTCGTGGCTTTGGACTTTTCAGTGTTGATGTCGAACATATGAGCCACGGGGGTGGGTTGTTGTGGTCGCTGCGACTTTGCTGCATCCCTCTTCTTAGCGGCAGTGTATTCCTAAACAAGCCCGGGTGCTTCTTTTCTGTTCCAAATGTCTTAGGCGTTAATCCTCCACGGCTGACTTTTGACTAGCAAGCATTACAAACAGCGTGTTTTGGGTCGCTCTGGCACACAGTGTCAAATCACCGACATGTTTTCCTCCTGAGTCTCGCTAATTTTTAGCAGTTTTGGTCTGAGCTGATGCGCATCGGCGGCCGATTTATCGGTGCATCTCTAATATCAGTCAATAGCTATTAGTTATTGATGACTTTTGGGAAAATATGATATCCCTGTGTTCTCTTATGTCTGTGTAGTCAACATTTTAAAGTTTTTGAGCGTCCCACTCTTTCTGACTGTAAACAAAGCTATTTTCCACCTCCCCCAGCCTGATTGGTTGTGAGGCAGACGCTGCTCCCCCAAGTTGTTCAGGAGCCCAAACAAAGTTAGCGTGCTACAATATCGGATAGTAGAAACCAACCAGAAAGTACAGAAAATTGTCTGAATCCTCCTTTAGCCACGACTGCCGACACAAGCAAGAAAACGAAGTAAATACTCTGGCGGAATAATGGGCGCTTAAAAAGGAGGTAGACCACCCGGACAAGAGCTAAGAAGCCGGGTCAACATCGATGAATCGTAAACACTTTGGGATCTTCCAGACCCTGTAACCTTTCTGCTGGACAGGTAAACCGCTTTAACAAAGTAAGCCAAGTGTCTGTAACAGAAGTGTTCCTTCTCAAACAGGACCTGCAGTGTGTTGTAGCACCGCTAAACTGTTTACCTCGGGTCCTGGAGTATGTCACTTTATCCTAGTAGTAGAAGTCCTGCAAACATTTTGTTTGCTGGTAGTCTGTTGGCATCTACAGTAGCATCAATGCTGTTTACTTTCACGTTGACTGGGCTCCATTTGTAATTATCTTAAGTATTTATCTGCATTATATCTGAATTTAATTGAAACGATACGAGCGAGCTGGAGCGTCTGTTTGTGGGCGGGGCTTTCTGGAGCAGAGAGGTAAGGGAGAGGAGGAGCTGAGAGGAAAACTGGTTGGGAGGGGTAGCGTTTATATTCAAGATTTCTCCAAAATACTGGCATTTCCTCAGATCCTGCCTATCCCACCTTTAAAACAACAAATCAGCAGATACGACAGCAGAGAGCTCATGTGTGTGTTCATTTTTGTCTGATCTTTTAATGATCTATGAGATTTGATGTATTTCAACATATGCTAAACTCTCCTTTATAGTCTCCATCAAAATGTCTCTGTCATACAAACTGCTGCTCTTCCTCAGACACTGTGTAGTAATGTGTTTATTTCCTTTGAGCCGCTGTGAGGACTTTTCTGATTTTTGTCCGTTATGGCACTCCCTGTGGCAGTCTTGGGTTACCCCGACCTCCATAAACCTGAGCAATTATTTTCAACAGACCCTTTCCGTCCACGACAGAGGTGTCAAGATGCTTGTATTCAGCACTGATAACAAAAACTCTGAGGTTTGCTTTTGTTAGCAAGACAATTAGGAGACAAAACTGTTGGACATTTACAATCCTTCAGATTTTCCCACAGCACTCCCAATCCATCACCTCAAATATGGGCAGAGAGGTGTGGTAGCTGTTCAGACTGACTTTCATGTGATGAAGATATAGACAGGATACAGACAAACATTGGATACTGACGTTGCTGCCTGACACTCAATTTACCTGATGTGCTGACGTCAGTCAACAGAGCAGAAACTTGCTGTTGTGTACATCTGTGTAACCTTAGTTTCAGTAACACTTGGAGCTTTAAAACAACAGTATCAAATTTAACACCAACACCAAAATATTCTGGACAGCTCCACTTTATTCTTCACATCAGGATATCATTTATGGAGCAAAAAAAGGAGAAATATACTCTGAATAGTTCTTATGCTTAGCACTGATGCATAAAGGTCGACATTTGGCATTCCTTTCTTTTTTTATGACATTTAATCCGTATTCATGCAATTCTGATTCTTCTTGACATTTCGACTTTTTCCTCAAAAATCTAACTTTATCTTTGGCATTTATCCTTTTTTATATTGTTCTCTTAACGTCAACATTCAAATGATGGCCTATGTTTAGCTGTTGCTCAAGGTATCTAATGCAGATTAAAAAAAATCTTCCTTGTTTTTGGCTCTTTAGAAAAGTTAAACAAATTTTAGGAACTTAAACAAATTTTTTTATCATAATAACTACTCAAATATAAGCCTACTAAATCTTCACACAACCAGTTAATCTGATTTCTGTTAAAAACAAATGTGTAAAGAAGGAGAAATAAAGCTATAAATGGAGTGGGTCAGCTTGAGTAAAAGGAGAGCTGATTGGCCGAATGGTCCGAAAGGACACAAAGTGGAACGACTGACGTTGAGTTGGTGACCTATTTCTAACAGTTGGCCACTGAAAAGTGAAGCCACAGGACACAGTGCCAAAAAAGAAAGTGGGGGAGAGGGATGAGAAGTCTTTGTGACAGGTGGGAGGTGGGGGAGTGGGCGGAGATCCACAAGGGAGGACCACGACACAGGGATTATCTGTAGCAGCCAGGAGTCTGTCTCTGTGTGGCTGTGAGCTGCCTGAGGGAAGGAGGAGATCCTGTGGAGTGGAGCTGTCCACTCTTCCCGTGGCTGAGGGCCAGGCTGAAGAAAAAAGGACTCTGACTGTGATAAAGAGAGTTCCCATCCCTCCCTGTGAGCGGCTGAGTCTCAGAAACAATGTCTCAATCCATGTGTTAGTGGCTCCCACTGCATTTGTCTTTTTTACTGAATACTTCCTGAGTTCCATTTAAAGAGTTCACTGTATTATGTTTCAACAATCCTACACTGGGCTGTGTGACCCACTAACTCACAAGGTAACAGAGGTGATGAAGTTAATCCTGCAATAGAGACGTGGGAGGTTGTGCATCCTTACAGACAGAAAAGAACAGAATATAGTCTTTGTTTAGTGTGCACATTAGTGTGTGTTGCATTCTGTTTGTGTGTCTCAGCCTGCCCTGCAAAGCTAACACACAGACAGACAGACAGCAGAGGAGCTACATACACTTCAAACTCTGCATAGCTTCATCTTATAATCACAGGTCCAATGCAGTTCACCCCGTTGTAGCCTTAATGACTTAACTTAATGGCTTTACTAAACAATAGGAACGTGCCTTTCTGCGTAACATCAGCTGTGTTTCCCTGTGTGCAAAGTTCTGATCTGTTGAAGTGGTGCATGCTGCCTGTGTGTCTGCGACAATACCGGGGCGTTTGTTGCTCATAGGGATCAATTTCATCTTTTTTATTTTATCCTGATATCGAGCCTTCGGACCATTGTCCAGCTTCTCTCTGTATGCTGACAGTCTTTTCTTTTGCGGGATTCATTTTTCGTGGATGTTTTTTTTCTTCACTGTGTCACTATCTTGCAGCCTCCCTGTCGAATGTAAACAAAAAGTTGCCTGTGAAGATGCCGTTTTCTGACTCATTTATGTGACCTTTGAAAGTCCTATGGAGAGATCGATTTGAGTGACGTAGCTGATGATGCAAAAGGGAGATCGAAATGGAGACAGAAAGGAAGGCCGACGACAAAGGGGCAGTCGGCAAGAGGCGATACTCGCACTACTTTCGCTATATTAGTCGAAAGGACAAAAATATTAGTGTGAATAGTTTTTCATGCCATGTTGTATACATTTATACAATAAACAAAAGGATGAGGACTATGCTCAGTGATGAGTGGGCTATGATGTTCGACAATGTACCTCTACACGATAAATTAAGAAAAGGGAAAGTAAAGTGATAAGTAATGAAGTTACATTTCAAATGCAGTAACTAGTGAAGTAATCTCATTACAATTTACAGAAGTAACTACTTACGAGTAACGAATTACTTTTATGAGTAACTATCCCAACACTGGATATGACACAGCCTTCGCTCTAGTTCATGGTAACAGACACACACAAACACATACTGTGCTGGATATCACTTTCATCACATCCTTCCTGTTAATGCTGTGATTGTTGAGGGAACTTTCCTGTGGATGTAATGCATACAATGAGGAGGAAATGTCAAGACCACAGGATGGTCTGTTGACAACCAAATTATGTTGGTGGAGAAGTGTTGTTGTGACGTTTGTGAGATCTCACTTGTCCCAGAAAGATAATGGAGGACACGTGAGTGACTGACACTGGGAGAGTCACAGACCAGCTTGAGTAGAAGGTTAGGAAAAACCTGTTCCTTTCTCTGGACTTGTGATAACAGTCTGAGCCTGTCAGTGGTCAAATAAAGCACTTGTGTTGGGCGCAGTTTGATGATACACAATTGCCCGGTCAAACTACACTCGAGCTCATTTCATGGCTGCTGGCTGTTCTGCTCTCAGTTTTTAAGGAAGTCTAAAAAAGTCTTTGGTTAACAGGACCAGAGGGGGCTGGGAGCTGAACTACTCTTAATAAACAAAGTAAAGCAGCCTATCCCAAAGAAAACAAAGAAAGCACTCCTTTATGACTTGAACAATAGTCAAAAATGTTAGGTTGAGTTCAAAGTAAGTTAGGAACAGGATTGGGGGGGCTGTGTGCTGAGCTGCTTTCAAAATTGTTATCTTAGCTTTTAGGTCCATGTTCTCTAAGACTTTCAGCATTGAATTCTCATTAGGACCCTCTTCCTCTCCATGACAGACAGACTTAGTGTCTCACACCACAAAACACTGAATAATGGTCAAAAATGAAGACTGATTATTTTTTCTTATGTGATGAGATGCTGTGAGCTGAGCTACTGTGTATAAAAACATTGTGTTTTGAATATCTGTCAAGCTAAAATTTGTAACCTAACTGCCTACAGCAATGATCAAACCATTGTATGGCCGCATTATTGATCATTAGGGGTGGGAGAAAAAATCAATACAGCATAGTATCGCAATATTTTGTTTGGTGATATATCGTATTGTCTTATTTATCAAGTATCAATTTTTAAAAATTAACAGCTAATATGGAGTCAAATCTATGATAATGAAAAAATAAAATCAACTGTTTGTTCAGTGAGGTTGGCAAAGGTGACATCACTGAGCAGGAGAAAGTCAGTACCACAAGAAGTGCGACATGAAAATAAAATACAGTGTAAATAAGACAAACATAAAGGAAAGACAAATGCTACATTAGCTAAACAGTTGAAAAATTTGTCTAAATCGCAGTATATTGTATTGCAATACTTGTGCATAGCAAAATGTTAAAAATCGCAGTAATATCGTATTGTGGCCCAAGTATCATGAGAATATCGTATCACAGGGCCACTAGTGATTCCCACCTCTACTGATCATTGGGTTGAAAATGTCTAGAGTTCACTATCCATATGAATACACATTTTCTGCATTCCTCAACAATCCTTTCATCGCCAACCCAAAGTACATATATTTCTCACATACAACAATCATACAGACAACATCACAGTAGAACAGATGAGTCAAAAACACACACAAACTACAGAGAGAGTTTCAATCTTAAAACATTGTTTAAACTGTTACTGGCATACTGTCTGGCGGTGAAAAATATCTACAGCCACAAACTTGATCAAATTGGATAATACTTCATCAGCTAGGCACCAAAAGACAAGAACAAAGCTCCATGTCTTTGAATGTAGATTTAATGAGTGTGCTAAAAAAGTCAGTCAAAGATCAGATAACTGCTAAATGTGCTCTGATATCTCAGCTATTTTCAAAGTTTTGTGAAAAGTATCTAGACATACCACTTTGTCTTCTTTCTGGTTGTCGGAGGATGACAAGCTCCATTCGATATCCAGGGGTCCAGAGTCTTCAGATGCCAGAGAGAACTGACAGTCTAGTTTCACACTCTGACCGCTGGCTTTCTCTAAAGATGTTGGTGCTGTAGATGTGATCTCCAGACCAGAGACCAAACCTGCGCAGAGACAAACAAAGAGAGGACATAAGCTTCAACATCCAGTAATACAAAATAAGTCGGTTAAAGACAAAAACACTGAAGTCCAAACTCATCACAGTGAATTTAGTCTTAATACTAAACTGAGTTAATGACAGTGATTTACAAATTTCAATTAGAAAACTTTACTTTTCATTATTTATATTTTAACCCAAGTCAATTTCCTGAATCACTTTGGTGATATAATCATAGAGCGCCAAGCAGAGCATAGAACAAAAATAAGAAAAATAATGGAGGTATTTCTGGGAAAATATTGTGAATTTCAGCCTAAGATAACAAGCTCAATCTTACAGAGATCCCATTGAGATATCTCATCACTAAGGCTTTTCCAGCTGCTGGAGAAACTGTGGTTGCCAACAGGTATCTCACATATCCACTTGTTCTGATCTAAGGTTCATATTTTTGGTGTATGATACATAAAGGTAAGAAGAATTTTATTTATCCCCGAGGGGAAATTCAATGTGAAATAAATAAAAAATAAAATGAAATACAGAAAGAATTGTTCCTTTTAATTTGGACCAACTTTTCTTTGGAACTTCACACCCATCCACACATCCAAAAAAAATCTACTGTTTTTATTTTAATTACTGAGCACAGTATGCAAAATAATACAGTGCTCACTCTTTGATTATATATTTGCCAAAACATGAATAAGCTGCAGCAGAAGCAAGTGTATGTTGTCTTCGAAGCTGCTTGATTAATTAAGCAAATATATGTGGGGGTATCTGTGACAGCAGCAGCAGCACTGCATTCAAGTTTACATTTTACAGTCATGAGACAGACTCTGCACGTACAGCTTCATCAACACCCCCTCTTGTGCGTTTAGATGAGGGGGCTGCACTTAAGCATTGTATCAGGGGAAAAAGAGCGACAGTATATCATGTGACTCATACAGCATGTCCTGTCCTGTCTTTACAGATCAAATGTGGGCTGCATTTGTGATAGAAATTAAATTGTTCAGCCCTACCTCTGAGGTTTGTTGATTCTGCACTCACAAAACAATTTCTGACAAGTAATTTATTACAGCTGATTCAGGAGTGATGCAGTGTCAGGGATTGTTAGACTATGAAAAGCTTTTCCAGTATTATCAAGCCACACAGCCTGGGAGAATACATGGTGACACTAAAGAGCTCCTTTTAGCCTCCATGACATGAGGTAAAAGCTTTAATTAGAACAGAAACCAACTCCTACTGTCAGTCAGTGGCAATTTATAAGTACAGACATTCAGCACAAAAGATCTTAACAGGTAACAAACAACTGTTGAGTTCTTTTGCAGAGTGCTCCAAATACATGTGGATCTAGTTTTCAGTCTTTTCTTTGTCCAATATTAAAGGCTTTTTCTTTTATTAGTTTGTCCATCCTGAGACCTTAAAGGGATATTTCGGCATAAAATTAAGTTAGGGTCAAACACACCATAACACCGAGTTAGACACCCCCTCGAGAGATGAATGTTGTCGACTGCCTGCTTCTGTAGTTATACCAACTTTGGTAACGACTACACGATAGCAATACACAGCGGTCTATGTCTCCACATGCTGCAATGGAGTTTCGCAGCTCAAGGAAGAACATTTTGTATCATTACTTCATGGAAATGCAATCAGGCCACGATGCTAAGGCAGAAGAACCACCGCATCTGCAGTTAAAATGGTTGTAATGATGATTATTACTTCAAGGAAATGATCCGCTGCACTCGGTGATCGACTCGTCAGGGCTCCCTCACAAACAAGCAGCTGCTGGAGGAGAGTGGGTGAGTTGTGTTTTGTCTCTTTGCCAAAGAAACCAGGCAAAGCTAAAATGATGTTTAATGGCTAGTACTATGGCTGATAATCTAGGGTTAGGGTTAGGTTGACGTACTGTTGATGAAGTTAGGTGCTGTTCTGAGCATTATTTGTGGCTATAGAGTGGCTTTCTGGTTGAGGTTTGCACGTGGACACGTAGACCGCTGTGTACTGCTATCGAGAGGACTTCATGAAAACATGCAATACCGCCTCAATAAGCAGTATTTTCCCAGCTTCTCTATGTGTGGTTGCATTTCAATATATCCCTCCGACAGGATGCTGTTTCTTATATCTACTGATCATTATGTGACAGCTTAAAGTCAGATGGGAGAAAAGAAAAATGGGGAGCTGTGGTCCCTGAAGAAAAACATGACCCCTGCATTTGGCAGCATTTCAGGGTCTGACCCCATGACAGGGGGAAGCCAGAAAATCTAGACCAAATGTTTATGGTATGCAAATCAGTGCACAAATTACAGATGTAAAATGGAACCTATCAATTCATATCGGTGACGGATAGCTCTGGTGGGGATTTTGATAAATGTAGCTCTTATGTGCTTGCGTTTATAAGAGTGCTTGTGCAGTAGCATAAAAAGTTGGAGTTGCACCACTCACTGCAGGATAGGAGTGCAAATATTCATGAAATCTGACACTGACCTGTCAGTCAAAGATGGAAGCAGACCACTCACACAAAATGACAAGGAACTAGAAGATCCCACTGACATGTGGGCATGTGTGGGCAAGCTATGGTTTTCCATAAAATATAACAATAGAGAAAGGCAAGTCCCAGAACTAGGAGTGATGTAAACTGAATTTACATGCTCTGAAAGCAACTCCGTTAACAATAGAGATGATTTACAAGAAAGATCTTGTGGCTATGCATTATAGATGTCAACAGAGGAGCTCAGTGGGAGGATGACTTCCTGTTTGTAGATCCAAATTTTAATCGGGGGTGCTCTGTAAAGCAACCAAGTATCAAAGGGGCAGTGTTGAGTGGAATTTATGGACTGAAGAAGTGACTTGGTACGGTTTTTGTTGTAATATCATGTTGACAGTATGAAGACTACACATATAATTAATCTAGGCCACTCCTCTGAAGATCTACAAGGTGATTTCTTATTAATCACGGTAACATCCTGCTATAATGTGGGGGAGGATAGCACCCACCTTAACAGCAGACCAAAGATTATAAACTGTTGTAGTGACTTGCTTTACAGGAGCAGCTGTCAAATGTTGTGATTTGAAAAATGTGTCGCTCATTAAATAAAGATGGCTACATCTTGTCTGAGAAGTGGTTCTTTTAAAATATACATGATGTAAATCACAAAGTGAAAAAAGACAGAGAGCAGGCCCTGCTGAAGCAGTGGTGGTTATGATGAAGAGGAAACGCAGCCCATCACCAAAGTGGAGCAGATTCTCAAGCATTTATTCTTAGAAACGAATAAACATAAATTCCTGGTGACATCAACTGGGTTAAGATTCTCCATTCAGTGAGAGATTTAAGCCGCAGCGAGGAACACAGTCCATAGAGAATGGAGTTGTCACATGCTGCCTCGACACATTAAAATCCTTCTGACAGCCTGCCACCTTCCACTCAGCGAAGAGGAGGGAGGGGAGAACAGCTTTAAAAAAAAAAGAGAGAAATCACCACAATATGTTGCTGCTGCTAACAGGCACTGCAAATGTGTTACACTTCTCACGTCGCACCAATGACTCCAAACATATGTAAGGGAAATTTGGTGCTCATCATGAAAGAGAATTGCCCTCAGCTTAATCTGCATCTCATTTACCTCCCTCTAAAGACAGATGGAGCTGACAGTTACGTGTTGAAACAGGAGTCAGGATTGCTACTGTAAACACTTAACCTCTTCTCTATCTGCAAGACTGATTCCTTTAAAACGTTCCTATAAAAGAAGACAGAATGTGCAGAATCTGTCCTTCAACCACTCCGTACTTTGTAGAAACGCAGGGGAAAGCAATTCATATCAATGCAGACAAAACAGCCAAAATACAAAACACATGGTATATGTTCAGCACAAGCATAAGTGTTAACTTATCTCAAAATTATTTTCTTGTTTCAGCCTACGCCTGACATGAAGATAGAGGCCACATCTCAACTACTGTCTCTTTAAGACACTTTAAGACACTCTTGAACCCGGCATCCCAGCAGGCTTCTCCACTGTTTCCAAACTAAATAGTGTCTAATTAAAGTCACAAATTATAAAATAAAGTCAGAAATGTACGACCTAAAATCTAACCCAAAAAAAAATCCAAAAACAGACAAAAAAACTTTGAGCACCATCATTTCATCGTTTCAGTTCTCGCTCAGTTTTTTTTTTACAAGAATAAGAGTAGAAAAACAGAACTGAACCGTTTCTGAAATCTGAGTTTTCATTGGAACTTTGTGGTAAAGTTTGAATACAAACTGTAATGAGCTGTTCAAACTCTAAATGTATTGGGCCGGCTGAAGTAGCTGTCAGTTTGATCCAGCAGAGGGCGCTTTCATCGTTACCTGACTATTGAATAGCGCTCTTAATCTCAGTAAATTAATACAGTCATTATTCATTCATGAATTACATAGAGGTCATATGCTGCATCAAACCATCCTGGGCATACAGGTACAGTGGAACACGAAACAACAGCAAGAAACATCAAAAGAAAAACCCACACGCAGTTCTGATCAAGTTGTCAAATTTTATACCCTATTTTTATTTAAATACTATTTGAAAAATGAGTCATTAGACTGTTTGAAAAGCCAACTGTTTGAGATTATGAAATTTTCTCTTTTAATTCACATTTTCTTCTACTAAAAGCGTTTTTAACACAAACAGCATGTCATGTTTGATGCTTGTTCAGACTAGTTTTTAAAAAGTGACAGCCTTATTAGCAACTGTAACATAAGGTATGCTATAGAAATTCATATCAGGTGTCATGTATGGTGTCGTGAAACATGTAAAATGTGTAAGTTAAGACAAGTAACTCAAGATGTATTTGTTAAATATAAAAGAATTTGTTACCGGGCATTTATTGGGCTGCAAAGCAGGAATCTTTCAGAGTGTGCTTTACAGCTGAAAATGACAGAGACATCAGCCAGGACAGAAGAAAGGTTTCTGAAAAGCTTTCCTCCTCCTGTCATCAGACCCAATTCTCTCCAAGCCTCATCAGTTCTCTGGGAGAGGACACCATCATCCAGAAAACACATCTCTCTGTGGTATCATCTCACTCCAGCGGAAGGCTTTCATGCTTTTTCACTGCGGGAATACCTGAATGTGTAGCTGGCTGTTGTGTTTTTTGACACTCCAATCCTTTTCTATTCAAACACCTGCCAATATGTAAACACTGCCTTAAAATGCATATCCCTGAATGTTCAATAATAATATGCAGGCTTTTTAAGGTTGATGCCAATATCTGTATTTGAGAATGTGCAGACTGGATCCTCAGGAGGGTTATAGATGCTGAGCTATGACTACCTTGAGGACTTTCTGCTTTTTCAGCCTTGTGTGCCTCACCTGAAAATACACAAGAACAATCAGGCGAACCATAAAAATTCAACTTTTAATCTGAACTTTGCACCCCTCAGTCTGTTATCAGGCAGGGAGAGAGGCATTAAATGTGGCACTGCTAGACCAGCACCTAGCATTGCTTTTTCACTTTCTTTTTAGTTTTTCCAAGATCCGATTATCACTCAAGCGTATGTCTCACAAAAGAGACCATTAAAACAAATTTCATTATCAGTTTTCATTTTGACATTTAAGGTGGCTTGATTAATTCATGACGTCCACTCATGCACTGAGTAACATGAAAGAAAACAGTCTACCTTAATATTTCTGGTAGCTTTCAAGCAGTGGCTGTAGATTGAATGATACCAGCCAGTACTGACCAGAGCCATATGCATCTGCATTGCTATATCATTGATATCGCAATGTGACACTTGTTTATCACATGGAAATTTAAACAGGTAATACCCTGGACAGCATTATTTAACACACAGCTAGACAGATAATGTGATGTATTACAGACTGATTGCCTTGAATCTTATCAAATAATGTAGGATAGCTGTGTCATGTGGACTATGTCGGGACTCTCCTTGTATAATAAGTTACCTTGTGATTCTAAATCTTAGTCAGGTTTGCAACTTTAAAGGACTCTGTGAAATAAGGCAAGTGGATCGTATTGGATTAACATCATGTTTTAGATGAAAGATGAATACATTTTAAAAAGTGAACTTGGCCATACTCCGCCATTGTTACTGTGATGTCAGATGGTTGCTACACTCTAGCTGCTGTTTATCTCCAAGAGTCGTCTGTCAAGGCTATGTCAATAATGTGAATGCAGTTTAAGTGTGGAGGAATATGAAGCCCTACGAAAATGTGTTTTATGTTTTTCCAAATTCCGTTTTTTTTTTTTTCGTTTTAATTGTTCAAAATTCCATTTTTTTACCTTTTACACTCATGTACTACCATAGGGTGTGTGCTTTTTGTGTCAGTAAATAAAATGCAGATATTCCTAAATTTATAGCTGTAATAAATAACTGTCCAGTATTTCAAGTCAAAACATAATGTAGTAATGTATCAAAAAGTGCTTTAGTTATTAAGTTTTAATCATTTTTAGCATTAGCTAGCATTAGCAGCAGCACAGTATTTTCTTTGTTTTTCACATTGGTTTTAGACGACGAGTGGTCATCAGACCTATTTTCACGTTTCCAGTCGATGGCAAGACAAGAGTTTCTACGTTTTTCGCAGATGTAGCCGGTGTCTCTGGAAGCCACTTCCACATGCTGTTTATTCAGGAGGGAGGGGGCGGGTGAGTGTTTGTGAAGAGATGCACAGGTGGTGCCACGAATGAGCGGGAACATTTCCCTTGACAAACGTTCCTTATCCTCGTAATAACAACATTTGAGTCACATTATGCCAATTTCCATGAAATTCTACATTTAACATTAGATTGCGTTTTTATTGGCCAACTCTTGATTCTGTCAGCGATACCGCGAATGGGGAAATCATAGGGCCCTACTCTTAATTTGTACATATGTCAAGCCCATTTATCTCTCTGTTCCTGATTGCATAAAAAGCCCCATGTGATCTACCTCTGCTGTATTTGCAACCTAATCTAGTGCATGATTTCTGTCTCCACATGCTTTAATGACACTACCAGGAGATGACAGTAAGAACACACATTTCATAACACGGATATGGGTAAGTTCTCATTTTGATCCACACGAGGAGTAACATCTTCATTACTGTCCTCTGGACTCACAATGCACTTGCACTTTTGAAATAGACTCGACAGACGTCACACAGGGAAAGTTCAGACATAGGAAGCAGCAGAGCAAAGCAACCATCTGACGTCACAGTGTAAATGAACAACAGCAGCGCACAAGAAAATTAATTTTTTAAAAGCTTTCAAATTGTAGAAATCTTTCGTGTTTCTTTCAACTGCATATGTCTGTTATACATATTTAAACCAATAAGGTCAACATGTTTTGTAATAGAGTTCCTTTTAAATGATGTGTCATGGTTCAACTGAAAAATTTAGACAAAGAGGAAACTGTGAGGGGACTTCACAAAGGCTGCTGTGGTGCTCCTGGTCCTCAGGAGGGCATGAACTACAGGTGGAGGACTAACTTCACATCTTCAAGCCTTAAAACTCGACTTCTATTTGAGCTGTGGTAGGTAACTGAGTGAACCTACACCACTGAGGTTTTCACGGACACACACACACACACACACACACACACACACACACACACACACACACACATACTGGTTTCCATGGTTGATGAGGACCAATGTTTTGATCATTACTTCCGGGGACCACCCTTTCTAAAGGCTCTGGAGGACTGAAAAAAATCAAGTAGACTAAACAGAGGCCTGTTAGCTCATACACAACTTCAAATGTCTGAATTGATGAGTTGATGTTGTCCCCATCCTAAGTGGGGACCTATAAAGAACCGGTTGAATGTTACTGATGGGGACTAAATTTAAATATCATTTGCATAATTTTGCATTTTTAACACAACAATGGTCATGATTATTGGGGACTTAGCAATAAATGTACTATTATTATATCTAAATGTAGTAAATCCTCTGGTTATTGCATTTCTTTTTAAAGTTTAATGTGTGGATGGACTCTAAGCAGGAATAAAAGATACATTTGTTGCAAATCAATCACACAACTTCGTTATTTTGACTAGTTTCAATATGTAAATAAAGAGGTGAAGTTTGGGGTCTGAAAAGGTTTAAGTGATCCAAAGGATCACTTTTGCAAAAGTCTTGCTGTATATGTTGCCACCTTAAGAGCTTGTTAAGAGATTGAAATGTATTCATAGGTCTAATGATATCATCTGTATCATTAAAGTAATATTCATAAATAAGGTAAAGACTCTCTATTCTAATGAATAATTTTAATACATTTTAACCACAACCGCCCAGCTTTAGCCCCAGCTCCTCAACCTCCTGACACCTTGTGTGAAATCAGCAAAACTACCCCTACCAAATGAACTTCGAGGCACCAGAATTTTTTAAATGGCAACACTCAATTTTTAATGAATACAACTCCTGAAATAAATCCAACACACCAACAAAAAGTTTGGAGTCAAATAGATAACAAAAAAAAAAGAAAAAAATCTTAATGCCTGAGTTCTGCAAAGTGATTACATCACCATCATTCTATCATCAGTGTGAATTTAAGTAGACACCCAACAATATCACATTTAGTATAAACTCACTCAAACTTCTAACAATTTCAAGTCTTAATGCCTGAGTTCTCCATAGGAACTGAAAATGTGAACTGTGGACACAAAAGAAGGTCTTCAGTAACCAGATTAAACAAGGAAAAACATCACTCAGCAGACTGAGAGAAAAAGGAAAAGTGTGGAGGGTTTTACGCTTCCTTGCAAATAACTAACTGATTTTAGTTGGCACTGAAACACTGAACATACAGTGCAGAAGGAGGCAGTGTGTTCAGTGTGATCCACAAGTGAATATTAACAAAAAATGACCTACCGTAGGAATGGTTATCTCAAATTACTGAAGTTGCACTTTCCTTTTGAAAGCTGTAATGCGGTTGTACACATAGAACTTTACGTTCTGCCAGGTGCGGTCCTTCAGAGCTTCTGGTTCAGCACTTAAACACTTCTGACAGTCGCTTTTGGATGGTACAATGCAGGATGTAATGAATCTTTTCAGGTGCCTTTCCACCGCCTGCACCTCTCTCTGTTGCCAGGGCATTTTCTTCTGTTTTTTCTGGGGAGCTTTGCCTTGAGGCGGCCAGAAAAACAAAATTGTGATTAAAAAAGGGGCAAAGAAAAATAATTAGTGTATGCCATTTTTTGTAGTTATTTGCGCTGATGAATAGAAATACATTTTCATCTGTGTGATTTCCTTACATTTATTTCATGCCTGAATGTAAACAGTAAGGACTGTTTTTAATGTAAATAAAATAATTTTCAAAAAGTTCAACTCTTGAAAATAACATTTAGTTCATGAAGCTATGAACTTTATTGTTTCTTTTTGAAATAAATGTGATGCACATTTTGTACAAGCACTCCTGCATAATTGTTATTACTGCATTGGGGTTATCCTCTAAAATGAATTGAAAAAGCCCTGTATTTAACGGAATAAGCATGAAACCCTTGACAAGATCCTAAGCTTTGTAATCTTGATATTTCTGTGCAACTAAAGCAAAACAAATCAGTTGCAACAGTGACAATTCTACACCAAAATGTTTAAATCAAAATAATTATTAATTAAAACAGCAAAGACGAAAATCAGGTGTGAATTCAAGCAGCTTAGTTACCTTTGGAGGAAGGCTTCATAGCCCCACCTGGAGGTACCTCATCACCTGGTGATGGTGGTCTGCGTCTTTTGGATGCTGACTGCTGCATTTCACTCTCTTCTGTAGGAGGACACAACCCCTCTGCTGATGGTTCTATGGACAAAGACCAAATTCCACATTTTCAAGAAGTGTAGAGAAATTGATATTTATTTATGAATGTCAATTATATCATCTCGTTGAGCACACATCTCCTCAAACTCAGAGGTGATGGATAATCACCAAAATTTGTGTAGTCTCTCTCCATCTCTTTGTGAGCATGTTCAGAGTATTTTGCAAAAAAAAGACAAAGTTCAAGATTAATTTGACATGACAGTGTCATTTTTGCCAAGTTTTCTATAAAGAGTGAATTTCTTTTGGCCCATGATAAAAATCTTATGCCATGACAGACCCAAGTAAAGATTTCTTGATAACTTACTCTCCCTTTCAACTGTCAGTTAATTAAAAGATTGAGATGGGGGACTAACAATTTTTACCAGAGGGTTAGAGTACAACTAGTGTATTAGAATAGCTGGTAACTGGTATGTCATCAGTAATTAACTGACAAGACATACCTTCAACAGTAGAAGTTTCCCCCTGGATGCTCCTGTCATCCTCTTCTTCTTCACTGTCAAGAACTTTTTCTGTGAAAGTAGTACAGAGTACATTCTTCCAATGTGAATTAAATAATCTGGTAAACAAAGCAAAACAAAAAAGTCAAATAAAATAACTTACCATCTGGCTCTATCCTTATTTCATCTAAGTTCTTGCCATGAAAGTCAGATAATCTTCCTTGCTCAAGTGCCATTAGAACCTTGCTTATCTTGGCAAGCTGTAGGGTCTTTTCAGGGAGTCTGTAGAACTCTCGGTGGATTCTGATGTCATGGCCAAGAAAGTTGGCCAGCTGGTCCATCTCCGTATCTGTCATGTTAAGCACTGTCGAAAGAGTTGCAGCATGCTTTCGAAGTCTGGTCGATGTCAGTGACCTTGGACACTTTGCATTGCACCCCTTTGCAAAGCTACGGAGGCAGTCTGAACCTCGGAAATGTGACATTGCTCCTGGTCTTGCGAACATATAACAGTTTTCATTTAGAACCCCACAAGCCTCTCTCTGTTTGACAAGGAGTTCCAGTAAACACAGCATTTTTGGAGTCAGAAGTATTGGGACCGGCCGACCACGTTTACCTCTGATGACAATCCTTGAGAAGTGTCTGCACAGCTTTTTCTCCACTTCAGAGAGTGCCCAGTCCACATCCTCATGTGCATCAGTGGAGTCTCTTGATAAAAATGCCGATAAGGGCATGCTTGACACCTCACCCTCCCTGCGACGGTTAAAGAGAATAATCTGGGCCAAACACACCTTTGCCAGCTCCATCCAGGCTCTTGTAGAGGGACTTTCTGAGAGAGATTTGTGCCACTCATCTTGCATTTGACTGAGATAAGTGTGCATCTTTTGGACATCTTGGGTAAAGGGCATAAGAGTAGGGACATTCCACTTTGCTTCCCTGATGTTTCTCAAGGCAGTTGCTGAGATCACTTCATTCCACTTCTCCTGATGCACCTCTTGAAACCCACTGGCATTCTTCACAAGCTCGTTGTTGTTGGATATTAAACCCTGAGCTTTTAATAGTTTGCTTGCTTTAACCAGGGCATTTCCAAGTTTGATAGCCAGTGATGGAATGAGGAACTTGTTTGTGTCACTTTCATACCCACATGTAAGCTTGACAGCTTTGACAGTCTCCATGTACTTCTCTGGATTGATGAGGTCCTCCATTTTGTTTAATGTGGTGCCTCTCCTGGCACTCTTGATCAACCTTCCCAATTCTCGCATCTTCTCTCTCACATTCTGTTTATTTTTGTCTGATGACCCACCTTTGTTTAGCAAGTGTTGTCCAATATCAAGAATGACTTTGTCATTTTTTATGATGTCAGTGATTGGGTCAGGATTCATGCTACTGATTACTTCCCACAGTTCTTTTTTTATGTAGGAAGGCACAGGTTCTGCATATTTACACATGGACTGGACACGGTTCTTTCCTGGTTTGGGGGTGACTGATTCAGGTCTGAGTCTACATCTACGCATGTGTCGCCACAGGACTTTTCTGGTAAAAAGTGCTTGGCAATATGCACAATGCATAAAGTCCTTTCCCTCTAACTCTTCAACTGGTCGTTTGAATGCAACAAGTTTCCCCTTTCCTGACTCCATGACTGCAGCATTGTGTGCAAAGTTCCCTTGGTTGCGAATATAATCTAGTTGTAATTTTCTTTTCTTGGAGCCCTTTGGAAAGCTTAGAGCTTTGGCTACACTGGATATATCCATATGTGCAGCCTCTAGATGTCTGGCCATCTTTGCATAAGGCTTAGAGCAATACAGACAATAATGTCTTTTGTCATAAACTCTTTTCCCAGCTCTCTTTTGGCATGCAGTAACAACTATCACGTCATTTATGTTCTGGCTTGAGCAAGGCTCTTCTTCTGCTCCAGTGGCTTTGGATGGAAGAAAGAGATGGTCTGGCGTTGTGCTGTCAACTTCAGGGGAGCTCACTGGGTCAGGAACATAAGTTTTGTCAGCAAGAGACCTTTGAGTCTTTGGGCTAAGGTGAAGGCTAGTATCACTATCACTGTCACTTTCGCATGTGGTATCTGGAATGTAATCATCTCCACTCTCAGATGCAGAATCATACAGTTCAGCAGAATCTTCAAGATTTATGTCTTTCATCTAAAAAAAAGAAATGTAATTCAAAATATGTAAAACTTTCAATTTGGTTAACAAACAGTACAGAGAAATATTCAAGGGAAACATATGTTATGGACTGATTTTGTTATTTCAGTTTTGGAAAGCATGTACAATTATGCTCAATTGCTTCTTTACAGTGTTCACTAAGACAAAACCTCTGCCAGGTCTTGGTAACCATGAGGCCACTCAGTTATATTTGCACACAACTTTGGCCTTGACAAGAGACAGGTCTCTCACTTAAGTGAAAAACAGCCAAAGATCCAGACTAGTAACATTTCTAAGATGCAATGAGACAGGTGTCTACTCTCATGTTTTAAACACAGTTAGATTAATATTGCATATTCATGATCTGACTTTAAACCTTACATCAAATTTGCTGAAAACTAAGACAAAAAAAATTTCTTCAGAGATGTTTTGAATACTGAAATGTGGAATGTCTTTACATTTGCCATTTCCCTCAGCTTTGAGAAAAAGTCAGAGGCATTCAAGGCTCTCATATTTAATGACTTCAATTTTGAAACTTACAATGACACTTTTGGTCCGTCTCAACTTTGGCACAGAGATCTCAACGTCACTCTGAGAGGCGACAATCTGACAACAAAAGAAACTATAAACATCATATTTCCAATATAACAGAATATACACTTAATAAAATTGAATTGTCCCTTTACTACCAAATTTTATCAGTGCAGTGGATATATTGGCAGTATGGCATTTTTTTTAAGGCTGTGTTAAGCATGTAAAAAGCTAGTACATTACAGATAAGGTGCCTTGATGTTTATATTAAATAATATATGCAGGATTTTTCTATTGACCACAACAGGCTTTGTGGGGACACTTCACACACTAGATTAAGCTGCCTTGTGGGGACCAGATGTGTCTGAATCTGGTCCTCTACCCAGAGTGAGAAATTACTCAAAGTGTCTTATGGGGACATCGTAAGTGTTCACAATGTACTGAAAATTAATAAATAAGAAAACTCCAGAGCAGGCTCAGATTGATCTTGTATCTCATACAAACTACCGAGCTTCTACAAACTTTACAATTGACTGCCTAATTCACTGGTTCAAACTGAATTTCATGATTTTTTACCCAATTTTGTCACTTTTTAGCTGTATAAGAAAAAAAAAAACATGAAAGTAATGACATTTCCCATAGAGGATCAACAGGTGCTTCTAATTTAACCCTATCTTATTTTAAAAGAAAAGGTTTTAAATGAATTGAAAAGTTATATATATGACTCACCTGATCAGAGGTTTTATCCTGACCCATGGTGTCATCTATCAGAGCCTCCAGCTGGGTGGAGGGATTGGGGATGTCCACCTCCCAGTTGTTCAGTAGGCCCCTAGTCTCCTGTGGATACACATTACAAAATATTTTTGATTTAGAGAAATCAAAACTTGAATAAATTTGACATAACTACAGTATAATACACATGGAATCTTTCTAAAAACACAACAGGCTTTGTGGGGACACTTCACACACTAGATTAAGCTGCCTTGTGGGGACCACATGTGTCTGAATCTGCTTCTCTACCCAGAGTGAGAAATTACTCAAAGTGTCTTATGGGGACATCTTAAGTGTTTTTACAATACACTGATAATAAATCAATAAGAAAACTCCAGAGCAGGCTCAAACCAAAACCTGTATCTCATACAAACCACCAAGCTTCTATGTTCTTTACATTTGACTGCCCAGTGCACTGGTTCAAACTGAATTTCATGATTTTTTACCCTATTTTGTCACTTTTTAGCATTATGCGACATCAAATATGACAGAAGAATGGTTTTAATATGAAATGTAAGGTTATAAATATGACTCACCTGATCAGAGGGGCTATCTTGACCAATGGTGTCATCTTTGGTAGCCTGTGGCTGTGTGGAGGGATTGGGGATGTCCACCTCCATGTTGTGCAGTAGGCACCTAGTCTCCTGTGGATCAAATCACAAAAATATATTTGATTTAGAAAAATTAAAAAAGAATAAATTTGACATAACTACATTATAATACACATGGATTTTTTCTAAAAACACAACAGGCTTTGTGGGGACGCGTCACACACTAGATTAAGCTGCCTTAAGGGGACCACATGTGTCTGAATCTGCTTCTCTACCCAGAGTGAGAAACTGACTCAAAGTGTCTTATGGGGACATCGTAAGTGTTTACAATTCACTGATAATAAATCAATAAGAAAACTCCAGAGCAGGCTCAGACCAAAACCTGTATCTCATACAAACCACCAAGCTTCTATGTTGTTTACATTTGACTGCCCAGTGCACTGGTTCAAACTGAATTTCATGATTTTTTACCCTATTTTTTCACTTTTTAGCATTGTAAGACATCAAACATGACAAAAAATTGTAATAAAATGAAATGTAAGGTGATAAATATGACTCACCTGATCAGAGGTGCTATCTTGACCAATGGTGTCATCTTTGGTAGCCTGTGGCTGGGTGGAGGGATTGGGGATGTCCACCTCCCAGTTATGCAGTAGGCCCCTAGTCTCCTGTGGATCAAATAACAAAAATATATTTGATTTAGAGAAATAAAAAAAGAATAAATTTGCCATAACTACATTAAAATACACATGGATTTTTTCAAAAAACACAACAGGCTTTGTGGGGACGCGTCACACACGAGATTAAGCTGCCTTGTGGGGACCACATGTGTCTGAATCTGCTTCTCTACCCAGAGTGAGAAACTGACTCAAAGTGTCTTATGGGGACATTGTAAGTGTTTACAATTCACTGATAATAAATCAATAAGAAAACTCCAGAGCAGGCTCAAACCAAAACATTTATCTTATACAAACCACCAAGCTTCTATGTTCTTTACATTTGACTGCACATTGCACTGGTTCAAACTGAATTTCATGATTTTTTACCCTATTTTGTCACTTTTTAGCATTGTAAGACATCAAATCTGACAGAAGAATGGTTTTAATATGAAATGTAAGGTGATAAATATGACTCACCTGATCAGAGGTGCTATCTTGACCAATGGTGTCATCTTTGGTAGCCTGTGGCTGTGTGGAGGGATTGGCGATGTCCACCTCCATGTTGTTCAGTAGGCCCCTAGTCTCCTGTGGATACACATTACAAAATATATTTGATTTGGAGAAATTGAAACTTGAATAAATTTGCCATAACTACATTATAATACACATGGATTTTTTCTAAAAACACAATACACTTTGTGGGGACACTTCACACACTAGATTAAGCTGCCTTGTGGGGACCAGATGTGTCTGAATCTGCTTCTCTACCCAGAGTGAGAAATTACTCAAAGTGTCTTATGGGGACATCGTAAGTGTTTACAATTCACTGATAATAAATCAATAAGAAAACTCCAGAGCAGGCTCAAACCAAAACCTTTATCTTATACAAACCACCAAGCTTCTATGTTGTTTACATTTGACTGCCCAGTGCACTGGTTCAAACTGAATTTCATGATTTTTTACCCTATTTTGTCACTTTTTAGCATTGTAAGACATCAAATCTGACAGAAGAATGGTTTTAATATGAAATGTAAGGTGATAAATATGACTCACCTGATCAGAGGTGCTATCTTGACCCATGGTGTCATCTTTGGTAGCCTGTGGCTGGGTTGAGGGATTGGGGATGTCCACCTCCATGTTGTTCAGTAGGCCCCTAGTCTCCTGTGGATACACATAACAAAATATATTTGATTTGGAGAAATTGAAACTTGAATAAATTTGCAATAACTACATTATAATACACATGGATTTTTTCTAAAAACACAATACACTTTGTGGGGACACTTCACACACTAGATAAAGCTGCCTTGTGGGGACCAGATGTGTCTGAATCTGCTTCTTTACCCAGAGTGAGAAACTGACTCAAAGTGTCTTATGGGGACATCGTAAGTGTTTACAATACACTGATAATTAATCAATAAGAAAACTCCAGAGCAGGCTCAGACCATAACCTGTATCTCATACAAACCACCAAGCTTCTATGTTGTTTACATTTGACTGCCCAGTGCACTGGTTTAAACTGAATTTCATGATTTTTTACCCTATTTTGTCACTTTTTAGCATTGTAAGACATCAAATCTGACAGAAGAATGGTTTTAATATGAAATGTAAGGTGATAAATATGACTCACCTGATCAGAGGTGCTATCTTGACCAATGGTGTCATCTTTGGTAGCCTGTGGCTGTGTGGAGGGATTGGGGATGTCCACCTCCGGGTTATGCAGTAGGCCCCTAGTCTCCTGTGGATCAAATAACAAAAATATATTTGATTTAGAGAAATAAAAAAAGAATAAATTTGCCATAACTACATTAAAATACACATGGAATTTTTCAAAAAACACAACAGGCTTTGTGGGGACGCGTCACACACGAGATTAAGCTGCCTTGTGGGGACCATATGTGTCTGAATCTGCTTCTCTACCCAGAGTGAGAAACTGACTCAAAGTGTCTTATGGGGACATTGTAAGTGTTTACAATTCACTGATAATAAATCAATAAGAAAACTCCAGAGCAGGCTCAGACCAAAACATTTATCTTATACAAACCACCAAGCTTCTATGTTCTTTACATTTGACTGCCCAGTGCACTGGTTCAAACTGAATTTCATGATTTTTTACCCTATTTTTTCACTTTTTAGCAATGTAAGACATCAAATCTGACAGAAGAATGGTTTTAATATGAAATGTAAGGTGATAAATATGACTCACCTGATCAGAGGTGCTATCTTGACCAATGGTGTCATCTTTGGTAGCCTGTGGCTGTGTGGAGGGATTGGGGATGTCCACCTCCGGGTTATGCAGTAGGCCCCTAGTCTCCTGTGGATCAAATAACAAAAATATATTTGATTTGGAGAAATTGAAACTTGAATAAATTTGCAATAACTACATTATAATACACATGGATTTTTTCTAAAAACACAATACACTTTGTGGGGACACTTCACACACTAGATTAAGCTGCCTTGTGGGGACCAGATGTGTCTGAATCTGCTTCTCTACCCAGAGTGAGAAATTACTCAAAGTGTCTTATGGGGACATCGTAAGTGTTTACAATTCACTGATAATAAATCAATATGAAAACTCCAGAGCAGGCTCAAACCAAAACCTTTATCTTATACAAACCACCAAGCTTCTATGTTGTTTACATTTGACTGCCCAGTGCACTGGTTCAAACTGAATTTCATGATTTTTTACCCTATTTTGTCACTTTTTAGCATTGTAAGACATCAAATCTGACAGAAGAATGGTTTTAATATGAAATGTAAGGTGATAAATATGACTCACCTGATCAGAGGTGCTATCTTGACCAATGGCATCATCTTTGGTAGCCTTCGGCTGGGTGGAGGGATTGGGGATGTCCACCTCCAGGAAGTTTAGTAGGGTCCTAGCCTCCTGTTGATACACATTGTAAAACTATAAATTTTGATAGTGAATACTTATTAGACTTGATAAAAAATGCACTGAATTAAACACATGTTAAGAACACTTCACTGGGGGCTGAGATGGATGCAATGTACCTTTTGGCGAGTATGCTTTATGTGCTTATCCTTTGGGACATTGGAGTGGAGGGACTTGCTTGACCCTTTCACAGTTTCCTCAGCCACCTTTGAACATATTAATTTTTATGTATCTTGAATTACTTTTTTACTTCAGTTTTAAAAAATGAGCCAATCTTAGTGCAACATACTTGTGTTCGCCATGGGCAGTCAGCATCTCCATAATCATAGGTTATTTCTTCTCCCTCTTTAATGTCGTTCAGTGCAAACAAACAAAGGTGTGGGTTTCCGGTCACCTCAATTTTTTTCATCTTACAGTTTGGAGACCTGTGTTCATCATTGACCAGTCGCCCATATGATTCATCTTCTCTTGATGCATCAATGCTTGAAAAATCAAAACACAAGACAATGAGAAACTAAATATCACAGTATTTCTTAAGAAAGTCAAAACCCTTTGATAGTAGAGTGTCATCCTACCACCATGTTTTCCCTCTCCACTGAAATGCAAACATAAATGCAGCACATGATGGGTGGTAAAGTTTTCTTCTGCTGCTGTATTCTGCATCCGTTATCAAATCTCCCCTGTATTCAACAACAAAATCTCCTTTGCAAAAAGGAGTCTTTGCAAATACACCACGTCCTAAAAAAGATAGCAGAAACATTTAACAGAAAAGTGAGACCTTAATGCTGTGTATTAATTTAGACCTCAAGAGATAGTAAGCCTATACAAAGCTGCAATCTCTAGCTTAACTAGTTTATCCTGACATCTTACATCAAATACTTATGAGATGGCAATTGTATACATAAGGAGTAATTCACAAATATGTCCTGTCACCTTACCTTTTATTGCATTGATAAACTTCACCTCTAATTTGGATATCTTGTCAGACCTTGACAAAACATGATGACTGGCATCTTTAAGAGGGCTTATCCGTGGTGGCATTTCAAACCAAGGGATATATTTCAAACCTGCAATAAATGTAGTCACATTATGAAGGCTTTAATGGTATTAGATCTATATATGCAGAGGTGTTTTACATTTGATTTCAAAACCCAATTCAAACCAGTGTTAAGCTGTAAAGAACATTACATTAAATTTTAGTCTATTGCTGGTTTAGTGTGGACTATTTGTGAATTTTAGTCAGAATTTGTAACCATTTTAGTCACTGTATACATTAAAAAGACCAGTAAGAGTTTTCACTCATACAGCCCTTATTTCTTTCATATTATGAAAGGATGTCAAGGTCATTGATAATCTTTGTAATAGTTGTCAGACGCTGCCAATATTTTTTCCAACGATAAACTCTATAATTCATTTATTACTGAAGTCTTCTAGTGAATTTAGTCTCATATTCTACACAGTATTTACTAATCATCTGTTAAGTCATTACTCACTGCCCACTGAACACCCCAAACCAACTTCTAAATCTCACAAAATCATAAAAACTTACACTGTATCTTACTTCTAGAAAGTCTCTGGTAATTATTTTAATGATCTGGACCTAAATTTTGTCAAACTGACACTGGACAGGTGAAAACTTTTGATCCAACTAAAGGGGTTAGCTAAATAACGTCTTAGCTAGCTAACTGATGTGCTGAATGTCGACACTGTGGAAAAGCTGTAAAACTACAAATCAATCAGAAACCCCTGCTATGTCATTTCTTCTTTACTTCTGAAAATATAAAAGTCTGTAAAAACACCTGGCACTTACTGCATGTGTCTGAGATCCTGCACCATGCTCTCCGTTTTCCTGATTACCATCAGCTGCATTTCAACCGTGGCTCGATGTTACGTTCAGACTTAAAACATACTTGACTTCCTCCATGATGTCAAAATAAAAGCCACGGATAGGAAGTTGTATTCTCACGTCAGTATTTTAATGTTGTCATAATTTCCATCTAGAAACTCAAATTTCACTTTTTTAAAAGATGGAAATCGCATTTCGTTTGACTGTTTGAATTGTATTTAAAAAATACACAAATTACCTTAGTCAGACCTTTGTTTTTATATATGTGTGTATATATATATATATATATATATATATATATATATATATATAGTATTGATACTATGAAGTTGGAGAAAGTTTTAATGCAGCTGAGATAGTTTTATCTGAAAGCTAGTTTTGTATCTTATGAAGAGAAACAATTAGCTTTTCTTGATGTATTGAACCATGAGCCTACCTATCACTAATTTTGATTTGAATTTGTCTCCTTTTTATTAAATTGTAACTGGTTAAAAAGATGTCTTAAAACATCTGAGGCGTTTAAGCTGAGTTATCCTAGTATTTATGGTCTGAATTACAAACTTTCGTGCAGTAGTAAAAAGTTTGTTGAACTTAGGTGCTTACCTTTTGCATCTCTGTCATTCCTTTGTAAAGAAATCCTGTGAGTCTTTGCATCTTCATCAAACAATCCTCTGTGTCCACCGTGCACTTATTTCTCTGAAGACAACTTAAACACTCAAAATTATGTCGGCGATATTATTGTTCCTAATGGGGACTGGGAAGTAGGCGGTTCCTACCCATATTTGGAATATGTGTGTGTGGAGCCAACAAGTGCATTACCAGCCAAAAACTATAGAGGGGGCTACTGTGCATGCCACACACACACACACTAGTGGATAAACATGCTTTTTGGGCCAACTCTAAAAATCACATAGGCAACATCAGAGGAGCTCCTGCAATCATTTAAAAGGGTTTCCCTCATGGGGACCTCAATTTTGGTCCCCAAACTGCAAGAGGTCCCCATGAGGTGACTGTGTAAACAGACTTTTGTCCTCATGAGGCGATGAATACCAGAACACACACACACACACACACACACACACACACACACACACACACACACAGGCGAGTGACAATCTCAGTCACACCCGCTATTGTTGAAGCTCAGCGCCTCTCAGCATTTGATACAGCTGCAAAGCAAAAGCATGTTTTTTTTTTCCCAGGCTTCCTGTGCTGCAGCTGGTCGTTTCAGCCCACAGATTCTGACAGACGCCCTTGATGGGAGCGATCCGTCGCCTCCAGCAGAAAAACGTGAGAAGAAGAGAAATAGAGAGAGAGCTGAGATGTGTGTCCATCAATGTCAAAACAGAATACAGAGCTTGGCATCTGCATGACGAAAAGCTGTGTCAATTCATCAAGCACTTCAAGAAGGCAGGCCATTTTTCCAAGTTGTTTGGATGGAAAGGAAAGAAAAAAAAAGGAAAAGAGAAAGTATCCAGGTGGAACAGTTTGTCTTAGAGACAGGTTTCTCCATCTGTCTGATGTATCTGTTAAATAAACGAGGGAGCGCAGAGACTTCAGGCAGCATTTGTTTAGATTACAGCTTAGCCACAGGCCTTTCCTATTCAGCTGTGCACTAAAAATCAATTTCAGGACGTCACCTCCTCCACTGGTTTACTCATGAACATGCCTGTCAGGTGGCTCAGGTGACAACAGAGTGAGCGAAGAGGAACATAAACACAGTGAGTCTACTTTAAGGTCAGCTTCACATTCGATCCACAGACAGGAATCTATAAACCTTGGTGCTGCCTCAGTTACAGCCATCATGCAGCTATGGGAAATAGACAATTCAGGGAAAAAGACATTTGGTGTAGTTTTTGTTTTGAAGGTAATGGTTTTTTTTTTGTTTTGTTTTTTAGAGAGTAAATGATCAGATTTATCAGAGAGAAAACTTTGAGTTTGCATCCCTCATCCTGAAAGTGCAGCTAAAGTTTTACTTTTGTTCCCACATAGTCATGATCGTGCCTTGTTATATAGAATACAGACTTCGTTACTGGTTTTGGGAGCTTTAAAAACCAGAATATAAAACAGTCAATTGAACTTCAATGTAGATCAAACAGATAGATCTTTCAGAGCTAATAAAATGGGTCATCAATATCCGCAGCAATGAAGGCCTCTGTGAGGGGAGAAAAAGAACACAGGACAACATTCTACACCTGGTCTACAAACACACAGATGGCCATCCTTTCCACGAAATACGAATCATTATAATGGCGCTCCAAGCTCTCATTTTAATCATTTTAATGAAAAATCAAAGGATGGGCCTGTAAACACAGCAGGAAGAAGGGAGATTAAGATTATGAGCTCAGCTGAGCCCTGTCAAATCTAAACATCAATTAAAGCTGCAAGCAGCATCCAATGGACCATCGATGCACCTCAGCTGTTGGAGTAGTGTTAGTTTTCCATGGGTGCTCCGAACTTGCAGAGGTCGAGGGCACTAGTACTACTCAGTAAAGATCTATTTTCAAGCCCTGAGTATTATCAGTAAGTGTATTGATTGGTGATGAGAAGCAGTATTGGTCTAGTATACCTGCCCTTACCCAGACAAAAACGATAAAAAAAATTTAAAAAAAAAACAGAGAAGCTGAGTCCGAAGTAAAATCAAGAACCAGGAGGCTGAAGCAGAAGTCAAGAGCTGTGCCAAACTGATCAGCAACTGCTCTGATAACACAGTCAGATCTGATGAGAACTATCGCCCTGAAACCTAACCAGATTTAATCTTTATGTTAAAAAAATGGACCAGTGATAAAAGGTCATCACTTCAGTTCGTGGTCATGCAGCTGGGTCTCGAAACAAACCCAAAGCTGAACCTTGGAAATAGGGCTGCACGAAAATTTGATTTTCGATTTCTATGTTTTATTCAGTGACAACTTCACAAAACTTCACTTTAAAAATAAAAAGGTATTCTATCATCTCTTAAAACAAAACCACTGAAAATGATGTAGTGCATATGCCAAGCCAGTATATGGCGCTGTAACGCTGCCAAGGACATGCACAAAAGTCAGAAGAAGAGTACAGAGCATGCGTATAAAGGTTGTTTTGGCTGGACACACGCAGGCGCCATGAAAGAGTTACGCTGTGTGTCACATAATCAAGAGATGCAGATCTGCATCGACATGGAGATGAAATGGAAGTCGTTTACAGATTTGTGCACTTTCTGACCCATTTTCAGAAAGTGCCATTTACAGTCACCTGAAACTCTGTTTCCGTGTGGATGAAATACCAATACGATATAAAACTTTTGCATTTACTCCTGAATTAGTCTCTGTCTGGACGAGTTGATACCGCCTTCAGACAGACTTTGCCGCGGAAGTGGTTTGCTTTTCATTTGAAACTGCAAAGCCGAACCAATTCCACACGACTGATTTGCTCTTGCCACAAAATTATCGCCTCCTTTTGCAAACGCCATGTTTGTTTCCACTTGTGCGTGTGGGAATTGGGAAGCGCTCTCGCAGGAAAAGGGGAGCCTATGGTTGCCTGGAGGTGCGAGACATGATAGAGAGGAAAAATTATTTTTTTTAACATGCCATAATCAAATAATCTGGTTACGATTTAAAATCAATTAACCATGCAGCCCTTCTTTGAATAACATAATGTGCTTATATAGGCTACCATTACTCAGTTAAAACAATGAACAAAATGTTTATTTGGATCAATTAATATTACTGATAAATGCAGACCTTTAGGAAACAAACCAAAGTACAGACATTTGGATGAAGTTAGTGGAACGAGACAGTTAAATTGATAGAGGATTTCAGCAGAGTGAACTCACAATTAACTCTGTCTGCACGCTCAAAAAAGCAGCTCAGAAGGTTAATCAGTAACTCCAAACACAGTCCACAGAGAGTGAACTTCTGAGCATGTGACTGGAAACAGAAATGACTTCACTCAGCTCAAAGCCTGCTAGGTGGGACAGCGCTCCACATAATGACTGGCTTACGAAGTGTGACCGTCAGTCTTTATTTAGAGTAATGGCAGCAGAGCTTAAGCTAACCGGCCTTCTTCCTTGAAGGTAATATAATCGGATGATAACTGAGACCATCATTACAGCCCAAGGAAACCAGGAAAAATAGACTGTAGGTAAATGCAGGCTTTGCATGGACACCAGACATACAATTTCCTTGAGCCTGCTGTCTGATTTTGGTGTGTGTGTGTGTGTGTGTGTGTGTGTGTGTGTGTGTGTGTGTGTGTGTGTGTGTGTGTGTGTGTGTGTGTGTGTGTGTGTGTGTGTGTGTGTGTGTGTGTCCTAAGCCTACTATGGGAGCTGGGCAGCATGCTGGCTAATTAAAACTCTGTCTTCATAATTATTCATGGCTGCTTGTGTCTCTCTGAGTGTCTTTTACTCCAGTCTCCACCACACTGTCTGACACAGCACATCCCAGCGTGGTTACTGGGAGACCGGGAATGAACAAGAGGAATTTAGGGTGTCAGCATGCTCCACCCAAAAACCCCCACTCCCATTCCCTCCCTACACCCCCCTCCTCTTCCTCTGTCCCTGCCTGTCCTCCTCTTCGCTTACACACCCCTGATTGTGTGGTGCCAGTCCTCTACACTTCCAATTCCCTCCCGTCCTGCTGATTGTAACCCCCACCACCCACCCCCGCCACCCTCTCCACCTTTGCAGGCACACAATGGGGAGCGAATCCTGTCTCCAGGCAACCAATCCCTCCAAGGAGGCTGCTGTGGTGCTTAAGGGATGGTATGAGGGGGAGAGAGAGGTTAAGTAGGTGAGGACAGAAGGGAAAGTAATGAAAAGGAAAGTTAATGTTACCTCACCAGTCAAGAAAAGCTCAGTGGAAGTCAACAAATGTCAGCTCAATCCCTTCACGGTGAAGCATTTCTATAAATAACTTTGTGCACATTAACAAGGAACACTGGTGCTGTTTTACCTGGGATTATAACGGGAAAATAATCATCTGTGTTATTCATCCTGATAGACAGACAGAAGTTGACCCTGCAGGATTTGTTGTCCTGTGTGGGTTTAGTTTCTCCATCTCAGTCTGCAGGTATAATAGCCTGCTAATCAGCTTAAAGAAAGACTCGGAAACATCAGCTGCCATCCTCAAACTGCTGTGTTTGGATCCAGAACGCCGTGGGCATTTGCCTCAGGTAGTGAATGGACTTGAAGCAGAAAGTTAATGAAGTGCCCATAAATAAATGTAAGTAGGTTCTGGTTGAGTTTGGTTCACACTATACTGTTAGCAGAGCAGTTCTCTGTGATTAGGAAGTCTAATCAGAGAGTAAAGGGTAACCAAGAAAACAGACACCAGTCGGTAGATCATCACAAAGACCAAAAAGTGAGTCTGTGGGAACAAACCAGCAGTATGGATATAAATGCAATCATCACTGTTATTGACTCAGTCAAATCAGCTCTGGAGTAGTGATCTAATCCAATCAGAAGAAAGCTCATGGTTCCAGCTCTTTCTCTTACTGACAATGAAGTTATCTGTTTCATTTTTAAGGCAGATTTTTGCAGAAAACATGGTTCAAACTAGTCTTTGAACATCAGCTGATATCTGAAGTCTTACTGTACATCCCTTGTAAGGCGACTACTGTACTTTGATGCAGTGTCAAGACTGCAGGACACAACAACGATCCAAAAGACAGCAAAAACCTGTACTCTCTATAAGGGGTGGGAGGAAAAATGGATTCACATCAGTATGGCAATTTACTGTTTTACAATTTTTAAATCCAGTTTTTTGTTCAAAATTTTTTTTTTTTCTAATTTAAGAATAAATCTTAAAAACTGACTTACATGTGATGTGTATTTTTTAAGGGAAATATGGTTCTGGGAACAGTCAGTAGACAATCATAATCATTCAACTGTTCAGCTGGTGTAAAAAATGCAGACTAAATATCCAGAAAATCGACAGTATCATAGTATTGCAATTTAAATCGAATCAGCATCCAAAAAATAGTTGAAGAATCGAATCTGGAGAAAAGCATATCATCCCAGCCCTACTCTCTACCACCAAGATAGGCTGCTTGTTCAAAGTGATGAATTCAACCACCTTCTCTGTTACATCTTCTCTCTTACGGTGTTTTATACTTCCTTGCTTTAGCAGTGCAGCCTTGTGTTCTTTAAAAAATTCCGCTCAATGTTGAGTTTTTAAATGTTAAAACTAAAAATTGTATAAAGTCCAGAAGTTACTTTGGCTGCTAAAGTCTACTATAGTCTGGTTTAAGTCCAGCAGAAATAGTGAAAACATTAGCTCGTGTTTGCTCTCTTTGTGTATGTACAATGATGACAGAGTAACTGAATAACTTCAGCCCGGCTCAGCTGATATTTCTCTACTGCAATTCCTTGTTTCTTATCAGCTGACATTTACACTGCTATAAATATATCCGCACAAGCTAACACTGACTTCACCGAGCCATCCGCCCATTGTAGCTCTTGTCTGCAGCCACAAGAGATTAGTTTCCTAGTGATTGTACATGGATTTCAGCACATAGATACCATTTACCCAGAAGTGTTTTGCCAGAGGTCTTCTGGGCAGACACGAGGTTAAGCTCGCTGCTGTAAGGAGCCGTTTCAGCAGACAGCATTAAACCCTGAAACCAGGAGGCGGTTTGACAGGCTAACCTCTCCTGACCCTTGAGCTGGCCGAGCTAAAGACCCTCCGACTGTTGGCAGAGACCACAGAGGTTGATAAGCCTCTTTCTCAACCCTTTGACCTTAAAAAGCATCCTTGGGAGTAAAGTCTGAAAGCCAAGTCTTACCACAGGGAGATAAAGGCCATGGCTATTTCAGGCTCACAACACGACAACAGTGAGAAGAAATCACCTGGCTGAGTGAGAGCGGTCAATGAAGGCGAGACAGGATTTACCTGTGTTTACCTTCTCCATGGTTCACTACTCTTAAAGCAGTAACACATGGATTTGATTAGTGTCTCTCTGACTCTGAAAGCTCAGATTTGGTATTCAAACCAGACAACCACGCACTATGAAATGTCTTTTAACACCTGAGTGGTGAGGGAATGGATTCAAAACTATTTAAGCTTTAAAAATCAAAATCCATACTTCTCATTTTTAAAGGGAAGTTTCATCATGCATTCACAAAAACTATTAAAAAACAAAAACAAATTAAAGGTTGTTTATTCTTCTGGAAATCAATGCACTAGAAAAATCTCAAACTTCCTTTCTTTAAAACCTCTTTGCACATTTGACATTCAGTTTGCTACAGCCCTCACATGTACAGTGTGTAGAAACTGGAATATTAAGCATTATTTAGCTGCTAATCTCTGAACGCAAATGCTCCTTTTCTCACCCCTCCACCAGAAAGCAACTGTGGCCTTCAAGGACACAAAGCCCCTGTGGTTGTATGATAGATATGATGCTCTATTTCAGTTTTTACCATTTAAAAGTGCTTAAGGAGGGTAATTTGACAAATAATCATTTCACCACAGAATAAAGACAAACAATCTTGCTGCTGGTAATTTTGTTTGATTATGAAGCAGGGCTTGGCACTAACTTTTTTTCACAATGAGCACATGTGCTCCTAAGTTGATAGTAAAGAGCACACAAAGAACTTTAGGGGCACAATGAAAATTGATCAAATAATGTGTGTCTTATTGGTTGACATAAGTACTATTATTTCAAATCAATTTTAGCTCTTTTGGTCACATGACATGGAAGCCATTGAAGAAAATGTTTAAAATTTGCCTTTAAATTTAACACAAAAAATTTTAGAGGATAAATTTGGGAAATAAGGCAGAGTCTTATTGTCAGACTCTCGTACCATTATTTGAAATCAACTTTAGGTCAAATTCGCACACATCTATTTTTAGTCGCAAATGCCAGTGAAACTGTTGCACTGTCAAGCCCTGTGAAGGCTAAAAGGGGTGTCAGTATCAGAGAGACACTATTTCAAAATAAGTCAAAAACTAGTGATGTGTCAGTCGCGATCCATCCGGTTCAAAGAGCCGGTGCTTCAATGTGAACGATGGGAGCCGGCTCCTGTCTGTGAGCTTTTTTTTTTCTTTTTCTCTCCTCCCCCCACAGACCATAGAAAAACGCAACAAGGCCGAGCGATGGGATTTCTACCTGCTTTGTTTAGCAGAGTGGTTCTACAAGCAAGTCAGTGCGTTCATTAGGTGGTTTCAGAGAGGTACAAGGGTCTGTCAATGCAATGAAAACAATTGGCTACAGCAATTTACTGATAATGGAAAATGTAATTTTTACTTGTGAATACCTCAGTACAAAAGATGTATTAAATTATTTAAGACCCATGTGTACACATGTACATATTATCAGCCAAACAACACTTAATTTTGCTGAATTAGAAAATGTACAAGTGGTAAAGTGAAGAGCCGTTTGGGAGCCGAAATAGCCAGCTCTTCATAGTGAGCAGAGCCGAATGATCTGGCTCACTAACACAAGCCTTAATTCCCATCACTATCAAAAACTCCTCACGGCATTCTTAAGCTTGTGTGTAGTTATGATAACAGAGATGTAAAGAACAGAGATTTGACCGTCAAAGAAACCTCATCAATGACCCCCTCTTAACACCTGCAGCTATAAATAGACAACCCTAGTTAACACTGTCCACAGAAAGAAAAAACCACCCACAGATAAAGCCCACACCGAGTGTACACAGGCTTTCTGTTTTCACACCAATGAGTGCTTTGTAATATTACGTGCATCATTTCTCCGGTGCAGATCATGTAGAAGTTTATAAAAATGTTGATGACATAAGATAAACTTTGATTTGCATTCATTTGTAATGATTTTCAGATGATCATTCTTATACTCCGAATGTAATTGTCTGGAAAATCACTGGTGAATGGGCATAAAGCGTTGGATTTCCAATGGTTTGAAGATGCTCTAATATGAATTTACAATCATTTACCCATCAGAGAGGAAACCCTTGAAGAGGAAATTTTTATGTTTCTGGCTTCTTTAGTACACCCACACACTCTATGGTCATAAAAACAAAGAATTACTTCTAACTAAATGAAATGAAAACATTTCACTCCAGGGAATAAAACACAAACAGAAAGAGAGGAAGGTAAAAACAGCCATGACAGAGCTTTTGAAGTCTGTGGTACAGCTTCCCTGGATCGGTGGGATGAATATTAGCTATTCATTATGTTAAGATGTCAGTCTGGGGGGTTCTGCAATGAGCAAATTAAACAGCACAGACACGCTCTTCATCGCAAACAGTCAGGCCAATCCCCTGTGACCGTGCCGAGGAACATCAATTATTTCAGGCACGGCAGAGAATAACTTCATGACTTGGTCGCTGCTCAAAAGGCAGGCTGTGGATGCTCGCCCCAGTGCCCCCGCTGGAACCATTCAATTTGAGGCAATGTGGGAGCCCTAGGAGCTGGCGAGCCGGGCCGTGGTTTATTTAGTGTTGCAGAGGGCTGGAGCTGTTGAGCTACAGTGATTGTGCTGTAATGCAGCCTGAGAGCTCCACTTGCCACACAGGGCTGCCATCAATTCCCAGCGCCGATGACCTAAAGGCTGTTTTGACATAATTGAACATTAAATGATGAAGGGGTGACGAATGACAGGCACTTTACTCGACTGCCTGAGCATTTGACAGCTTTTAGACGAGCCTGTGGGGGATGTGGCTGATGCTATTGCAATGGATGTCCACAGCAGCCAATTTCTGCACACAGCCATTTATATCAATTCTGACAGTGACAATAATTCTGATTTAATTAGTTTTACATGAAAGCTGGGGCTTACCAATCATCTCTCTAGTTCTCTATATAAATATCTCTGCAGATGCTGAGAGGACATTATCATCATAATCCATATACACCAAAATTACATTTGTAATTTTACACTTTATTGGACCTACTAGATTGATGCTTCTCATTCAAAGACACTTTTCATGCCAACTTGTGGTAGCACACTGCAAAGTCATTTTGCAGCCAGTGCTGAGGCAAGAGTGGATTAAACCTAATCAGATTTTATGGTTGAAACTTGTGTTTGTATATTCAATAATATTTGTTGATATGCAGTAATTAGATGAGATCAGATAGACTTGATCCTTTTGGGAAGGTTCCCTTCAAGGAAATTAAAATATTAATAATAGCAATAATGTCAAACTACAAAGCTGCATGTTAGAAAGAAGAAGAAGAAGAACTTTACTGATCCCCGAAGTGAAATTCAATTCAAAGTAGTGGAGAACATCATGACTATCTTGTTACCTGTGTAGTGTCATTGTGTGAATGTAAAGGAGCACAGACTGAGGGAAATATGGAGGTTTTTCTGCAGTTTACATTTCTCTACACTCATATTCACTTGTTTTGAGGTGACACATTTCAGAGCATATCTCTCTCCCTTGAGTCAAGAAAGGCAATGATTCAAAAAACCTCTATGCTGGGCCACCACTGGCCTAGCAGTCAAAGCGTGTGTATACAGAGGTTATGCCTCAAGCGGACAGCCAGGGTTCAACTCCAGCCTGAAGCTTTTTGCTTGCATGTCACTCTCGCCCCATTTCCCTCTCTATCCACTGTCCTAACCTCTCCAAAAAAAAACAAAAAAAAGACCAAAAATATAAATACAACACTCTTTTGAGGAGGAAATCTTACATTTCCAGTCTAAGGCAATTTTGTAGTGTAGACCAGGAATAGGTCACAAAAACATTCAAAGCACTTCTGCCAAAGACAGACTCTCAGACCTCTGGATATGTTGGATTGTTACTGCCAATCTTGTTTTTTTGCTGCTACACACAGAAGCTGAGATAAAAAACTCATCATTAGCTGCACACAGATAGTATGTGTAGTGCTCTACAGTAGTGGTCGACCTTTACTGGTGCCTCAATATCTGACGCCTATTTTGGTCATCAGAGAGCAGATCAGCAAATGAACGACACAGTTTTCTTTTTATCAAAACAACAATTTGACGTTAATGACTTCCACAAATGAGCTTGAGTAAGCATGTCACTATCATTATCCTTTCCCTGGTGTTTGCTCTGTAGTAGAGGAGGATCTCTGCACACCTGACTGGCCAACAGGTGTGTCAGAGGGAAAGAAAGGCCTGCACACTGTCTCACTTGAGCTGATGCGTTTCATTAAACAACCTTCTTAACGCTATTTAACTAAAGAAGGACAGTGTGCAGGAGTTCCCTGTATTCTACATTCAGTAAAATAATGCACAGGACCCTCTAGGTTTTTGTCCATGTGTAATCATTTAATTTGAAAACAATTTGGGGGTGTAACAATTCATTTTAACAACAATTCTATTCGCATCATATTTGTGGTTGCAGATTCGATTTAAGGATGATACTGGTTCATTTAGAATAATACAAACATGAAACAATTCAGTAACTTGTAATTGATTTCGTAACTTTTTAGCCCAAAATTGAACCAGTGTAATTTAACCACAAATAAATACCTGGACATATACTGGACAGTGCAGAGGAAAATTCCTAGATTTCTTTTGTTCCTTTTAAGGGAATCAGGTATAAATTTACTATGGTTATAAACAAAGAAGTAAACAGCAACTAATAGCAAATGCATTCACATATATTTGAATAAAGTGTGACCTCCACTTCAGGTTGAATTAACAGCAGATTAACCTATTCTGTTCTCAATTTAGATATTCAATACATTTTCAATGAAAGTACGGAAAGTCCAACATTTCTGCTACTTCTGTTGTTGTTGTTTTTAACACAAAAATAATAAGGTATTAATATCAAAAATAAAGAGCAACCAACATCTCTTCAGGTTGAAGAAATGACAGTACGTTTTCCTGCTACTTGTGCTGTTGTTTTTCAGCTTAGAAATAATACAAATACAACATACGCTGGACCGCAATGGTGGCTCGATAATTTCTCACTCGCTGACTTCTCCTCCACCATCCACCATGCTATGTTTTGTTGTCTGCTGGCGCGTGGCGATGACGTCACAGACAGGTAGACTGAACATAATCACCCAGTTATCAGGATCACCTCCAGTTGTGTTCATAATTAGTTAGTGTTTTGAACAAATCTGGCTGCATTCAAATAACCCTGAATAGTAAAAATCACTAACTTTACGGCCCTGAGATCTTTGCTTCTTAGTCATATCAAACTACAGTATTTGACACTGTGTGAGACAGAAGTGAAGCAGGTGCTGACTGTCTAAACTCTCTGTTCCTGTGAGTTTGTATAAAGCGAGACACCAACCACTAAAAGCCTCCCGGGACCTCCTCTCCTCCCTCTTCCCCGCACCCCCCCAGTGAGAGGAGTCGAATTAATCTCAAGAACCCTGAAGAGTCAGATAAGAACCCCCGGTGTCTCTGAGACCTGTGAAAACACACATGAAAAAACAAAAGGCCTGTGTCCTTCAGGATTTGTTGAAGCCCAGGGACACAGAGAGACAGTGACAATATGGGGGTCTGGTAGTGCCATAAAGCTGATAGGCCAGGCGCCAGCCCAAGGAGCAGAGCAGAGATAGCCCACTGATAAAAGCCTCATGGGAAACAACAAAAACAGTGCCAAAAACAGGTCCTGAGAGCAGGAAATTAAACTAATACAGAGGCTAAAGGATATGAATGTGCTGTATACAACAGCCTCTGATTCAGAGCTACTCCAGTGAGAAGTGTTTATTGGAATGCCTGTCTGTGGATCAGACACAGATGAGGAACAAACATGGAGAGACGGGAGTATTTTCTGCTGTCTGAGATGCCAGAGAGAGTAATTACGAAATCCTGTCCTCCACACTTTAAAGGAACAAACATTGACAGCAGAAAAAACAGTCCCCTGCAAGCAATTAGCAAACATAGGGAGGTAGTGTGCCTGACTTCAGAAATGGTGAAAACTAATAACACGCCTCAGTCTTTGCTCTACCAAATCCTCATTACTGGAGAAGGGCCAGTGAGTCAGAGAGGTTTACATCAATCATAAGGCAGACTTTAAAGGAGGCCTATTAGAGTTAGTTTCACCTTTTCTGAGGTCGTTCAGGGACATCTCAAGAGAAGCTTTGCATGATTTACAGCTCAAAGAACTCCTTATTTCTCCTTATCTTGTGTTAGTATCAGTGCAAAACCTCCTTACAGCACTACTCTGCCTCTGCCTGTTGCACTTTGGCTGCTTTTCCATTGATATGAAGCTGGACACAGCCCGTGGGTGTTACTTTTTACACAGCTTTGTAGTCATGAATCAACACTGAGGCCATGCCTTTTCGAAAAACATCTGTGGCTAGTCATTCACACCCTCATCGTACATTAGCTACAATAAAATTAGCTGTTGTTTCAATGTTATTTACTAGCTTGAGGTTCTGAGCCATTATGGGTCTTTGTAGATGAACCGCCCCAGGTTCCAGTAACAACTGAGACTCAAATCCAGCTCTTACTGGCCTTTGATTACAAATGAGCCATCAGTGAAGTGGCAAGCACTAACAGCTTTTTTATTGCTACAGTCCTGAAAACAAAACCCGCCTATTGGTTTCTGCTGATGGATCTTTATCGTAACTCTTTCAAGGGGGAGTTGGGTCAAATGTCGTGAGGACATTGTTCGTAGATGTTTAGAAATCTTGCAAAACGCACACAGGACTTTCACCAAAATCTGCGTAACTCATGAATGGAAACTTTTCCAAGGTTTAGTATGCACATCCAACAGTCTACAGGTTTATGTTGTTAAAAAATATCAAACAACATTTGGACTACAATCACACTAACAGAGTTCCTCATAGGTGGACAAACATAGCTAGATAATTCACAGTGGGATATTCTCCACAATGTTTAAGCCTCAATCAGACTGAAACTGGCTTAAGCATTTATTGCATACTCCACAGTTTTCATATTTGGCTTTGACCCACAGGCTGAACAGCATGAATGCTTAACAGGAAGTTGGGAGGTAAATAACACCTTAACAGAGAATGAAGGGATGTAACAAAAGATGAAGCAGAACTATCAAAGAAAGGTACAGAGCTGTGGAGGTGGAGGTGTTTTCATTGTTCCTCAAACAGCCCGTTGGCCTCTTCTTCACTTTGAGGGTTTTTTTGGTGAGTTACATACTACTTTTGAGCTAAAAGTGAACATATTGCCTCCTACCATAGCTGTGTTGGACTATGTAAGCATACTGATAATAACATTATATGTGTGTACTTAAATATGGTTTCAGCATAACAGGTCTCCTCTAATGGAGAAAGTGGACTTCTGAGTTCAAACAGAAGTGTGAGGCAGCTGTCAGGTATTTTTTAAAGATGCCACTCTAACACAAAATAATACAGCCCTTCAGCATTAGGCTTCATCCTGACTGTTCGTGTAGACGTCAGACTTCATGTCAGTTCAGCCGACTTGCCAGGAAATTCTGGTTGACAGTGCTCACAAAAAGCTTTTATTCCCATAATCTGGGCTGAGGATCAGATACACACTGCAGTCGCATGTTAGTGATGTGATGAAATGCATTTCTGATCTCATTCCCAGGTGGTTTGGGAAATGAAAGCCCCTCAAATTAAGCATTAGGTACAGTGGTACCTAATGCTTTGACATTTTTAGTTTATCTGGTTTAAAAGGATTAGGCTTGCTGAGGTAGTCACTGTGTGTTCAGATATACACCCGTCCATAACTTGCACAACACTCCCCAATGACGTAATGCCTTTCCCTTACAGTGTATTATCATTTTTAAGTCAGACGACAGACGGCACTATTATAAACTGAAAGGGTGTGCTTCCTGCAGCATTGGAGAGTAAGAGCGCAGAACAGCAGGCGTCTGATTTAACGTATCACGTGAAGGCAGCGAGAGGCGTTGATTCAGCCATGTGAAGAGGAAGCTGACCGTCATGACGATGGATGAAGATCTGACGGTAGAAACAGAAGTGATGGCACACTCACACTGATTCAGGCAGACAACAGACAGCAGGAAGTAAATGGGATAAATAAACACATGGTCAGAAAGAAATTGGCAGGATGGGACAGTTTTTGGCTTTTTGTTCAATGGCTGGTGTTTTCTCTGCATGTGTGGCTGTTATGTAACATCCAGGGCCGGCTCCAACACAGAGTTTTTCTGTCAAATTAAAATCGGCAGTTATGAGTGAAATGAAGCTTCGACCATCCATGTCTTTTCCAAGTTTAGAGCCACACTTTGACACACACTTAATGTATTTGACATCCTTTAAGTAAAATCCTGTTTTCATCTTTTAGCGTCAATATGTCTCTTTTAAATAGTGTCTCAATGAAGCTCTTGGGTTGTTGGTATCTAATACCATAATAATCAAATAACCTGCAGTTGATTGGACAGATGACAGCCCTGATAAAGGACCATTACTGTGTTTTTCCGTATCATGGACATATGCATGTCCGGATGTTTTGGAATATTAGTCTGTGATAGTCTGTGTGGGAATTAAATAACTTGTCTCTCTCTTCTTCTGCCTGTAGCACTGTAGCAGTGAGTGCTACACCCTAAATATTAAGCTAACCCACAAATGTTCTCTGCCTTGTATTCATGTCAATGCTTAATAAGGTTTATGGAGGAGTAGTCTCTTATTTTTTCAGTAACATCACCCAATTTTTAAACAATATCTTTTGACTGGAAGGAGGGTTTTATTCAGCTATTTAGCTGAAGCTGCTTTTCGGGTCACCTCAGAGCCTCCAAGCACTGACATGGCCCAAGTTAACAGCAGCTCAGCTCACAGCCCTCCTGATGTCCTCTGACATGGATTCATAAACATGAATCCATGTTAATGAAGCAGAAACAGGATAATATAGGAGTTTCTGCACACTTTCTATAACCTTCTTTAAGATTTTGATAAATTAATATCATTTCTCCAGCATAACAGTAGCACTATGACATGTGTCATATTAACATTACTATTAATTTAAAGCCATACATCTGCATCTTGCAATAATTTTACGCATCTTCAAAGTGACCTCACAATCAGTTTTTGCACCCAACTATTTTGAGGCAACAAAGCCAGAAAGCCAGAGAAAATATTTAGAGTAATAACTCAGCAGTTAATTTAAAGCTCCCTGTGAGGATCTTTCTGTTTGCGATTATTTTGGCGCCCCCTGCGGTACTTCTTGCATTCTCTCATCTTGTCCTCTTCACCTGTAAGTGGAGTTTTCTGACAAAAAGGGTCAAACTGCGTTTCATTTTGATGGTAACTCATCATGAATATATGCTGAGGATAAAGTCATAAACGTATTTTTTCTTGACTGTGCTCCACATTTCCTCTACAGACAACCCCCACCCCCCAGCACTTAGAACCAATAAAATTCATGATAAAGAAATCATCACTGTTTAGCTGATGGTCTGGTTGGCTTTATTAGGTCATAAAGAGGCATCACTTTTAATACCAGTCTGTTTGGTAACCAGTGAAAAACTCCTCACGGGAGCTTTAAGTATCGGTTTTATTGCATTGCTGTGTAACAGTTGCTGCTGTGTTGTATATCACCTGCTGTGAATGCCTATGTTCCTCAGCTGTGTAGGGCTGCATATCATTAATCCTGACATACTATAACAAACACTGACATACTATGGAGTATTATTCTCTTATACTACACTGAAGACAGAGAACATAAAGTCGTCCAGACATAATGAATCCCAACACAACTACCTTTATGTTCCTTTTCAAAATAAAAGCCTACTGCAGCGGGCTGAGAGTGGACTGTCAAAAATGAACATCACAAATCAGACTTTAGAATGAATGCAGGAAACTAGGGGCACAGGATTTTTGATTACATTTGATACACTTTTGATTTGATGTTTTCAAATACCAACACCAATATGAACAATACAGATATAGATCTACATCTTTATTATTCAAAGGGCACCAAAACACAAAACACACAATGCTACTTCAAATGAATTCTTACTCAAAAGTTGTTGTGCAGTATTGTGCCGCTGTGTTCACAACACTGCAAAATACATTTCATACAGTCATGTGTTGAATATATTCCATTCACACCTTAGCACACAGAAGCTGTCATTGTATGCACATATTTAAAGCCTCACTTTCTGTTTTTCTGATGATACTATATTGTCAGAAATGTTCATGCCTGCCAATACTAATCACTAACTTTTAAAGCTATTATCAGCTGATACTGATATTTTTTTAACTATATTGAAAAATTGACACATGAACATGCAAATCAAAAAAAAAAAAAGAATTAGAGTAAATCATGTAATATTGATTACAATACGTAGATTTGATCGAGTCTATCAGTCAAGGTGACAGCTTACATTTAAGAGCTCTTTTTAAGAAATCTTAAGAGATTAAAACTCATCATGACTGTGCGCATGGTACTGGTGGCACTGACAGCCTCAAAGGTTGATTATGTTAATTTTTGCCAGTATAATTCTTTGCCAAAACCTTGATTCAGAGATTATGCGTAAACAATGACAGCTTTTACATGTTGGCTATATGGAAGGACTTTGGAGTGTTTGAAACATAAACCAGATGCATAACTGACTATCAATATGTGAAAAAGAATAAAGTGATGAGGTCTGGTTGTGAAACTAATAATCTGTTATAGGAAGAGCGACAGGTTCTGTTCTAGGAGAAACTCTGCATCTTCTGTAAAGACACATGGGTACATGCTTGGGCCAAAACAAGTAATGGAGGATTAGTTAGGGCAAAACTCCAACACCATGCATCATTTAATCTGTGAAATTTACTCTGAGAGTTTTTGAGACTTTGTCAAGATCTGCCAGAACCCGGGATTTTGTGCATTTTGGGTGGTCTTGGAGCAGTCTGGATGAATTAGTAAAACTGTTGTTGTCACCCTTTTATCAACTAGTTGAAGCATTTAGTCCCTGTGGCATTCCCATAAAGAGTGTCAGCAGCGATGCGCACACAGTCAAAGCCTGAAGACAGCTCTTTCTTTGGTAACAGAAAACAGATGAGGATTGGGTAAGGCTGTTGAAGGTAATCATGTTTATCAAAGGAAAGCATTTGTGCTGCAGCTTCCAGCAGTTTACGATGTACCACAAAAATGAAAGCCAAATGTCTCAGTGGGGAGGTGTAGTCACAGGGCGTCTCTCTCTCTCTCTCTCTCTCTCTCTCTCTCTCTTTCCTGACACAGTAGTTTCTCCTCACACACAAGGTAGGCAGCCATACTCCGGCCTATCCTAACCCCCCATCCCCCAAAACAAATAAAGTGTCTGATACAGACCAGACCCCTGCCGGCGCCCCAGCCCCAGCCTTTGTCCGGGCCCCGGGGCACAGTGCCAACTGTGATCAGGAGGCAGCATCACTGATCAAACACTGAGACACGAGTGCAGCTGAGTGTGGCTACTTCATTCAGACTGTGGATAGAGGCTCATGACAGGCTGTGCTTAAGAGCTGGGTCACATAATACAGGTTATAGATACAAACATACAAACACATTTGAAAGAGAAATGTTGGGGCAGACAGAAGCAAACAATGGTTTCCCACCACTGTGCTTAATTATGTGAGAGAGGTGAGCTCACAGAAAGTGGGATTAAAGCATCAGAGCGTGAATATGAGAGCAGAGCATTCCCTGTGAAACACAGGGCAGAGGGAAGGATTAACAACCTTTCATGAGCTCCTAACAAGCCAGCTTTTTAACACCTTTAGAGATGGAGTTTGCTGGAAACTCTAAACTCCTCAGAAAGGGAAACAATTTCACATTTCTGGATTTCCCTGAGCTCAGCAGTTTCATCTGCTCAGTGTGAGGTGGTCTAAACGTTTCACAGCACCTTGAATAAATGTGGAGCGTGAGAGTGAACAGGGCAGGTTTGGCCAGTTCTGCCTCACTCACTCATCAGAGAGTACTTCCTCATTCCATCTGAAACTAATCAGACACCAAAACAGCTCTGGTATGTTGCTTCAGTCAACTGAGGACTTTATTTTCATGTTTGAAGAAGTGCTCAGGCAGTACATCTACTCCACTATACTTCTGTATGGATGTTAAATAAAGGCTCAAATGGCTGACTGCCAAACCACTGAGGGGATTAAGGTAGGACGCCAAACTTCAGGGAGAAAGAGTTTCAAAGAGTTTGAAGACAAACACCTCCTGATGGATTCCTGTGTTTTTCACTCATGCATCTTCATAATGTGCAGCGTGATTCTGAACCTTTTGGTATGATCATTGTTAGAAATAACGTCAACATTAAGAGGGTGTAAAACAACCACCCTTAAACCTGCAGTGAGTTATTTTGTGACTAAGAATGAAACAGTCTCAGTTTAACTCTGCTGACCTGCTAAAAGAGGAGGAGCAGCCCAGCTGAGTGAAACGGACCACTTTAATAGTAACTTTGAAAGAGTGTTTTCACTGCAATCCGAGGGAGAGGCTTTTGAAACGTAGATCTGAGAGCCTTTATTTACATTTTCTGGGCAAACTTTCACAGCGAGTGGTTTGTTAGACAGTTAAAAAGAAGCAGGAAGATTTTATCTAGTGAATACCACACACACACACACACACACACACACACACACACACACACACACACACACACACACACACACACACACACACAGGATCTCCACAGAGACAAAACGCAAAGAAACAGAGAAGCTAAACCGCATAGCGATAGAGTGAAGAAGAATCTACAAGTCTATTATTTTGGTAGTTCACCAGTCATCGATTATTGATACAGTCATTCAACAAATCAGACACTGACTTGCACATTAACTTCTGGCTCTTTTTAAAGGGATATTCCCGCGTAAAATTAAGTTATGGTCAAGCACACCATAACACTGAGTTAGACTACCCCTTAAGAGATGAATGTTGCCGACTGCTTGCTTCTCCAGTTACACAGACTTTAGTAACGACTGCACGATAGTGATACACAGCGGTCTACGTCTCTGCGCGCAAAACTAAACCGATAAGCCACTCTATAGCCAAAATAATGCTCAGAACAGCACCTAACTTCACCAACAGTACATATAGGGTCCCAGCCATAGTACTAACCATCAACTATCTTTTTAGCTTTGCCTAATTTCTTTAGCAAAGAGACTAAACACAACTCACCTACTCTCTTTCAGCAGCCACTTGTTTGTGGGGGAGCCCTGAGGAGTCGATCACCAAGTGCAGCGTAATGCAAATGTATCCAATCAGTCAGGCTGACATTAGACTACCATACTCTAGGGGTGGGAGAAAGAATTGATACAGCATAGTATCGAGATATTTTGTCTGGTGATATATTGTACCATCTCATTGACCAAGCATCGATTTTTAAATTAGTTGTTAATCTGAAGTCAAATCTGTGATAATGGAAAAATAAAATCAACTGTTTGTCCAGTGAGGTTGGCAGAGGTGACATCATAGAGCAGGAGAAAATTAGTTCAACAAATATATATATGAGGTTTGCAAGATGAGCTACATAAAAAATAAAACACTGCGTAAACAAGACAAGACAAACATAAAGAAAAGCCAAATGCTAAATTAGCTAGCTGTCAGTGTAAGAAAACAGTACCATAACCAAATGTACAAACTTTCACCGACACCTTTCTTAGTTCGATCATTAACAGAGCCAGAGACAGACACATCCCCTCATTACAAGGCATCCTAAAACAGCTGTGCGTGGGAAAAGGACAACACGCCAGCAAGGAAGTGTTTTTCCTTTCAAATGTTTAAAAACAAATGAAAACACAGGCGAGATCACAATCTTAACGGCGGGCGGATCACTTTTGTCCGCAGGGGCAAAAACAAATTCAACTCAAAACTTTCTTCACAGCTGCTTCAAGAGATCAAAAATTTAAAGTCACTTATTTCAGCTGACAAGATTCCCCTGAATCTCGTTAGAATAGCTCGGAGGTGATGTGGTTACCGTGGTTACCGCTGACTTTTTCCCTGTTTTCCTGCAGATTGAGACATCACCTCTGCCTGTGGTGGATGTACAGTAACCTATTTTTCGTGCAGTGCAGATGCATGTATGGCTGTCAGCAGCATGGGCCTGGAGGAAGTCAATGAGAGTGCCTTGCTCACGCTGCTCCCTCCAGGTTCTGGTCTAAAATTAGGTATCGGCCTGAAGGTTATTGCATGATGGTGGTCTTTAGGACATTGGTTCAAAAATACAGAGCCATGTGTGTGTTTTTATATGCCCAGAGTGTGCCGTCAAAGACTAAAGGACCAACGCAGCCTGCTTTGTTAAAAAGATATTTGATTGCAGCTGAAAGCACCCCCAGGACGCAGACATAAAAACGGCGCACTGACAGAGTCCTTTGTAATAACTGCTTGAGCATCAATTCCTTTTCAGATGCATTTAAAACATCCCTGCTCTCTAAACCCCCTCATCCTGTCCAGAGCACTCCCGACACGGCAGAATGAGGTCTTTGTGAAAGTGTAACAACACAGACAGTCCCTTCCTGTCCTCTGAGTGGGGAGGACGCTCCAGCAGGACATCAAGATAAGACTGCTGTTAAAAGATCACAAGATGGATAATCCCTTTTTTCTTTCCTCTCTTTCTCTCTGCCCAGGCAGTCAAACACTCCTGATGTTTGCAGGCTGGAGTCTCCTCTCCTCTCCTCTTCACTCCAAGGACTCTTGAGGGCAGGTGTAGTAAATGCACCTGAGTGTTGAGCCCTTTAGGAAGCTGCAGGCAAAGACTGTCAGTTGTTGTTACAGCTTAAGCAAGACCGCTGGGTTTATTCATGCCTCCAGCTCACACTCTCAACCCCGACATGAGGAGCAAAACAACCACTCCACTCTACATACCACATTAAGTGACAAGATGTGATTGGTAAGGTTAAAAATAACTCCTCTGCACTAGTTAAGCTCCCCTGCATAAAGACACAGACCCACTATTTTGGTCATGGCAGTATCTACCCTCCATATTGTGGAGCACTTCAACTGTGCTCAAGATGAAGCTTGTCAGACTCCACACAAAGAGCCTGAGCAGAGGAAATAAATTCAGTAAGCCCACTGAAGAAGAGGCCGTCTTAAAACCCATGCAGAGTTTCTTATTTTGACTCTGGTAGTCGTCACTTGCTAATTATGTCTTAAACAACCCCAGCATCCTGGAAAAATAAACCGTAGAGATTTGATTACAGCAAACTACACACAAATAGCTTTAGAAAGCACAAAGCCAAGCGCACATCAATATATAGGCAACCAATGCATTAAATTGGACTCCAGAGCATGAAATTGCTTTTGAATCAAAGAGCAGCGGCTGCACTGTATGCTGTGTGTAATAAACAGCAGCGAGGAGGAGATAATAAGGATGCAACGAGGAGCACGACCACCCCAGTTAGAGCAACAGACCTGATTCTCATGGAGGCGATCATGCCAAACTCCTACTTCTAACATGTATTATTACCAAAGGTGTAGCAAGATTTCTCTGCTGCCTCCTAAGATCAGGCTACCTTTCTTCAAGTACAGCATAACACTATTGGGGTCCTGGATAGGACTGGGCATTTTAAGAAGGTTCCTTGATCGATTAATCATATAAATGAACGATCAATGATAAATCTGATCATTTTTTATGCTAATGGCAGGAAATACACATAAAACTTGTTTTCCCTCATTGAACCCCCCCCAACCCCACCCCCAATCCCCCCAACTGTTGTTCAGGACTGCACACTACATGCTCACTCACGCTTCCTACCAGTCTGGCTACCATAAAAAAACATTGTTTTTATCCTCATTCATGAAATGCTAAAATCAGGGACATTTTTGGGGACAACTTGAGCCGCAGACAGGTCATCCAAAACAGGGACTGTCCCCTGAAATCAGGACATCTGGTCACCCTACAGATCATCCTTGCTAGCAAGGAGCTGATGGTAGGTTGAGACTGAGATGGCTCAGAAGATTCATTAACCTCAGTCAGATGTATGTGGTTCAAGTGGTACATCATTGGGGTCGTTGTCGTGTTGAACTTGTACAAGGCATAGCAGTGTTTGCTGCACTTCTTCAACACACACACACACGCGCGCACACTGACTGGACAAAGAGGATTTCCCCTCAGACCAGCAGAGGTTGATCTTTACTGGATAGCAACTCTGTCAGCCCTTTTTAAATAATGTTAGAACCATCAAAATTTTGCGAGATCAACTTAATTCTTATGGATCAACTAATCGATCATCAATTAATCGTGCCCATTCTTAGTCCTGGTGCTGTATCAGAATCAGTCACTGATAAAACTGCTGAAGAAGAAGAAGAAGAAAACTATGTTGTTTTCTGCAGAGATGGCTTGTTAATGCAACAAATGAGAGCACCCTCACATTAGATGTGTCTGTAATGGCATACAATAGTGTGAATACATGTTGATACTAACAGGACAAAACATTGTAAAAGTCATTATTTACACAAGCTGTCACTGAGGAAAAAACATGAGGGGGTTAGTTTCATGTATGAACAGCTGAATGGATCAATAACTGTATTCCAGACCTGACTATGGTCTTAAAATAAACACACATAGACCTCTGTTTATGGTAGGATACTCAGGAAATATGTCTCCAGCTGCAGTAGAGGGTGATTGCTTCTATTATGTGTAGATCTGATAATTCATAACTCTGTAGGACGATAGCACTGCTGAGTAAAAAAATAAACGTGCCCTGCTTTTCATGAGCATCATCGGACTAACGTGAGTGATGGCATTTCAAAACTTTATGGTACACAAATGGGAAACTTTCTTCATGCAACCATGTAATACTGTCACTACTGCTGATGTAATAACAACCCAATAACATAATAATAACAGTGTTTATCTGACTGATGAGCCTCTCTGGTGACCTCAGGTTTATATATCATTTCATTGATAATATGAAAAATACAGCGTTTTCTGACCAGTTGCCATGACAATTTTATTTGCATGACCAGCTGGTCCTTGAACTGTGTGGGAGAGCTAATTCATATTGCCATGGGAATAATGTTCAGTGTTTTTCAGATTGCTGTGAAAGGAACTTCACATTCTACCATCATGTATGTTGATACTATAAAGCAAGGTTAATGCTGAAACTTCATATTTTTATGACTTCTGCTGTAGACTAAAGGTTACAGACAAAGACAGTCAAACACGTCCTTGTTCAAATGCATTGGTTTACATCTATGGGGATCCATTGAAAAGCTACTGCAGAGAGAATATGAACACTAAATATTATCTAAAGTGAAATTTGACAGTCTGAAAGTTGCTCTGTGCATGTTGAGTCACCTCATTATGTGGGGAAACAAAAGTGACTTTCAGAAGGAACTCGAAAAACTGGTTTTACGATTGTTTTCAGTGGAAACATTACGCCGCTCAGAGGAATGCTGCCTAACATTTGTCTATTATTATTACACAACTGGCCCTTCAATGGATGAAAATGACTCATACAAACAAACACATGAGCTACAAAGTAAAATACCTGCACTGACACCTTGAAAAGACTGTGCAAGGACATTCTGGCTGTTGAGAGGAGGAGCTGAAGTGCTCCTGTCTGAATCCTGCCATACGAGCTCCCTGATGGCTCTCCTGACACCTAAAAAGCCCTGACCTCTGAGCAGTCTAGACGAGCAGCCAAACACTGTGTATGAGGCATCCTGGATGACAATGGAAAAAAGATGAGCTCTGTGAGAGAGACTGAGGCAAAACAGAGAGATGCCTGTCACAGCATGTGAGTAGATTTGAGCTGCCACGATGAGATGACAGAAAAAGGATAAATCCTGATAGAGAAAACACTGCATGATTCCAGACTTGGGTATCAAGAGCTGCTTCCAATTTGGAATAGGTTCCAATTCACTGAGATTCATGGATTTGACGATGTTGGTTCTGATTTTAAGGTCCTCACAGCATGAATCATTTAGGAATAAACCTCAGAGATGATTCTGCAGTCCACAGAAGTTGTAATTATCTGCCAAGACCTGCTGTGCCAACGTAGTATGACACACAACGCCACCAAAGCTGCAAAAAGAGGATGATGGTGGACTGCAGCAAGCAGTAGAAAGTTTAGCTCAGCAAAAGATGACAAAGACATTTCATGCATTTCATGTTTCCAGGTGGGTGGGCAGCACGTCCAAAATTATGGAGCATTTGCATCAAAGCCCTGTCAATATTTCATTGTTATGACTTCTTGGGTTCTCAGACGCAGGTCATTTTGGTCTGACCTTTTTGGGATTTTTGTTTGAGGACGTCTGGAAAATTAGAGAGAAACATGTTGCCCAAATCAGCAAGCACATGTATTCTACCCATGCTTCACGGTAAGAACAGCCAGTTCAGGACCAATACATGCCAGAGAAAATTAATTCCAAACAGCATTATCTTGGTATCAAGGAATCAAACTTACTGCAATTAAAGGTGAGAATCACCAGTGGCCCCACAATAGGATATCATCATGATACTTGGGCCGCGATACGATATTATTGCGATTTGTAACATTTTGCAATACAGTGAGTACTGTTATACAATATGTTGGGAATAAACAATTTTTTTTACTGTTTAGCTAACTTAGCATTTGTCTTTCCTTCATGTTTGTCTTATTTACACTGTATTTTATTTTCATGTAACACATCTTGTAAACCTTATATATATTTGTTGCACTAACTTTCTCCTGCTCTATGATGTCACTTCTGCCAACCTCACTGGACAAAAAAATGTTTTTTTTTCTTTTTTCCATTACCATATTTGACTTCATATTAACAATTAATTTGAATACTATTAATTGTACTTGGTAAATGATACTTGGTACTTGGTAAATGAGACGATACAATATATCACCAGACAAGATGTCAAGAAACTATGCTGTATCGATTTTTTCTCCCACCCCTTACTGCAATTTCAGCCTGACTAACACATTCACATATATTTTAAAAGTCCTTTTTTTTTTTTTTTTTTTTTTATCAAACTAATAAAATTAAGTGTTTTTAAACATCATGTTTACCAGGGGTGTCAAAGTCAAATGGACGGCGGGCCAAATAAAAAATTTAGCTACAAGCCGAGGGCCGGACTGATCGAATGTTCATTGAAAATGTTTTAAATGACGCATATAGTCTAGTGAACCTAATTGAACCTACTGAAAACTTAACAAATATATTCCAATATGATCAGATAAATAAAGCAATATTTTCTTATGGCTCTGTCAGTAATCTTTAATTTTCAACAGACACAAAAGACAAATTTCCTTTATATAAAAATCCCCATTACATGAACATTAAATGAAAGAAACCGGTATTATTCAAGGCACCATCAGTGGCCTAAATTTTCTATTTTAGCAAAAGTGGGCTAAATTTACTTCAAAGAAAAAAAAATAATAGCAATTTTCTATCATCCACTCAACTGAAATATTTTTAAAATATCGTTTTAATTCCTCGGCCTTCTGTAGCCTTTGTTCCATGTCCATATTCTTGTTTTTGTCCGCGTGTTTCGTTTCATAATGTCGTCTCAGATTATACTCGTTCAGTACCGCCACACTTTCTCCACACAGAAGACACACAGGTTTTCCAGCTACCTCCGTGAACATATACTCCGACTCCCACCTTGTTTGAAACCCCCGGTTCTCAGTGTCCACCTTCCGTTTTGCCATTTTTGATGGGTATCTGAAGTTAATTTTACTGTTATGCTGACGACTGCTGTGCTAATAAATATTGAAATGAAGCAGCCTACTGCTCGGTGCGTCACCGTTGCATTGTGGCAAATGTAGTATTGGTGCGTGTAAAAGATCTGCGGGCTGCCGGCTTGCTGCGGTCTGCGGGCCGGTTCTAATAATAAATCAAGATCATCCCAGGGGCCGTAAAAAACCTTCTCGCGGGCCGGATGTGGCCCGCGGGCCTTGACTCTGACATATGTGATGTTTACATACTGAGAGAAAGAATCCAACACAAAACGACTGAGCTAATTTTGGTTTGATGGAACTCAGCTTGCAGCCCCCTAAATTGCAGGGAGGCTTTGAGAAGCACAGAAATTCAAAATCAACCCGTTTTTTTTTTTTTGAGTATTTTTTATAACATATTTCATTATTTTTACTTGAGAAACAAACGAAGCTCTACATCAACTCTACCTCATTCTAATAAAACTGTTCTTTAGGATCCCTGTATTGGGATACCCTTGTCTATCATAAAAGATGAAATGATCAAAGATTATCATCACTTACCAAAAAAACATCGTAGCTTTTGTTATTAGAAGTTCAACAGTTGGATAATGAGATTCTTTTGTGGCAGAAGAAGACTTTTTGGATGATGAAATGTCAGGTGACATTGACGGCAGTCTATGAATCAGTTTCAGTCTCTGCAGGTCATTAATTTACAGCTCTAGCTTTCAGATTTGTTCCAGCTCAAGCTGCTGCTGATAAATCCACCCTTTTGTCTCATGAGATAGATGTCCTGTCATTGAGGGAATAAATGTCAAGCTGAAGTCTTACATCTGAAAAAGACTTGGCATTCGGGCTGTCCTCTTCTCCTTCCAATTAACGGCCACTCGAAGAAGGCCAGCCAGCCAGCCACGCAGCTCTGTGTGTGCTCATGAATATTCCATGGGCTCCATTAAGACACTTAACAGCTGGTTTCTGAGGAACTGGGCAGCAACAACTACAGCTTGGTGGTCCCTGTGAGCTTGCTTATTAAAACAGCAGCACTCGTGCTTAAGGTTGTGCGCTAATGTGCGGTTTGACCACCATAAACCAGCCAATCACAGAGCTATTTTCAATTTACTTTCATCTCTGGGGAGGATGGCAAGCCAGCTGCCAATTTCCTCTCATGGCGACTGGCTGCACTACCGTAATTAAATGTCTGTTGTGGCTTCCTGACCTTGCTGTGGTTTTGACACTGAGCCTTTTCTAAACTCTACTGTTGCAGATGTCGCAGTCATCATGCTTCAAGGTCCAACTTGGACCCAGGAGTAATAACTTCGAGCCTCAGGACAGGAGGAAAAGCATTTTAATGCATGTTAATGGAGGAGTTAGAGGTGGCAGACCGCTGTGATGAAATGAAAGTCATTCAATTGGTTCTTTTTTCACTGTGTCCTTTGACCTTGCCTTACTCACTAAAAATCAGAGTAACTTAGCCGTGGACTCCCTGTGAGGCTGTAGCGTCAAGAATCTGCCAATAAGATATGAACCACAAATAGGCGTAATATCCCTTTTTTTTTTTTTTTTAAACACAAATGGACTCTTCCTGGGCTGGTATATACAGGAACCACAAACTGTCACTGAATCACCCTTCAGTCAAATGGAAGCCATCAAGTATAGAGTTGAATCAGATCATCTTGTCAATCTAAGATTCACAGCCCTGGTGAAGGTATAACAAATAAGTCAGTACTACAAAAATACTCACAAATGGTATGTTTGATTGACCAATCGGAATCCAGAACTTTCCTCTCATAAAGGCTAAAGACTGTGGTAAATATAAAAGAAGACCGCACAGTTTTAGGAGGAACACCCTCACTCAGGTTAATAATAATGGAGCTCTAACAGTTATCGTCCATCATTTCCCTATTAATCCCAAACCTGCTATTCAAGCTGCATGATTTCTGCCCCCTGTAACTACAGTGACCTGGTACCCCCCTTGGGGAAAAGTTTCATCAAGTCTAATCTCATGTAATGCCCTTGCATGAAACCAAGTGTTTCCTTGAATTCAAATGTGCTCAGGAGATTAGGGACATTTTGTCCAAAATACTATGGTCTGCCCTCAGAGTTCAGCCGTGTTCCCTTCCTCATATCCTCCTCCACCTGTTTCCTGCACCGCTGCAAAAAATGGAAATAATATTAACTTTATTTTGACGATCATTTTTGTTGTGATCAAATCCATGGGTAGGGGGAATTTTTTTTTTTTTTTTTGCAGAACAGTTTTTGCTCTTAATTAAAAAAATTACATTTTAGTTATGATAATTGGTCGTTTCTTGGGTTATGTTTAATATAGATACATTTTCTGACACCTACAGGGAAAGATATATAAGCCAGGACATCTCTGCAGTGCTACCTCATCAAACTCCTGTTATTCGGAGACTTCTGACCGTGTTGCAATCTTTGATAACATTCATGGCTTATGCAGCCCTTTGTCCCCTACTGCCCTATAAACAAAGCACATATGCAGTAATAGCAGGTATACAGCCACAGAGCCTGTCTGGGTTACTGTTATAGCTTGCATTTCATATTTGACCTCCTTGCACATCGACTTCATGAGGATATACTGTTTTTGGCTTCAGTATATCAACAGTTTGATTACAAGGCAACAAATGTCACAAGAAAATTGGATTTCCTTGGTCTAATTCTGTGTCGCCTCATATCAATACTCCCTTAACGCTCTTAACAAGATTCAGCCTGCATCATAACATTTCCCTACACAATCGCTTTAATGCAATTCTACAGTCTATAATACAAGCAGGCATACAGATGTAAAAACTGTTCAGGCTGGGATTTTCTGCATCGCAACAGGCATTTCACATCCAAAATCCCCGTTTTCTATGGGCGAGAGTTATTATCATAACTGTATAATTTGACGAGATGATTAAACATCAGGCTGAGACAAAGACTGACTTGACTGCCATCCCCGCAGGGAGCAAAATCAAATGGGACCAGATCGAGGAAGAGGCTTTCTGCGCACAACACTTTCCTCTTTCACCACAGCCGACAATGTGTAATGTTTTTCAATGAGATCGAGGTGCTATAAATGGCTCCTTCAACAGCTGCTTTGCACCCTCCTCTACCGAAAAATTCACCCCACCTTCTGCTTCTGTCACTTATTTTCTGAGCCATAATATTTTTCAAGATTAGACGCACAATTAACTCTAATGTTCTTAGCGGCGAGAGTGGGGGGCTTACTGCTGGAGGACAAAATATGATCGTCTTTGCACAACTCGGCTCTATGTGAGACAATGCCTGGACATTAGCTGATAATGATGTGGCATGCACAACACAATACACAATGTTTATCTCCAGAATGATGCTTTCAATAAAACTTACAAACGGGAACAAAAGATGTGCTGCCAGAATAAATTGTCAGGTCTGTTTTGTGAGTTTTAAAGTGTTTTTTCTTCTCACCCTACGACAAGGCCCGGCGCAGAAACACTGCACAGGGTTTATCTAACAGAGGCTGTGGCATGTGGAGAGCTGTGCTGGCACCTACCTAGCAGGTAAGCAGCAGTGGTCTGCACACCAGCGACTGCAGGTGCAGCACCCTGAGGACCCGCCTGCCATACTGTATATCCTCACACAGGGCTGAGTAGCTCGTATGCCGTGAGAATGCTATGCAAATGACCGGAATACACAGTCAAGAAGAGGGGAAATAAACATCCCAAGAGGGAAGAACCAGAGGTTGAGGAAAGCTTTGCAGAGATGAACATTTGCTCATTTCACATACCAGGGAGGGGCATTTTAGCTTATTTCCATAGTCAAGGACTTACAGTAATTATTAAAGAGCACTCCAGGACTGCCTAAATGTGCGTTGTCATGGATACAAGCATTTGTATTACCAACATCCTTCACTCCAAAGCACCTCAGTCAATATGTAACTTTTTAATATGTAATTAGCCTTGTCCAGGACTCTGCAATAACAGCTACAAGTTTGGCTCTAAAAACTTGAGCCCTCTCAAACGTCCATAAATTTTTACAACTCTTTTTTTCTCCAGTGAACTTCGAAAAATATTCAAACAACACTTGAAATTTGGAAGCCATTAGTAATGACCTTGGAAAAGCACAGCCTCAAAGGGTCACATCTATTCTCCCAGGGCCTCTGATAGGCTGTGGTAGTCAGGATAAGAAAGGGGGGAGCTTCCTTTTCGTGGCTCTGAACATTGATCAAGTTGAACAAGAAAGGAGCTGGAGAAGAAAAACAGCTTTAACAGCCTGACAGTGCTCTCCAGAGAAATGTACAGATGTCTTTTTCTAAAGGTTAATAAAAAGCAAACTTGCTGTCAATGATAACTGATGGAGCTCTGGGCGCAAATTACACCCCCCTGTGTTTCAGCACCTCTGTTACATGCACATTTATTTCTGTATATCCTATTTAAATGCAATTAACCAGCAGCTCATGGACTGCAGATGGAAATGAGGGTTCTCATAACTTAAATCTTGTGTTCGCCTGCTGATTTTGCATTCATATGCAGATTTTGATTTACGAAGATTAACATTTTTTTTTTGATGAGCCGGCTACTTTTCTCTGCCGGCATTGTCTAACACTGCTGTCAAATGAGAGGACGATGAATCACCTGGTATCTGCGTCGCCTGTTTTCTCCTCAGACTCTGTCAAGCAGAGCACAGCAGTCACATTGTTTACTTTGTCAAAATATATCCAAACAGAACTTTAATGCCTGCTGGATGCCTGTCAACTTAAATTCCGTGATGACTGACTAACACTGAGCGTTTCAGTGAGGATTTATCCGTTTGGCAGATGATCCATTCCAATAGTCCCAGATACATGTTATATAACACAGCATCTAGGGGAGCTTGATGAGGGCAGAGGTCATAATCACAGGTATTTTAATTGAGACTGAGGTCACAATCATTTCTCATCATGGCTGACTGATCTGCAGCGCTTACTGGTACATTTCTTCAACCCAAACACTCTGACAAACTACCCAAGATGGACTGCATATGCACTGCGTATAGCTTCATTACGTACATTTAGTGCTGTGTTTGGTCCGGTGAGCTTTCACACTGCATACGAACCGAACCAGAGTTCACTTGCAAGCGAACAATGACCCACGTTTTCAGGTGGACCAGAGTTCGCTTGTTTGGTCCGCACCAGAGTTCGGATGAGCTTTCACACCTCCCCAAACGAAGCGGACTCTCCGAGGAAACGAACTCTAGTCTGTTTAAAGCAGACCAAACAGCTCTGGTTTGAAACTTTTCATAATCAGACAAATACCTTGATAATTCGATTAGGGATCACTGTTTTGTGATGTATACTCTTTATTGAACTGAAATTGGCCCAAGCAATCTGTACATGCTTCACAGTACACATGCCCATAGACCGTGAGGTGAAGTAACATAAAGGTGCTGTAGAGAGCCGGGTAGCAAACAAAACCTGGACAGAACCTCTGTCCTCCATCAATTAATATAAAGCCAAGAATAAATCTTGTTGGACATATATCCAAGCTGAAACAGGCCTGTTGTCAGCTACTGTAGCAGAGACAGACATGCTTCTGTCAATAATTCCTTTCTAGTCCGCAGCTTGTAAACTGGGACAAGGACAGTGGTCCAGTTACGAATAATTGAGCTATAACCATAATTCAACTTAACTGTGCATGTAAACACACTGACAGCTGGTGACACTGATAATACGTGTTTATGGATGGTGACATGTAAGCCAGTCGTGTTCAAGATAGTGAAGAAATGTGTTGCTTTACCTTTGTCCTGCTTTCCCTCAATTTGACTGCAATGTTGTTGTTTTTTGTCCCAAGTTTGATTTTATGCTCATACTATTTGTGAAGTGAGATTGTGAAACTGTTCAAGTCTTACTTCAGCCTTCACTTTTTTGACAATCTGTCTTCTGATGACCACTCCTAACAGCCTACTGGCCCCAGGATGCATACACCCCCCCAGGAAAACTTCCAGTCTTGCAGGTCTAGCCTTGGTCATGGCTCCCACTCCTTCTTTCTTATTCTCAGTAAGGAAGGGTGTGTGTGCTCCATTCACCATACAGGACAAAATGAGCACAACAGTAATTCTTTTTAAGTAAAAGTGAAATCTGATTGATCACCCACTCCTTACAGCACCCTATCAGCTGTAAAGAGAACAAGGACAGACAACTGAGCCCAAACATGAATGCCAGTTGAAAAATCCACATTTTATACAACACTTTAGGCCTTGAAGGTCTTGCTTTAAGTAGCCTAAATTTCCTAAGAAGAGTAATATATTCCAGTTTCTTTTTTCCTCGTCATTAGAGTACTGTTTGTAACAGACTCCTTCAAATCTCCTTCACTGCCCACTATTCAGCACCTTCTCTGCTCCTGTGCCTTTTCTCTGCAGAAAAATGGTATTCCAGCAATGTTCATTTGAGATATGAGCTGCGTAAAGACCATTATTACCATCGCAGCGAACAGCTTATTTGTCACAGAGCCCATTATTCCTCATTAGGAGCAGAGGGCGTTGTGGGTGCTGCAGAGCTGGGCATCAAGTGGCTAAGTGATGAATGTGCTTTGGGCTGTTTATCGCCCTAACAGTGTGACGCCGTGATGATGACCAATGGACTCAGGAGAGCGGGGAAAATAAGCGCTGCAGTGACCTTGTTTTAACTGATAGGAAACATGAATAGGGAAGAAAATGTCCCTGTCTCAGTCCAGCCCCTCTTCAACCCATACTCTGATTATTTAAACAATAGTGTGTCTAAAGATATCAGGGCTGTACTGCCAGCTGCCGACTTTTTTGTCCAAGTCCACATAATGAATTTCATGTCATTTGTACAACCAGACACATGAACAGCCTGAAAATATTCAATTATTACTTTTAAAAACAGTATATTAAAGCTACAGTAGGGAGTTTTTCATTGGATAAAAATGGACTAAAACTTGCAGTGATGTCTTTTTCGACCTACAGTTGCAAATTAAACCATCAGTGACAGACCAACAATACCTGTGCTGTAATAAGTCACAGGGGATGGGTGATAAATTATCGTTCATGATATATCGTCAGAAAAATCCTCCATGATAAATATTTGCCATCTCATGATAAATACGATAAATGCAAGTTTATGATGTAAGTGTGAGCGATGGACTTGCAGCCATAGCCCACACAGAGCAGAATAACAAACAAACATGACCAAAGATTATGAAGAAGACGTTTCTGGATAGCTTGTTACTGAATGAGGCTCTACATGAGGGATTTCCTTCAAGATTGGGGTTTAGATGAGAGCAATCAGGTATGCCTGGAATCGGAGAGTAGATCTAATGCTGTTCACTCTGTGCAGTAAGAGTTTTTAACAAATGTTGAAAATGTTTTCAGAGAGAGAGAGAGAGAGAGAGAGAAGCAATGCCTCTGCCTCAACATGTCCACTATAACAACAGAGAGTCATCTGTTTTAAAAAGAAAATCTTTCACTCATCTTTTTTAGAACTAACCTTCGGCCAAAGTGACAGACCTTAAATAGACACTCTGTGACCTGCAGATAGTCAGTCATGTTGAAAAAACTGGATGCTGTTTGTTTGCTTGTAAACAAATAAACAAAAAAAGGAACGTAAGTAGCGAGTAAATATGTGACTTCCCATCATACATTGAAAACTTTCAGGTTATTGGCATACTTCTTTGAACGGTACAGAGGTTCATGAATAAAACAAGGACAGCAGCCTTTCCAGGAGTCTCACTTTTAGGGGCTTGAGCAGTAGAAATTTAGCATTTGGAGATGAAAAAAAACTTGTCTAGATGCAGTCAAAGGAAATATTCACTTAAGCAAAAGCCTATTTACTTTCCCACCATCTGTTACTGAGGTATCTGCTGCCATACCAACAGACTACAGAGCAGCTTCTTTCCCCAGACTATGAGACTCCATCGCTCAGCCTGCATTTTCCTTCATGTTTTTTGTTGAATACGCCACTCCAAAGGGGGACTACAGCCTGCATTTCATTGTACAAACTTGTGATGTAGGATGATAAACACTATAAAAATAGCAATTAATAAAATTTGGTTTCAGTATCTCAGAGAGTCACCACCAACCTAAAATAAAACAACACAGCAGCATCAGTGTCATAGAAGTTAGAAGACACATAAAAATCAGTCACTGTCACACTGACTTTATGACCAAAAGGACTCAAGTATGATCGCGCTAATCTATCTCTCCACAAGAATGCTCTGGCAGCTGCCCAGCGCACGTTTTTACCCCTACCTGTGAAAAGAGAATGAGCCCTGAATACAGAGAGGCAGCAGCACAGCCATTAAGAGGACTCAGAAACAAGCACCGCGATTAATCACTCTCAATGATTCTCCTGCAGGCAGCAATTTGTTCATTCAGTAATTCACATATGAAATGGAGGGGGAGAAACGAGGGACGGGATGGTGGTGGTAATGTGGCAACGTAAAGGTGGGATCGGCTTTTCACCCTCCTGTGTAGATGGACAAGAGTTGGCACACGACTGGCATGCTGAAATATTAACGTCTAGGGCTGTGAATATTCATGCTCCTTTAGCCGTGTCGTGAAATCATGGCGGACAAAAGCAGCATCCCTGGAGTGCGATGCAATTCTGCACGTCCCTGTTTAATGTCCAAGGACAAGGGGCTGCAGGCAGAGTGGGTGGCTGCTTAGTTGGGGGTGAAGCTTTGGCTGTGAGATGTTTCAGACAACAGGCGGTAAAAGAGGTTTGACTGCTAAGTCATGACAGCTGACTGTGACCTGAAGTCATAAGCGCCTGCATGGGGTTAGTATGGCTCGAGTTTAGCTGCTAACGTCTCCACCCTTCTTCTCTGGTTGTTGTTACTCTCCCACAGCTCCTGTATTTATACGCCCAAAGCTACAGTTACCCCTGAGAAAATGCTTTAGTGCTTCGATTTTCAAGAGATCTGCAGCAGCTATTGTGCAAAATAAAAGGGCAAAAAGACGACTGAATACAAACAAGGGGGATGGGAGATTTCAAGAGAAACCAGAGCACACGTTCAGCACACACAAGTACACTCCCTGGATCTGTTTTCAAAAGGTTACCAAGCAACCAGCTTCTTTGGTTGTCCTCTTATCAGGGAACTGTTTCTGCGCCTGCTCAGAGGTACACCAGGTTTCTGTTTTACTGGGGTCAGCGGCTCTACACATGACCCACACAGGCGGGGATAGGATAGGGGGGCGGAGAGAGAGCGTGGGGGCAGGTGGAACAGCACTGTAGCAGCCGAGGAAATGACTGAACAGCAAAGAGTCGCTGCCAAAAAGAAATCAAGGGGTGTCTGCCAATGAAAGGGAGGGAATGGACAGACATACCAGGCAGGGCAAACAGGCTGACAAACACAGTGTTTCCTGGATTAGCTCAATGCTAACTGACAGAAGAAACAGAGAAGTTGGTTCAGACAGATCAATAGAGCGGGGAGATCAATTCAACTGATTGTTTATGTGTCTAAGTGAGTTCCATTCAGCTAATACCGCTTCAAATATCAAAAGCACAACCGCTGTCATGTGCCAGCCTCAGAAAGACCCAGTGGAGGGTGAGTTACAACATCTGATGTTAATGATGAAAGTAACAGCTACACCTACATCAGCAGCTGCTCTCTTTCAATATTGTCTTGTAAATAAATAAATAAAAAAAACTAAACTAAATCTCAAGAGGAGGTTTAAACAGAAAAGTTTGAGACATCTACACTGTGTACAGACTTCTTTCTACTGCCTTGTTTAAAACAACCTTGAACTGTTTAGTCAGGTTGACTTTTAAAAGAAAAGACAAACAAACAACATGAAAGGACTATTTCTTCTAAACTCACTGAAATGAAACTGTGATATACAAATGAATTCATCAGTCAGGTATTGTGGTTTCAACAGTCTTGGGCCTTTTGCAGCAGGAATTTCAGGACTGTACACTCTGGGTCATTACATCGTAAGTTGGTGTCATTAAATTGTGTTCCCTGCAGTTCTGCAAGGAATGACAATGCACAGGCAACCACAACCTGCTTCAGCTGATAAGTGCTGGCATAATTCAGTTCAAGGTTCATTTACAACCTTGATGACATTGATCGACATTGGATTTTTACAGTCTATACTGACTATTTGTAGTTCATGAGACTAATCATCAGTATTTGGAAATCATATGCAAAAACCTCTATTAAAATTGACCCTGTGGGATATTCCAAACTCGAACACTAGATTTTGCTTTAATTTGTTTAGCCAATGTTTGATCAAAACCAACTACCAACATCCTGTACAGGAGTTAACAGTTAACCTGTTACACTTAGCCAGTCCAACGGCACTGTGGGCGGAACATAAACCAGACAGAGGGATGCAAGAAAACTGATCCAGGCGGAGAAACACACCAACAGAACAGCCAAAGTGGTGCGTTTTTTAATCAATTAATTGTATCAGCCATGTGTAAAATAAAAGGCCAATACAGATAATCAGCAAAATGCCAAATATGGGCCCAAATAGCCAGAAAAGCCCCTCCTAAAGTCATAAATAAAACCAATAACTGAGCACATTAAGAAATAACATCATAATAATGACAATTGATAAAGGATATAATCTAAAATTGATAACATACAAAGGGTCATCATGACTACAATACTTTCTACAAAACAATGGGAATCAAAGATGGAGGATGTCCAGATTTTGGCATGATTTCAGTTCATGGTAAAATTGCCAGACTTTGATCAACTGAAGTGGCTGATGACTTAAATAACATTTAGTACAGACTGTACTGGTAACATAAGATAATGATAATACAAAAGGAGATTACGTCACAATGAGTCACTCTACTAATGTAGTGGATCATTTGTAATGCTGTTTGAAATTTCAAAGACTGAGAGTACAAGGAAGTCCAAAATCAGCTGACCTACCACCACCACACACCAATTCTGAGTCACTTTCCCATAACTTCACAGCAAATGATTTCACAGTAACCTGGGAAATAATGTGTGGTATAATGGCTTAACACTAAACAACCACTTCCTAATGTGACAAAAAAAACTGAAGACATTGTTATAATTTCAAGGAACACAGGTGTGCTTTCTTCTGTATGATACTTACAGCAGTGAATCATGGACAAAGACAGCAAAGAAAATGGAGCAGGATGATCCTACTTGTTTTTTTTTTTCCCATTTGAGAGAGAGGTTTGCACATGGTTGTGTACTCTGACATGTTCAAAGACTGCTTCCAGTCTAGCAGATACTGTTCTTGTCTGCTGAAGTGGAACAGCGTCCAAATGACGAGGCCATGATGCCATTAAGATGGTAATGAGCCCCAACTACTGGACACACAACAATGTGAATCATGAGACAAAAGAAGGCTGAACAACACACTCACTATGTAAACCTTATATTACCCTCAGTGCCCCAGCTTTTTGCATGGAGAGATGTGCTGAACCATCCGAAACAAAGAACTACTTCATTACATGCGGTTTCTCACTAATCAGCATACTGGAATGTCATTTCTCTGACCACGGCTCTGTGGCTTCCCATTCAAACCTCAGAAAATGTTTTAATAACTCAGTCTCAGACCGAAGCCAAAGGATGATTCTGAAGCAAAAGTTTCACATGTTTGTTCGAAAAAGGGAGGAGGAGTGATCGGCTGGTTTCAGTGCAAATTCCAGGACACTAAACAGCCACGCCCATGTGCATACTATTAAAACCACAACAATCAATAAACAACAGTGGAAAATAAAGACTCATATGTCACCAGACAGCAGCACTATTTAAGGAGTTCCTAAGTAAAAGAAAAACACTTAACTGATACCAATGAAAAATTGAGAACATTTGACTTACCTTGTTCTTTTAACATTAAATTATCATGACCTGTGAATTCAATAAACTGGACTAATGTTCTGAATGTTACAGCTACCCAAAAATGGAAATGAGGTGGTTTAAGTTGGGTTTACAGATATCAGTGTGTATTTAAAGTGGGGGAGCACCCCATTTCCACCTTTAAATCCCTGACTATAAATTAGCACAAGCCAGAAAGGTTTAAAAATAACTGTTCTGATCAAAGGCTTCACTTCCCTGGTTGTAATCCACCCACCTGAGAATAAACAGAAACTCTGATCAAATGATGGTGTTGACACTGAGATGTGAGTTTAGTAAATCAAGTCCGCCAAAACAAAGCTGTCAACAGGAGCAAACATGTGGTTAAGTTAGGTCTGATAGCACAGGATTTAGGGAGCAGGAGGGGTCAACAGATGGAGCACAAAAAAGAGCAGCTATTGAGTTAATGCCACAACTCTCAATGTAATATCAAACCCTGTAGTACAGCGTCCACAGTCCAATAAATACTTGTGAATATTGGTACTTGCAGTTTTGCTATACGATCTTTCCATGCGTTTTTTTGAATAGTTATCATGAGTAAGTCCTCGCATGACATGCCAGGACTTACTCATGATAACTATTCAACAACAACCCGCTAAAGTTGGGGGACATGAACAATAAAGGGTGTGTACTTGAAGTCACACAAAGTGGAGTGATAATGCCATCTTAATCACTTAATTTTGAGATCGCAAGATTGATGATTTAGAAAAACACAGCATAGTTACTTGACTAAATAAAACGGTCTGTTATTTCTGAGATAATTATCTTGGTATTTTAGAAAAAAGAGCAGGGTCTTTTTTCTTCTGTGAAAGCAATAGGCTGTCATAAAAAAGAACATGTTTTGAGTTTCAGAACTAGATTTTTCCACCTAAACCCTTTCTTTTCCATAAAATTCGTAAAATGCCAGATTATGGTATATAATGGATGGGGCCTTCAGAACCGAACCGAAAACCGTCACCGAAAAACCGGGGTAGGTACTGATCTGTGGGCTTACTGCATTGAGGTGAGGTCCATTAAGAATAATGACAAAAACGGATGTTTTTTTAAAAATCATCCATTCTTTAATTACTGTGGGAACCTCAAACAGTAGATCCATTAGCCATCCAGACTCATAAGGTTAGACCTTAAGTTTTCGAAATTAAGATAAACTCAACAACATAAAAAAAGAGTAAAACTAAATTGAAGTCAACAAACTTTGATGAAGGAAGAGCTACGTTTACAAGTGTATTGAGGCTTTTCCTCAGTACTGGTTGTTGGTTAACTTTGTCCAGCTGAAGTCGGTTTTGGCGGTCGGTTGCTTGGCTGTACGGCTCACAGACTCTTAGACTGACCTGGAGTCAGAGTTTCTCCTCGGTCGGTTTTGTCTTCAAGTTTCTCTCAAATGACGTTTGGCTGACTGTAGAACAGATTAATTGACTTACTCGTGTAGTTAGAAACACAATTTATCGGCATTTAGGGGCCAGAGCGTTACTAACTTGCCGAAAAAGGTGAGTTTCGATGTGGACACCAGTGTAAACGTTGTCGTACTCGGCTGACCACACACTCTCTGTTCGATACCCGCTCGCTGTTGTCCGCTTCATCAGAATTAAAGTGTCCGGGCGGACGTTGGTGGAGTCAAACTTACCTGTAAAGAGGCTCAGCAGTACACTGCAGACCCGGGCTATCGACAGCTCCATTCCTGATCCAGATATTCCAACACTTCCTCCCTGAAACTTGCTCCGACAACTTGTATTGAATTCGAGAGAGAAGCAGTAGCCCAGCTCGACCGAAGCATCCAAACTCTACTCCTCCTCCCTCCACTCCTCCTCCTCCTCCGCTCTCTGCAGGTGCACAGCGGAGCGCGCCGCAGGCTGTCACGTGACCCACAGGGCTCTCAAACTACAAGCAGCACCGCCCCCTGTTAGCGCGGAGAAGGAACTGCAGGCCGGCCTCAAACTCTACGATTAATGAGTGACTGGAGCCTGCTTGGACTTCTGAGTCCTAGGTACTTGCTTTGAAGCCATGGAAATCTAAGAATCTATTTCCCCAAACTAACTCTTGCATAACGTGTGATTTAATGAAAACTCTCCGGGGTGGAAGTTTCCAGTATTTTTGCCGCATTTTTTGACCATTTATGCTCTTTGTAGATGGTTGCACACTCCGTTGATGGCTGGCTTTGCAGAAAAGCGTGACATCAGGAGCCAAAATCTAGGGGTTAACTGATTTTGACAAGTAGCAGCTGCAAGAACATAAAAAAAAATCTCTTTAAACAAGATTTATTTTTGGACCTGTAAAGTTAGTATGGTCGATTCAAAATGTAACATGATATTTTGATCAGAAATGACACAAAGACACTTTTTTTCAGTATAGACTGCATCAGATCCACTGGCTGTCCTGAAGTTGATGCAAACCTTGCATGTTTTCATTATTTTTGTTTTTTAATCAACAGGTGTCGCAGTGTAAAATGTAACCAAGCACAACATTTTCCACAGAAAGATTCTCCAGGACTGATTTTGAAAACTACTCATACAAGTATGAGGACACAAACAGCTTCTGGAGTACAGTCATGTCAGTTAATAACTGATAATAACTTCCAATTTGTTTAAATAGTTTAAAGAAAATGGGCCATTTAAAAAACGTTTCATAACATTTAAATATTTTATTTCCCTTCAGGGATTAATAGTTCTTCTTAACCCTGTGGATGTATCATTCATTTGGCTAAGGCGCTGTGCTAAACAATATACTATGTAAGTTCTCAATATTTCAATCTAAAAATGTGAACCCATTTCTGCATTATCAGCCAGTCAGTGTCAGGGAAAACCAATTTACCATTTTGAGACTCATCTGAATCATAGGTGATACACTCAATGAGATGTGTGATTGTCTTGATATGTTAGGTCTGTCGAAAATCATAAAACACAGAAACAATAGCCAGAAAATATTTCTTGACATGTAAAACATCTCATGAAACACAAAAATATCTATAAAAAAAAAATTCGCTTTACATCAAGCCACTTTTATTGAAGTAAAAACTTTTCCTAAAACATAATAAAATCCAAATAATATTTAACGCGGACTATTTCTTGGTGGTAAGTGTGACTTTTTTTTTTAACTTTAAGAACTTTTTGTGGTTCATGAATTATTTTTCTGATTTTCAAAAAATGTTTCTGAAGTTTTTGCATTTCATGATTTTTAATGTATTTTTCACTTTTCTGAACCTGCTCTTGTAATTTTGTTGTACTTTTCTTGGCATGTACTTGTATTTCAATTTTCTTTACATGATCTGTATTCCCTTCCTGAAATGTTTGTTTTTTGTTTTTAATTTTTTTGATGCATTTTGTGAATTATTTTGCATTTTATGAAAGATTTTTAAATGTGATTTTTCTGAAATGAACATTTTTGATTCGTTGTGAAATATATAAGCATTTTGTCAAATATGGTCCTTTTAATTTTTCATTAATGAAATATTTTTGTGTTTCATGAGATATCTGTCTGGAAAAATGTTTTTTGCCAAAGAGAAAAATGTGTTTGGTTGACCTACAGGGCCACTGTACTTATCAATAACGGGCATGCGTAAAAGAAAGACAATCAATTCAAATGCTTCAATTGCTGCACTGATGGAAAGTAAAAAAAACTAAGATTTATTGGCTTTTTATCAGACTTTTAATGTTTAATGAAAATCAAACTTTTGAATTACGTCATCAAAAGTTACCTACTGTGAAACTCACATTTACTTTGATCAGACTTAATACAAAACAGACATTACGCAGAGCGTTTGATTACCTGTGCAGTGGTTCTGTTGTACGCACTGCCTAGTAAAAACATTCCAGTCTCCAGCCTCTACCTCATGGTATTTTCAGTCAGACTCAGGCTCTGCAAAATTTTCTGAGCAAATTCATTTTCTCAATCTCTGTATTTTGACCCCACCCCGAGGATACACCTGACATTTAACCTCTCCCTGAGAAAAAAAACAACACCTTTGTGTGTTGCTCATTATTAAACTTCATTTCTCATCCTGCTGACAGTCAAAGGTGTCATTTATTGTGATTTTATGTGGACATTGTAAATGGGACTGCTTCTTTAGCTGCTTAGCTGACACCTACCCCCAAACAACATAATGATTAAGATACTGATGTCATTAATCTTGTCACTGATGGTCTTGTTTGCTTTGGGATATCATGAAAAGCATCAACATGAATTTCAGTCAATTTTATAAATATCAAAAAACTCCTCACAGGAGCTTTAAATTGCAAACAATTTTGCATAAATAGTAGAAAATTGGTTTCAAGTCGAGAGAGATTTGTAAGAGATCTCAACTCTTTTCAAAATTTGTAATTGTGATTGTATTACTTTTAATTTTGATGATGGTTTGAATCATTTTCTTACCAGTCTGTAACAACCTTTAACTCAATAAGAGATGTGAATAAAGAGTGATGGCAAACCTTCTGCTGGTCCGTCACTCCAATACGTGTAACGTTACTTAATCTCAATTAATACATCTTATTTTCATCTTAATAGTTGACCTCTAAAAAATGAGCTTCTCTGTTTTCTTTCTGTCTTTACTGATTCAGGTTTTTATAAAATAAAATTATTGGGACAGTTTTTATAAACTGATAATTTTTTAGTCTTTTAATGCAGCATCTGTGCTGACAGGTGTCTCCTCAGGGCCTTATGTGTCTCTGCTGCCATCTGTTGGATAAACCTGGGAATGATATCTGACAGAGTCAATCTCCCCACAGAAATATTCGTGTAGGTGGACTTCTGCAGCCTATAAACTTGAGTTATGATAATTTAAATATAATTAAAAAAAGAATATCTATGAATGCTTTTCACAGCTATGCTTCCATCTGCTGGACACCTCTGGAACTACAGTCTGTGACAGATCGTCTGTTGTCAAGCACACAAATCACTTTTGATAACAGTTTTAAAAACTGACATTATTTTAGTATTGGGAGACAGGAACATTGGGAAAAGCAACACGTTTTGACCAATTTGCATTCATTTGATTATTGTGAAAGCATTACAGAGAGGATCTGCTGTAACTTGAGCAGAAAACAGCTTTAAAAAAATCAGCCTTTTCAAAGCCACCAGACTGTATTGAACAATAACAGGGATTTAACCCTGCAGGAGCCAGGAGCTGCTGTCAAACTAACAGGGGTAACCTTTTGTGATTTATTGTGAAAATTCAGTGTCAGTGCATATCATACGTAAAGTTCTTTTTAACCCTGTATATTTTTGTTCACTGTATATTGAAATTTTCAAGAATCCGGTAAAACTGGTTACAGCTAACTCCTAAATCATCATGTTCCCTGAGATGTCTGAGTGTTTTTTTATTTAGAGCAGCATTAAAGCTGAAGTTTCATGAAAGTGGAGTGATACAAAAGCTGGATGCTGATTGGTTAACATAAGCAATAATAATAACCTAACCTCTAAGGAGACCAAAGGGTGCTGGAGATACTTAAGCAGACTGTTGCTGTAAAACAGGAGAAAAAACTCAAACATACACTTTCTTTGTATTCCAATCAATTTTTATTCCTGCCAGTCTTAAGAAGATAATATCCCTATGTCTGTTTGATTCAGTGTTTGACAAAATTAACACAAAAGTAGTTTCGTTTATTTAGAAGACTTGAGTCCCTTTATAAGAAGGCCACTATCTTGCACCACCATGTTTCTACAGCAACACTAAATGGACAAACTAGTTACATTTGTATTTAGTGAGTGTGAGTATGCACAAAAGAACTTGATGATAAAAATGTGACCAAAAAAAGGACCAAACTTTTCATGCATCACAAGAGCTTCTTGACCTCCAAGGCCACCGTCACTTGACTGACATAAAAAGCTGCAGAAAACACACAGTGTGTAGTCTGCCTCAGTAGCTTGTCAAGTTTGTTTGTCTAGTAAGTCCAGTCCTGTCCTCCTTGTCTTCAACCAGAGAGGTCTTAAGTTTTGAGGTTTTTGTCTTGTGTTCCTGATGTCAGCTGCATTCAAACTCCCTCAGCTTAAAACACCAACCTGTCAGTATCTGCTTCAATACTTCCACATTTTCAACATGTTTGTGATCTTTTTTTAATTTCTGGAAACATCTTTCTGGAAAAAGAAAGTCTTGTTGCATATAGTTTTGATTGAATTTTGATGCACTTTAAACATGGAGAGAATACAGACAGAATTTGGCATTTCAGTGATTAAGCTGATATGAGGTTTGTCATGGAAAGCTGAAAACACCACCTACCTGCAGTTCACAACAATCAGCCTACATTAAGACACAGAGATGGAGATGTTGCCGAGAGTTCGCAGATGTGTTACTGAGGTCGGTGTGTATAATGCACATCCAAAATGAGTAATTTTGTTGAATCTTGTGCATATTTACGAGTCCACTAAATCGGCTACATGAAGATTTCTGCTTCCTGGCAACATTGTTTTTTATTATTTCAACTGATGGTCCTATTCCTCATTTGTAAAGTACGTGTGTAAAAGAGATGAGCATATGGCTGATGCAGATGACTCATCTCCACATCTAAATACAACATGAACCAGTAAAATACACAAAAACACATATTTCTACTATTTTACTAAAGTAAACCTTATATTTTTGGAGTAAAAAGTGCGGCCATAATGGCAAGAAAAGCTCTTTGCAGGGGAGCACATGCGCATTCTTGTGTCTCGATAAAACCATCTAAAAGTTCCATGATCTCCATGGTGCAAACAAAAACATGAGATCATTGAAAAAAAAATTGACTGGCGCCATCTTCGTTTCATTTAGTTTCTATGATGAACTTGAAAAACTTGTTTTCAAAATAATATACTATTCAAAACAATTGTTTTCATATCAGCACACACTTTTTTAACAATTTTCAGTTTGTCCAGAAAAATTTTGACAATTAAAATCCTTTCACAAAATAACTCTGTTTGCATAACTAGTTAAATGAATTTTATATTTACCCTCTTTACCCTCAACGATTCAATTGAATAAACAGTATTATAGTAATACAGTAACAGCACTAACCAAAAGGCTTTTAAAGAGTAAAATTCAGCTAAATCTGAGAATTTCGTTGTATTTGAAAGATTCTCACTTGTGAAGCTGCTAAGCCATCGCCTGACTTAGCTTCAGGAGGCTCTCCACCGCAGAGGGTCTGCCTGAAGCCATTTTATTGTGCTGGAAACTTCAGATCAACTTTTCTCATCAGGTGTTTGTCTCTCAGGAAATTCATTTGCTTTATTTCAGGTTGAGGTTGAAGGTTTTCCAAAAATATTCGCCGTTTGTCAAAGTGGTTAGCAGTCTGCTCAGTAGTTCAGTTTGTTTGGAACTGAAAAATGTCAAACATTTGGAGCTCTAAGGTGACCACGAATAATGCCGCCTCTCTGTTACCATAACTATGTTTATCATAATTTCAGGGAATTGATTTGATTTCATAATTTAGCACTGAGCAAAGTGTCATCCATTTTTATTGATTAAAACTCTAAAATAACTTAGTTGAGTGTCCTCTTAAGGGATTTTGTCTCCTTCACATTAGAAAGTCATTTCTGCTCTTTGCTGTAGTTTTGGAGCTAGTTTGCAGTACAAGACAGACAGTAAGGATGAGGTTGGTGTAAAAAACACAGATGCGGTCCATGAATCAAGAGGTTTTAGTATTGTTTTCAAATTAAGGTAAGTAGTTAGAGGCTCGAATTTCTAACTAAAACATGACAAAGATGATGTAATATAACTTCAGACTTCACTGATGAGTGGGTGAACTGGAGTTTGGTGCTTGAAACATTTCAAGTGTCATCTCTAAAATTCTTTTTGCTGAACCCTCATATCCCAATGTGACAAAAAAAAAAAAGCATGAGCAGTGCTTCAGATTTCTTTAATAACTACAATTTTTAAAATTCGACAAATGAGTCCAAACACCAAACTGACAGATCTTTGGTGCAGGTATTGCTTGTTCTTCTTCAACAACATAAGCAAGAAGTTAAAAAAACTGAACAAAAAAACCTACCACAAGAAACTCTTTAACCACAACCTTTAAGGAACCTTTAAAACACCACAGGAATAAATAATCCACCATGAAACACGAAATTGTGTTTGATAACACTACAAAAAATTAAGCCTATATATCGGAAAATTTGCCTCCCTGAATAAATTAAAAAAATCAAAAGGACTCTACTTCAAAACACATTAAAGTCTCCTGTTGTAAAAAAAATATATAAAGTTCTTCAAGACTACATTACATTATTCAAATTCCAATATCGAACTCAAAACAAGTGATTCAGGTAACTAGAACAAATGGATGGTCTAAAGTGCAAAAAGGACTTCTGTGGAAATGTCTCAGCTATAAAAGTTCATTGGTCAGTCTAACTGTAACAGTGTGCCAGATGTTGGTGTGTATTCCAGTATGCAGGCCCTCTTCTGTAACTCGGAGGGACCCACAGGACGTGCTTCGTAGTGTGCTGCCCTCTGCTGTGAGGTTTGAAGGTGTAGTGAGGACAAGGAGCCATGTCACTTTTTCCTGGAGTCCTCTTCTTTGGATGCCATGTGGGAGCTGCAGGATTCATTGTCTAAGAAGAAAAGACATAAAAGACATCACTCACTGCAACATAAGCAAAAACCTCTTCATACACCTTACCCATGGACCATATCACCATTGCAGCCATCTTTTTGTGACATGGAGGATTCGTGGACTATTAGCATGTCTTATAACAGTGTTCTCGGTCTTTAGTCTTAATAAGAATCAGAATCATTTCTAAGCTCCTATAAAAAGGTTGTTAAGGTTCAAAGTAGCAACACAGACAGACAGTAATACACATAATCAATTCTGACATTTTTTCAGTTTAAAATCATATTTGATAAACCATTTGGAAAAAAAGAACCGTTTGCAAAGATTATTTTATAGAAGACTGTTTTTAAAGTGCTGATGTTTATGAGGGTGTCCATTTTTTATACCATGTAAGCCCCTGAACAAGCTTTATTAGTACAGTGTGGGCAGGCACTTAATTTGGGGTACAAGATATTGGTTTTTAGCTGATACTGGATATGCCATGATTTACAAACCTTCAAACATTCATAGAATGTGTACTGTGTTTCACCGGTGCTGCCTCTGTTTTTTTTTTTTTCTTAATTTCCCTCTGGGATTTATAAAGTATCTATGTATGTATCTATCTGGCTGAAATGGATGTGGAATCCTATATACCCACTTCTAAAAAAACAAGTTTTACCATTAATAGTTGTCAAGATTCATCTACATATCTGCAGAACAGTGGCGATTGCTCTAAGACTGCAAGGGAGCTCAGCTTCCCTTAAAATGTCACCCCCCCAAAAAAAAGAAAAAGTGGTGAAATACGTACTGCTGTGTGTTCATTTCATTAACTAAATACGTGCTAGAAAGCCTTCATCTTTTGTTCAGACACTGTGATAAGAAGCTGATAATCACAGGTAACCGGCATAACTTCAGCGCTTTAAACAGCCGGACGCTCAGCTTCTGCTGACTTCAATGTGGAAGCTCAAATTGGGTTGTTCCAGCAGCGAAACTAGACGCTCATTGGATAAATGCTGGGCTTTGTCCCGCCCATCGGACGCTCGGCGTCTCTGGAGTTCTATGGCGAGAGGGCGGTCCCGACTTTCTCCCGGACTCCGAGCTTCTGCATCCATGATTGGATGAGCTGTCTGAGGCGAAATCCTTTTTTGATTGACAGCTAAATAAGCGAATCAGCGATCTTGAAGAATAAAACATCTACCAAAGCATTTTCCAAGTTATTCATTCCGTTGTTCTTAACTGCTCCGGAGACTTTACCGATCCTCAGCGACTTTTGTCTTTGTTAAAAACGACTGCCGTTGTGTTTGGCGACTCTGTTCTGTTACATACTAATAAACAAATACAATTATGATGTAGGCCAGAAAAATGAGCTTCCCCTCCTTGAAAGACCAGCAGCCGCCACTGCTGCAGAAATATTCATATACTGATAGTTTACTTTGGTGAGTTAATTTTCCAAGATTTAGAAAAAAATGGGGCAAGTGGGCTAATATCCCCCCTGTAAGAAGTAAGACCCCTTCAAATCATTGTATGGCTCATGCTATTGGGTCACAATGTGACATGAAAAAACAGACCCCCAGCATAAACATTGGTGCTTATAAAGTAAAATAAAAAAAATCTACTTCTGCAACTTTTTCTGTCTCCATGGTGCTTTATAACTTCATTGTTCATTAGGAAGTGGCTGAAAGCTAACTTCAGCTGTTTTCTGATTTTAGCAAGTGTCTCCTTCCTGAATCTCAACTTCTACTGTCTTTGTGGGATCTTCTTAATCAGAGAGCTGTAAAATAACCACAGATTGTCAGATTCTCAAGCTTATTACCACTTACAACCTTAAACACAATACAAGTTTCCCAACCTGAGCATAATATCAGAAGAAAACCGCTACAGTAGGAGCAGGGTCTACTGTCTTACTCCTAGTTACTGTTAAAATAACTCCATAACAGTACAAACAGTATGGGTAGTTTTGATACAGTACCTTGGAATTCTGCTTAGTACAGTGACTGTTGTGGACAGTGAGAGGGGAGTTGTGCAGCCCCTCCTCATCAGATGAAGAACCTGAGTGATAGTCTGACGTCACTCTCTGTAAAGCACTGGTCATCTTCTTAGCAAAATCCTTGTCTTCCTTATGGTCATTAGAGAAAGTGGCCACAGAGAAGCAGGGGTTTTGTTCACCATATCTGTAATAAAAGAGGACAGGAAACCTGTTACTAAACCACCAGAACAGTGTTTGAGTTGAGACACTGAGCAAAAGCTAAAAAAGGTTTTTTCAATCTTATTCTTTTTCTGTCACAAATAATAAAAGGGGCTGCAATCACACTACAAGAAACAGACAGAATAATGGATTTCAGCACAGGGTGATGTGTTAGTGTTATGAGAGGGCAGTCTTTATATGTAAACCAGAGGAAATTAAGTGTTGTTTTACTCATATTATACATATGACAATGATAGTTCGGGTTTAGCGTGTCTTTCAGCTTTGGATTAAAGTCTAGAAGCTTCATGGGTAAAAGACTGTAAAGTAAAACAAACAGATTTTCCCCAATATCATTCGTCTTAGTGAGTGACTCATTTGTAAAGAAGCCAGAGCTCAATAATTGAGGACAGGAAAAACAAGACCAAACAGAGGAGCATGCAGCTGTAGTGGTGAGTTAGCAGTAGTGTTGGGCAGTATGATCGTATATATGGTGTGACAGAATAAGAGTGTCTACTGGTAGAAATTTTGCGATATTGTTTATACTGGAGAGAGAGAGAGACGATGTCTGCTTCGTCTCTCGGAGTTAGTCTGTGGTTGGCTGCGCTCACTAACAGGAAAGCCGGAATATCTGTTTGGGTGCATTTTGGTATATTCACCAGCGTGTCATGCGGAGTTTGTTTGCTCTGTTTGATAGGACAGGTTTGGGTGCGCTCCCTATAACCACCAGCGTGTCCAGCAGACTGCTTGGCAGAGTTTCAAAGAAGAAACAGCTTAACTGGTGGTGGTCATGGCGGACATGGAGATTAGTGGCAGTACCGAGCAAACGGAGGCAACCCGACCCACCCAACATGAGGAAGAGGAGAAGGAACTCATTCCGAAAAAAGGAGAGCGAGTCGCTACATCAGTTGTCTGGAGATTCTTCGGATTTAGAAAATCCGATAATGACCAAAAAACAATACTATGCAAAGAGTGTGTGTGGCTGTTGTTACTGGAGCTGGAAATACCAGAAACCTCTTCCACCCCCTAAAGATGAAACACGGCAAGCTCCATGATGAGAGCCAAAAGATGCGTGGCGCACCCGCTGCACCAAAAACTAAAACTGCAGCAGCTCCTCTCAAACAAAAGAGCTTAGCAGAGTTTTTCGCTAAAGGTATGCCATATGATAAAAAAAATTGCCGTACTGGTCTGGTATTTTGTTTTCATTTGTATACCAATCCGAGTTTGAAAATAAAAGGAAAATCAACAAATGTGACAGTGTGGTTATTTTTAAGCCATTAATTGAATTTAAAGGGGAAGGGGGGGGGGCATACCATGACAAAAGACCGTAACCGTGATATGAAATTATTCATACCGTGATATAAGATTTTGTTCATACCGCCGAACACAAGTGAGCAGTGTTTCATGATGCAATAACATCACAGGCTGTGATGCAGGGAAGAAAAAATATCTGAGTCTTACCTGCAACAGACCTCCCCTGGATCCACCCACAATGTGAGTTCAAGAGGCAACCCCAGGTCACTGTGGTGAATCCCACTTTCCTGACAGGCCCGAAGGAGCACTGGATCCTGACAGTCGAAGCAGTTCATCCTAATGCACCTGTGGAGCACAGAAACACATGTTATGGTTTAACAGTCCCCAGAGACAGCGAGTCAAGTGCAAGAGAAAAAAAAGGCAATAAACAAAAAGTTCTGAGAGGTTAAAGGCAATGAGTCAAAACATGAAGAGTCAGATCAGCACCTGTACGCCTGTCCTTTGCTTGGGGTTTCAGGGTACCAGTGTCCCTTAAACTTCTCTTGCAGAGCCACAGCCAGCTTCTCGACAAACAGCTCTACCTTCTCCGGTTCCAGCTTCTGGCTTCTTTTCACAAGCCTCTTCAAGAAAAAAACCACTGCTGCTATTTCTCTCTTCATATTCATAGGTGTTTCATTAAGCCTCTGAAAGTAAAAGGACATGGATCAAATCAGCAGTAGTTCAAATAAAGCTGGCACCACACACTTCTGAATTTGGGGCATACAGGGATATTATAAAAAATACATCAATTCCAAATTCTCAAAAATTAGGGTTATAGGAATCAAAGATCATCAATATCTGGAAATGATACAATTTGAATGGCGTGCAACCCTAAATAACATCACTGGCACAAAATAACAGCATTTTAAATTAACACTGAAGTAATTTCCCTTCAAATCTGAGTCAGAGCCACTTTTTTTTCTGGTTTCTCATACTAAAACTGACATTCACTGTGTAATTTCACCTTTTAAAAGACATTTGTCTACTTTACATGACTGACTGCCTTGTCATTGCAAACTATGTATATCTCAGTATCTCTCTGGTGGTCCTTGTATTGGGTCTTATATGAAATACCTTGTGGTTACCTCCACTAATATTGATCAGGGCCAGTATTACTTTGATGTGATATGATCTTCATTGGTCTCAAACACATGGAAAAGGTTTGTGACGAGAAGAGAAGCATCAAAATTTACAGAATTGTCTTCTTATACAAATTATACTGTATATCCAATAACCAACAAACAATAAAAGAAACACGTGATGCATTCAAGAAGGTAGTCTTGCCCCTCCCTTAAAATATCAGCTCGGATTAATATATTTTTTATTGTTTACACTCACCTGAGTTGTAAAAACAAAAAATATCCCATTACTCAAGCATGAAAACTACATGGATTTATGACTGCATGCTTTCCTTTATAATTTTCCAGCTCTTCTTAGTTCTTATTAGTAATCGTTTGCATTTGCTTTAGAGTTATTAATGGCATTAATTTTTTTTTTCTTCTTCTTTTCAATCAATACATCGAGGAGATGCTATGGAAGAGGATTAGGGCCAATGAAAAAAGGGGTCTGATAATTTTTTTTAAATTATTATTGAGGAAAAAGGTCAGAATTCTGAGTTTAAACTCAGAAAAATAATTTTAAAAAATTATATTGGACATTTTTCTGTTTGTTTACCGGTGGCCCTTATCCTCTTCCATATGACTCCAAAAACTGAAATGCGCATGTTTTCCAGGTCAACTGCACAGTCTGTTATTTCAAGTGAATTTTCCCACTCAAATCACAGCCCTCCTCCTTACTGGAAAACTTCTTTGAATGCCGACAGCCGAGAAATTCAGAAGTTCTGAATGTAAGTTTATGTAAGTTTCAATATCACCTTACAATATCTTACAATTTAAAAAAAAATGGTATTCTCTTGAAATCCAACATGACTGGTCTTGCCCTTTTTGCAGCTTGTTTATCTTTGTAGATTGATTTGCTGAATGTTTCCTCCAACTGAACAGTAAAAGATGGATATTGCCAAAATTGAGCGTAATGTCAATACGTAAACATGTTGTTTAATGCTGATTTACGCCAAAATAGTGTGTTGTTAACGCACAAACATGGTCATGAATAATGCCTCTTGATGTACAGTCTGTTAAGTTCAGTTAACGGTCTGTCTTAGAAAGGCGGGCTGTGACGCACAAGCTCGGCTACAGCAGCAGAGCCTCACACACTCGCACAACACGGGCTACATGCTAGTTAGCTGATCATGCTAACGCTGATAAACATACTATTGGTACATAAGTGTCAAAACAGCGTCCACGGCTGTAACTTCGTTCACCATTAAATCTGGGCACTCTAGTGTACACCCTGAGTTTCATTGACGCATATTTGAATGACAGCTCATGAACCAAGTCAAGTCCGATAGCCACATGGGGCTAACAAACAGAGCAAGGATCCCATAAATCAAGCGCCAAAATGTAACGATGTATTTTAAACTGATTCACTAAAAGTCAAATATGAGATGCCCGTCTTTTGAAAGAAAAAAAAGCAAGTTTACCCACTCACCCTTCCTTACTTTGGTCCCTTTCAGCATGTGGGTGAAATGGATGGTCTGGGGAAGTTAGCCAACTTAAGAAGTCTCCAGATACGGTTATTAGCCCCGCCTGTTACGGGCAAACCCCGCCCATGTGTATTTTTTCATTGGTTGTGGATAAATCAAGAAAGCACATTTATTGGTCGAGCTCATGCTCGTCAGTAGGTGAGTCATACGCTTTACTATTATGACTCACCGTGTCAGGCATGTGTTTGTTTGCTTGAATGGTTGCAACCTGTAATGTAATTCCTGGTGTAGTGTAAACCGGGCAAACATCTCATAATACTGGAGGAAATTCAGGGAAAAACCTCCACTGAAAAACAACAGAAAATTAAAAGGAAAAGAGACATAGTTAAGTTCATGAATTTTGTTTCCCTAACTATCATAAAAGTCAATTCACTGTCAAGTTTATTGAGTGAATTCTAATATCTTACGGTGTAGTACTGGATATCGGTTGCAGATAACTCTTGATATTGACGTTATTAATCCACTATTTTAGTTAAAACAATGTTAAACAGCTCATAACATTACTTTGCATGTTTCCCATGTAACTTTGCCTTTAATTTATTCAAGCTCTCAAAGGTTAGATTGAAGTAAATTTGTAATCTGTCTCCAACCAACATTATTCATTTATGTATCCATCTTTTTAGTACCTTTTTAAACTTTATACCTATACTTTGCTATCATGAGCTTAAACACAATAATCATACCATGTTTCCTTCTTATGGAATTAATTTGCCATAGATTTAAATAGTATTTGGCTTATATTTATCGTAACTACTAGTAATTAATTGGCATTAGTTTCAGGGCCAATACCACTTCTGATTATGATTAACCAATCAGACTGATTACTGATATTTGAAACAGTGGTGTATTGACAGCAAAATGAAAAACTTTCTCACAAAATTTTAACTTTTTCTCACTTCTTTTAGCTAATAATTAAAATTGAACTTTAAACAGAAGGCGATAGTTATCCAGTTAAACTAGCTGTAAGTTGTGTTGCACAGTCATGTGATGTTTAGCCAGTCAGACAGTCTTGCTGGACCTGAGGTGAGATAATATGGTGTAAGAAAACAGACTCAGACAGAAAAAGACACTCACAGCAGAGCACAGAAATACAAGACTGACACAGATAATCAGCCTAACGATAACACGATAACACGATAACACTGCGATCTGAAAATGCTTTTGTAAGTCTTTTTTTTTTTTTATTGGTTTAATTTACATTCAATTGATCAAAATATGACCCAGGTCTACAGAGTAAAATGAAACATTGACTTGTAAGAGGTTATGTGAAGGTGAAAAAATTTAATCAACCATCTGAGAGACACTGACATGGATGTAAACCGTTACAGTTTTGAGACTGAAAGAGTGTCATAGCTACACAATCTGAGCAAATATCTTATTTCTCAAAATCATGTTGGCTTTGTTGATAAAGTTCATGAATTATTGTTTTGTAAGATACTGCATGTCTTGCAAAGCTAAGAACATACATTTCATGTAAACATCCCACTTTACAAACTCTTGGTGCAGTTATCAAAAGAAAAGTCACTGTTGTCCACTAGGGGGAAGCCAACCTCCATTAATTGCTCAATGCAGCAGGCTCACTCTTGCAGGTTTTGTGTAAAACCTGAAATAAAGGTAGTAACAGTCAACAATGTTCAACATTGGGTCATAAACAGGTGGTTTTGTATCCATTGTGGCTATTGTATCGTTGCTTCAATGAATCAATGATTTTAATCATATATTCCTCCAAATTATCCGCATATTTATTTACATTTTAAAACCCTAACTCAAAAACCCCAGGGTGCTGTAAAGAAACAGAATTCAATGGTTTGCAAGTTACCTAAATTTATATTAGAAAGTGCAAAGACATCATTTCATTAACCTGTAAAATCTAATTGTTTCCTGACTAACACATTGTAAAAGAAAGTTATGCTAGGGGGTATGTTAACCAGTGTACTGTACCACCTCTTCCGTTTATAACACTGTAAGCCTTCATGGATCCAGGAGACCAGTTTCTATAAGCAGGACTCTTCTACTACAGAGCCATGCTGTTGTAGTCCCTGGAGAATGTGGTTTCTCATTGTATTGCTGAAATATGAAGGCCTGAAAAAGTCTTCGTCTGGATGGCAGCAAATGTTGCTCCTAAACCTGCAGATATTATTCAGCATCAATGGAACCTTCACAGATTTGGAAGCCTTGACACCATCGGGGATGCTGGATTTTGAACTGTGTGCTGATATCAAGCTACGTGGTCACTCTCTTCTTCAGAGCAGAGGATGCAGTGTCCTTCAAATGTCAAATGTCAAATGATCAAATCACAGGACAGTTTTCCATTTCACCTCAGCTTGTCTTAAACAGGCTCAGTTCCAGAGAAGTCTCTGGTCTTTCTGGATCTTGGTTTTCTCTTTGCATGGTGAAGTTTCTAAGAATTATAAAAAAACTTCATACCTGCAATAACTTTTCTACCTGCAGATTTTAGATTCAGGGACAATCCATTTCACATACAATAGTTTTTGAGGTGAAACTGAAATTATGCAGTGATTTCCACTACAGAGTCATTTGTGTCATTATGCAGTGCTTTTTTTGTGCTAGTGCCAGTTATTGGCCTTGTTCTTTCTGTTCAGAGTTTTCTCCAGATTTTCTGAATCTTTAAATGCTATGATGATCTGTAGATGATGAAATCCTCAAAATCTCGAAATATTATATTGAGGAGCTATTTCCTCATGCAGTCTGTCACAGAGCGATGAACATTTTGCCGTCTTTACTTGTAAGAAACTCGTCTTCTCCGGGTAACTTTTTTTTTTTAACCATTACCTTGTCGTGATACTACTCTAATTAGTTTTAAGATGTTCCTGCTGCAGTTTTTTTAAGCATTACACAACTTTTCAAAAGTTTTGTTGTTCCAACTGTTTTGAAATGAGCATAATTTGTCTGTATTTCTTAAAAAAGAATAACAATTTCTAACCTCAACATTTGATTTGTCTTCTCTCTCTCTTTTTTTTAAATTAGCTATAGGCTTTCAAAGATTTTGACACAATTCCTTTTGCTTTTTATCCACAATTTACTCTGTAATACACCTATTATGGAATTGGGGTTGTATTGTTAATCCTTTTGTTAAATTTGCTTACATTACATATCTTAACTTTTTATTGTCAAGTGTATTAGGTTTGGGTTGAATGGGGATTTTGATAGTAAACTATTATTGATAAGTTGATCATCTATAGTGTCAAAACCAATGCTGTAAGCAACTTCTTTAAAGACACATTTTAGAGAAGGTTTGCAAACTGTGGACACATTTTTTCATAAAGTTGTACAGTGTGACACCAGGCCACTCTCATTACTGATCTCACAGTATTTCAACTCCTCTATTCCTGTAGCAGCAGCCAAAATCAAGAAAAATACAACAAGCTGTACTAAAAATATTTCCATTTTATTGAAATATTTTACAAAAAGCGATACAAACCATCACTTGAGCACAAATCACACAGCCTGTTTAAAGGTCCATGAACACACAGAATAAATAGAAATGTATCACACAACACAACTGCAGCCATAAAAACAAATGAACACAGAGTCAAGTCTCAAAGGAAGGAGGTGGAGAGTAACAGGTATGCTTACATCTCTGGTAAATGATAATGAAACCAACAAGAACCAAAGTCAGGCAGCCTGGAGCTCAAGTCCAGGCATGTTTCCACAGTCTACACACACACAAAAACCACAGCATTCATTTTAAAAACAGAGACCAAAAAAGCACACAACTGAAATGAGTGAAGAGTTGCTCTAAGGACCAGTAATCGGAATACTCTCAAACATTCAAGCACACTGAAGACGGATAAAAACAAGATAGAAGTTTAAAATGAAGCTAAAACCTTTAAACCCTCAAAAGGGTCAAATACATTAAATCTCTTACAAAGAGAGCGCAATAAAGATACACTGACAAAGCTGAGTTTCTTAACATCTTTCTGATATAACCTTGTCCTCTGCAAGCATTTAATACTCTCCTCTGAGGATAACTCAGATGAACCAATACTCTGAAATACTTTCTGCTCAGTAAGGCTTCTAATTTATTTCTCTCTCTCTCTCTCTCTTGCATAGGTTTCCTGAATAATAAAACTGCAAGACTCTGCAACACTGACTCTTTATGCTTTCCCCCACGTCCTTCTTTGTCTCCTTTTGGTAAGAAATAAGGGACCTCTGAGGCACAGAAGACTGTAAATGTTCCTTTTTTGTATTGCTGCAACATCAACTTTGCTCCCACACATGAATAAAGGAGAGATGGTACAGCATAAACAAAGGAAAGATAAATAAAACAAATCATTGTCAATTAAAACACTCTGAGGACAAAAAACACACTCAAGTCACAAAGCCACAGTTGTTTCAAATCTGTTTGGTATTGCTAATTTTTCTTTTGAGTCCAAACACCGTGGAAGACATGACAAGCCTAAATATTCAGAGCTCCCCCTGCTGGCTAACTGTAGTACAGGACATAAAGTCTAACTCCTCCATTTTCAGGTATGGAAAATGTATTCAAATTTAAAGCTCCAGGTTTTTTGTCATTTAGTAAAAACACTGGAATTGATTTTGATGCCTTTTTTAAGTTACCTAAAGCAATCAAGAGCACCGATGACAAGACACATGATTTTTCTATCATAATTTTTGACACCTTTTAACACTGGGGTAGGTGTTAGCTGAGCAGCTGAAGAAACAATCCTGTCTTTCCAACTGAATTCCATATAAAAAGTTATAATAAATTATCAGTTTAATTATCAGCAGGATGAGAGATTTTTTTTGGACAAAGCAATTTTCACTAATCTTAACAGCCACACATTTACCAGAAATCTTATCCTGCTGACCTTTCACTGTCAAATGTAGCAGTTATTGTGAATATTTTACAATGTACAATATAAACAGGGCTTCTCGGCTGTCACCTACTCCCTTTACTTAGTTTTTAAGTAATAAAAATTACAAAATAAAAATTGACAGTCTTGTTGCAGATGGTCTGTAAAAAAAAACAAACAAAAAAAAACCCTCAGAGGAGCTTTAGGAGGCAGCTGTGGCTCATTGGTAGAGTAGGCCATATCTGAATTCAGAGGTTCGGGGCTCAATATCCATTTCTGCTGTTGACATGTCAAAGCCCTTCAGCTTCACTTTTGTACAACAGGAAGTGGAGACACATCATCCATCTTTATATGCAGTTCTTAATAAAACCTAAGTCAAGTGATGACTGTCTTTCTATTAAAACAGACCAATTCAAGACTTTTGTTTTTCAGCTGGGTTTCTCTTTCAGTCAATTCACCTTTCTTCCTCTTATTCATTTAGGTTATAGCCATGCAAACAACTTGTGCTGGAAAGCTACTTCACAACAAAAAACAAACAGTTCACACTTAATATCAAGGAAATGTCACTGAAACGAAAGCTACTATAAAACCAAAGCTGGATCACAAACAAAACAAATCAGTTTAGCAGGTATGTTCTTTTGAGGAGGCCATGTCAGCTGGTATTGCTACTTAATAAACAGGCGTTTATTTCTGACTTTATGAACACTGTAAAATAGTCATTGCCCCTACAAAGAAAGCCTGTGCAGCTAATAAACCCTTGTTAAATACCACACTATGATTTGTTCCTGTTGCAATGATGCTTAACATTTTGTGGGGGCTTTTTTTAGCCTACCCCTACAGCTATTAGAAACTGCACTGAATCTTTTTAAAGCTATGATCGGCAACTTTTTCTTTTAAGCTTTTGTGTCATCTCTGTTTAACACCTGGTTGTGTTGAATACATGATTCTGATTGATCAAAACACTTGAACAACAGTTATAAATGCTGAATAACAACAGCAACACCACAGACAACCAGCTCTCCATCATCATAGATCATCAACTACAGATTGATGGAGAAAGTTTATGATTTCATATCTTCCTGTTAACTATGTGGCAAAGTGTCCCTCAGGGTGGGGTCTTGTCTGACCCTGTTGAGGTACCTCTGTATTTTGTTAAGCTCACTATACATGTTCCCTTACTAAAAACCTTCCTTTATAATCAGGTGGAGATCAAAAATCAGTCCTGGAAAATTTTGGTCTAAACTTATTTGCATTGAATTAATGTGGATTGGCCAACCTGCCTGCACAGTGCCTGTGCATCATTTTGCAAAAGTTAAGTTCCTCAAACGAAACCCTGGCAAATGAGCAGGAAAAGGAGTCATTTTGCATCACATGTCACAGAGGACGTCTTTCTGGGGGACTTGGGTACAATTGAAATCTAAAATGCTTTTGAAAGTTTGGGTCTCAAGTGTTGAGTCCCCCAGCCCTAAATAATTTTATGTGTGCCACGATTCTGTAACACTACATCATTTCAGTTCTTTAAAGGAAACTTAGCCTTAATAAAACCACGCTGCAATTTTCCCTGCAGATCTAGATCCAGATCCAGTCCACATCAACATGTAAGACTCCAAAATGGAGGAAAGTTTTTACACTGTCAGGTCTAATTAAGGCAAGAATAAAAGTTCAATTTCAGCTAATTTAAACCGTGTTAATGCTCTGACATGCGGCAGTGCCTTACAGTGGGAGCATGATTAACAGCTTACGCATAGATTTACGCCACCAGTCTTTCCAAACAAGGATCATGTGAGCATCTTTATACTTGTTATAGTCCATGCACACCTATTTTTTAGTAGCAGATGCACATGAAATCCTCATACTACCACTGCTCCTGCTATCTGCATCAAGTACTAATCCAAGTCATGTTTTAAATACTGTTACTCATTCTCGGATAAATGTGGAGTATTAAGCACAGCTAAAATGCATTTTAAATACCTCTGTTTGACATGATGACACACTTAAAAATCAAAATTAAAAATATAAAAGCTGAAATGTGAGTGTTTAAAGACCAAACAGAAATCATGGATGAAATCTTGCAGGCAAATCTTCAGGAACATTTTCAGAGGGTCATGTCTGAGGGCAAGAACTTTTCCTCCTCATGTCTCCGGACCACTTTCTACCAGGTATTAGCATGAATTCTGGGTGCAGGTGTTGGTAGAATTCAGCAATTTGTCAAAACTGCAAACCACAGCCAATCCTTGGGTCATCACAGTATCCAGGAGAGCAGAGGCTGTGCACACACAGTCTTTCATGCTGTTCCAAGCGTGTTTGAAAAGTCGCTCAGGATACATAAAAGCTCTTTCAGACAGTTTGTGAAAGTGTTAACCAGTTTTCTTCTTCAGCACCTCGCTCATCACTCCACAGGGGCGCCATTACCATTGCTGCTGGCCTTGACCCCGGCTCGGCTGATCTGCAGCCACGGCAGCTTGGCACAGTTCTTGAAGAGCTGCTCGATGGCGATGTGACGCACATGCAGCTCTGAGGCCAAAGAGTCTTTCTCCTGCACGGCCAACGTTAGCTCTTCAAAGACCTCTGTGCAGGCAAAGAGAGGAAGAAGACACGAGAGAGGTGTTTTTAAATCAGACACAAGGTCAACTTTTACTCAGGCAAACAAACAGAGGAGACAAGATCAAGAAAATCAATAATCTGGATAAACAAAGGAGCAAAGAGCAAAGACAACATGGCAGAGCGTGCATCCGTGAAAGATTACAAATCTAATTTCAGTCAGGGATCTCTTTTTTTGCAGCTGAGGAGCATTCTTGTCTAATATGATATACCACAGTAGACCCAAAACTTTCAAAAGCCACTTTGAAGTGCAGACACCAACACGAAGACTGAGAAAGAACAACCCGCCTGAAACAAAGAGAGATGATTGGACCACTTTGATGAGGGGAATAGGCCTGTTTTTGCCCGACTCTTTGAATGACAGGCATGAGTCAAGTTAACATAAGCTGCACTACCAGGACCAGAGGTGGGATAGCAGCACTTAAACTAAGTGTATCTGTTGAAACGTTCAGCTCTGGTTCAAATCTTTTTGTGATATGGGAAAAAGTTCATCACAATATATTTTTTCAAACCAGTTGATATCGATAAATATCACAATATAAAAAAAAAAAGAAATATAACAGTTCTTAAAGGTAGCATGTCTTTTGCAATACAATAAGCTACTGCATCTGTAAGGTCTTTGTTCGACGTTTTGTCGTACGGCATTGTGCTAGAGAAATCCGGCTGAATGGTCGGCTGTTTCGGCTGCTGCACAGGCACCATGGTCTCCTTACCCCGCTCGGGGTTTGTAACATTTTGTATTGTGCATGCTCTGCCGTGTGGCACTGCTTCAGGTGGTGAAAAAGATTTGAGGTATTCCCTGACTTGGGGAGAAAATGTACTTGACATAATTTGCAGTGCACATTATCCGCTTCATGCCTGACCTCAACAAAACCAAAATACCTCCACACCACCGACGTTTTCATGCCATTTTGTCGACGATGTCATCATCTTTTAAGTCTTCATCTGCATTTCTGCCACAGGTGGGAAGATGCACTTGTAAATATGTTGACTGAGACAAATATGTCTACAAGACTGTGTGAGTTGATTGCCTTTGAAAAGTTTAGCTTTCCACTCAACCAAAATTCAAATCACCTGGTGGTGCATGAGTAAAAAACCTTATTGCCAAGTATGAAAAACTAAAACTAATAAAAACTAAGCTAAAACTAATCATTGAGAAAAAAAATAAAAACTAATACAAACAAACAAACAAACCCATTCTAAAAACTAATCTAAACTAACTGAATAAGAGAAAAAAAAGTCCAAACTAAATAAAACTAAACTATAACAAAAAATCCAAAACTATTATGACCTTGGTTCAAAAAGCCTTTTAGAAATTAACTTCTAAGAAAAAATGAACAATCTGATTGTCCATCCCTGATCCATGTGGACCCCAACAGGACTTTTTGACTGCTAACTCTGTCTGAAGGTAACAGCATAGCATGAAGGAACATAGTTTACTTTATTACATACGAGTGAACCTGCAAAAAACGAAACTGCAAAATCACGTTGCTGTTTCACATACAGTAGTTGCAGAATAGAATCCAAATAAATCGACAGCAGAAAGGCATAACAACCTGTTGTATAACCTGTTCTATACTGAGCTCAGCTGACCAGGGCTGCACCATGCTGCTGCAAACACGCCTCCAGCAGGCGATGATGCGCTTCCTGACAAAGCTGGAACGCAAAAGTGTTTAAACGCACTTAACACTGATCCTGAGGGTTCTCGGCTAAGCTACAAGACTTCATTTAAAAAGAACGTCTTCAGTCCGACACATGAGCTGAGGTGACAGTTTGATCATTTGAATCTCTCACTACAATAGAAAACTATGGGGGCCGTTAAATGATGTTAGGGAGCCACCGCCTGATGGTCTTCTGGGTATTTGACTTGTCTGAAATATCAAACTTGCCTGAGACTAGCTGCATGTTGCTGAGCTGTCAGTGTGTGCAGTAAACAATGAGTGTAAGTGTGGAAGAATTAGGTGAACAGACAGGCAGGGTATGCCTCAGTGAACACTACACTGTGCCTGATTCATCTCAGCTCGTCGTCACATGAGGGGAACGATGTGTAGACTGGAGAGACCTTGAGCGTTTATCAGCCTTGCTTTACTGAGTCTCCTGTCCTGATTTTGTCATCTGCACTCTGAACACTGTGATAGCTCTGTGAATTTTTAACAGAAATCTATGAGCATTACAGATTGATGAAGACAAACACATTCTCGTTGGACTCCTTACATGCTAACTTCAAATAAAAGGGTGTAGCCTGTGTTTGCAGTGAGATCCAGGAGAAGTAAAGAGGACTTACTTTGTATCTGCATGAGGAGCTGTGTGTTCAGCTGATGGAGTTCATCCACGCTCATCTTTGTCACTAAAAGAAAAAAAACAGCTCTGATAAGTCTTTTACACAACATCTGTCTCTGTCTCTCCATCTCTGTCTCCACCTCCACTGGAAACACTCCACAAACATCTGTTCTTTAGCAGACACACTTTTACAACAGCACACAGGTTTGGTTGATGTTTTTTTTTTTAAGCATTAATATAACAGATCGATTTAATGAAGCGTCAGCTACTCGAGCTTTGCATGACACACACACACAAAGGTAAACTTCTCTTTGAATACAGTAAGATTTCTGCTTTTAGAAAGATTCAGACAAACATTGAAAACTTGAAAGGACACAGATCTGGACTCAAAGTGTCACTATTTGGTAGCAGTTACATTAAAGCTGCAACAGAAACAAAGTGAACCATTTAAAACTGTGATTTCTTTCCTCTTTAATACTTTCATTTTAAAGCAGGCCTGAGTTCTTTCAATGTTGCTTCATGAATTTCTAATATATTACATTTTTCTAATCTATTCTTTACATTAAAAAATAAACAAGGATGAAATTAACTAGTGTCTTGAATGAATTAATGTCTTGAGTGAATTACGTCTCTTTTTAGTGAGCTAGATCATTCAGCTCCCAAACGGCTCTTCATTTCACCACTTTGCTAATTAAGCCAAATTTAGCATTGTTGGGCTTATGATATGAACATATGTGTACACATATCTCTTACATAATTCAATACATCCTTTGTACAAAAGTACTCACAAATAAAAATTACATTTCCTAATATCAGTAAATTGCTCTAGCCATCCTGAGTGCATCTGTCTACTGAGCATTAAAGCACATGGCACCCCCCGACCCCCTCTGCTTGGTGTGTCCTCATGTGACTGGTTGCACACAGCATGCATGTGACAGTCATGCACTGCATGCATTGAGGACCCGTTATGCTGTCATGTAGTTTTTTTCTACGGTCTGTTTGGGGGGGGGGGGGGCTCTTTGAACCGATTCTTTGAACTTCATGATCTTCCGGCCAAGGTGGCAAGCAGATGAACAAATCCACCAGCCAATCATAATGATCATAATGACTCTTTTATGTCACATACGCTTTCATTTAAAGGAGGTGAGAATCTGAGGTTACACTTCTTTGGCTGATTAACTGTAAAAATCTGGATATAAATCTTGAATCAAGAACAAAGGAGGCTACAAAGGAAAATCACTGATGTTCCTGAGCTACAGAAATGTTCTGTTCACGAATGGCTAAATTGACAGTAGGTTGTTTTGCATGATATATTGATATATTCGCATTACACTAACCGTCTGCTGACAAACTCAAAATATTTCCACTACGTGCTTCTGAGATGTTTTGTTGCGGACTGTCCTCCATTTATGTAGAAAATGATCATTGTATTGAATTATATGTAAGTATGCAGGCTCTGAGTAATCAGAACACTGAATGTCAGTGGTTGTTGACAAGCCTCAGTAAATCTATGCAGGAATAGATGCAGGACATGTACGTGTGAACTGACTGTCATTTTTCCTTCAGTAGCACAGAATTTGGAGCAGGTGCCTTTAAAAATGTCTGTGCTCCTAATCGGCTTTAGGAATGAGAAAAACACGAGGAAGCCAAACACATTCTGTATCCCAGTCATTTTAAAAAACGAGAGAAGAGAGATCAACAGAGAGAAGGATGAAGGACAGACTGGGTGAAAATGTGTTTTTGAGTTGCTGTTTAGTCTGCTGCCTTCTAACAGAGAAATGCTCGGAGGTTTTTGAATTCTCAGAGAGAGCTCAGAGATCACAAACAAGTTTAGACAGAGGAGAGAAGGGAGAGTTGTTATCATGCTGTCTGGATGGGGCTTCTTGCACAGAGAACAGATTATAAAACTTGAACTGCTGCCTTGATGAATCGCAGATCAAACTTGGGTTGTGCTGTAAAAAAACAAAGATTAAAATGTCATCATGCTCACATTCGTCTCTGCTGTGTCCCTGGTGTCTGTGCTGTGTCTGTCCTCCTCCTGATGAAGGTTTCCGGCTGTGCAGACCTTTCCTGCCGCCACTCGACCAAATGTCAGACTGTGACTCCTGCAGCAGCCCTAGCTCCTCCGCTGTGTGGCACTCTAACATCCCCATGGTGTAATCTGGCAGTCCCGTCGCTTTGCACGTGTCCCACCGAGGTGCATACCTAGGCACCTGGGCATCTGACTGCGGCAACAGCTTGCAGTCACTCTGCTGGCTGAGACAAAGTAGCTTGGCCCCCCGTCTGCCGGGGCCATTAGAGGAGACAGAGTCTTTGTTCTGGGCGTACTGAATGATGCGGTTCAGTTTCTGGCTGAGGGCCAGCTTCATGCCCTCATAGGCACTTCTGGAGACCTTGGAACGAGACAGCTTCTGGTTGGCGATGAGGTGGCATTTCTCAAAGCAGTCTCTGTGGCCCCGCAGGGATTTTGAATGCAACAAGGTGGCAGAGGAGACGCCTGTATCAACAAAAACATGAAGCAGTAAATCAAGAGGAATGCAGCCGAACTGTCACAGATATCAGCATCATTAACCAAACCCTTTCTTTAATGGAGCAACTTCAGATTATGTTCATTTTAAACCTGATTTTTTTTCATGTTTTTATACACACGATCATTTTGAATGAGTCCCAGTTTCTGCTCATTTCCATCACTTTGTGCTCCTTTTTCCAGAAAACCTTGTTTTGACCCTGTATAGTTAATTTATTTGAAATTAAAGAAACAGCTCTCATTGTCTCAGAGGAACATGATTTTGTAGATGTAAATTATTTTTTACTTAAAATGAGACCACTTTTATGTTTCTCGATACCTACATAGAAGGGGGTTCCCTTCGACTAAGGCCCCCATCTTGCAACACCATGTTTCTACAGGAGCACAGAATGGACAAACTAGTAACATATGCATTTTTGTGTTTGGAAACAAAGGAACTGGTTGATGTTGAGTGTAAAAAAAAAATAAAAATAAAAAAAAAATTTTGCAACAAAATTGTGACCAGTTATAATGCATCACAGGAGCGTCTTGTCCTTCAAGTCCACTTTAACATCACATGCAGGAGGGGTGAGCAGCATCGGTGCATTTCCGTCTCGACCCAAACTGCCAGATATCATTTTCTAAATTCCAGTTTCTGTAGACTGTACCTTTAAAATGAGCCTGATATAAGCAGTCTTGCTGACTGTGTTTGCCCATTATCACCTTCCAAAGCCAACAATAGCTGCTGCTTGGATGAATTAGGGGAGGGCGATACAGAGAAAATTTCAGATCACATTTTTTTTTTTTTTTTGGCAAAATCACTATCAGGATTATACTATCAGTCTATTACAAATTTTCTCATAAGTCAGTAAGACATATTTAGCAAAACTCTGCTGCTTCTTTTTGATCCTACCGCTCCATGCTGAAACCATATTCTGGCTACTTCCTGGCTCATTTGCATACTAAACAGTGACTGGATGTTTACTGAGGGCCGAGGGGGAGGGGCATGTATGTGAGTCAGCCTGAGAAAATCCACATGGAGCAGAGCAGAGGGAAGGAGGAAGCAAATTCTGTATCTTGTCCTTTTTTTCGGCAGATTTTTCCACTGCTACAGTTACTTTTATCGATGCGTAACAATTCATTCTGTGGTTAAACTAACATCTGCTCTCCTAACTTCTAAAATTGTGATTTGAGAAGGCGAGAAATTTATTTGGACACATATTAGGGATACAGTGTGCACTAGAAATAGTTCTACGATCTCTGTGCTTTGTGAGATCGTCGTCACTTTATAATCCTTCATGATCTAAGATCATCAGATTGCACGCCCCTAGCATGAATTATTCTTGATTTTCCTTGAGACTGTTTTCTAAGATGTCAACTGACAAACGGCAGACTCATACAGACTGTAGGATACTATAAAATTCACTTATCAGTGGAACAAGATAAAAATGCTCTTTGGGAACTCTTGTTGCTGGTGAAGTTAAATGGGTCCAGTTCCTTGTCCCATATTTGCGTTGTTCACTGTATCGGCTTTCCATTCTTAGTTATAGCCCGATCACTTTATAACTTCAGTGATTTACGCTTTGTGATTGTGGCTCACAAACAAGCTCTGTTTATTACATCATGTTTTCTCAAACCTCATTCCTCAAAAGCAGGAGTCCAAACCATCCTCATAAAGAGAGTCAACAAAATAGTTGACATGAAAGAAAGCAGTGACTTTATCAGGTGATATGAAACACAGCACTGACCCATTGAACTTACCGCAGCAGCTAAAAGTAAATGAGTATGAAAGCACGCTTAAACGGGCAGATTGACCTGCTGCGATCTCTCTCTGAAAGCTGCTTAGTGAGCGCTGGATTAGCCGGCGGAGTGCTGAGATAGCAGGGAAAATAGATTAACCTTGTCTCCATGTACATACTAAAGCATATTTTGGAAATTTTAGAGGGCACACAGCGATGAGGCAGAACTTCAGCTCTGATTCTGTTTTTTTAAGTAAACTTGCTCCTGCCAGAGGTAAAAACAAGCTCCACTTTGTCTAATAATTTATATTGAGTGAAAAACACACCCAAGATCTCTGAATCCATATTTCAGCCAGATAACAGAGTCTGGACTTTGATCCTAAAAGTGAAACAACTTCATCTTCTTTATCAAAGAAAGCAGAAGTAAGTTGAGCAATAAAACCATCTCTGTGGTTTGTTTTGATCCCAGTGATTACCTTTGGATTTTCACTGTACGAAACAAACATCACATCATCACACAGAAGAAAAAGCCCCCATACTAGATAGGCAACAGTGAGTGTTGGAGAAGCTCTTGAACATAATTCAAATTCCTCTGGACACACTTAGAGTAACAAAACAAAAAAACATCAATCAAAACAAAACAAAAACAGCACAAAAGCTAATTTTCCCCTCTCCTTCCTCAAAATACAAACGAAACTAGATGGGCATTCAAATTACAGTTACTAAGCAACCAAGATGACAGTAACACAAAGAGGAGAGACGAAGCAAACTGAGTTTATTTGATAACACTCCCAGTGTCAAAAACCACACTACCTGGAGGTTGATTCATTTAGTCTCAGAATCTTTTAAACTCTACAACTTCATTTGATTAAAGACCAAACTTTCACTTGGAGCAGAAGGTTTTTACACGGTTATTAAAAACTAAAGGACGTGAGTTCTTCCTTTACTTCCATTTGATCACAGGCTGCAAATCAGACATTCAGCCTTTTCAAGCCGTCACCTCCATTATGCCAAAACTGAGGCTTATGTTTGACTAGGATACAGACTGACCTCACTCTTTATTGAGCCTGGAAGCTGTTAGCTTCTTTATAGTCAGTTACACTCCTGATCACACAAGCCTCTTTCGCCGTGCTGACCCCGTCCCTGAGCTTCTCTGACACACACGCATGCACGCACTCACACACGCACACCTCTCTCCTTCAACTCCTGCTTCTCTCTCTGCTCTCCTCCTGCTCCTCTCCCTGCTCTGCTCTCCTCCTGCTCCTCTCCCTGCTCTCCTTTCTCATCCTGCTTCTCTCCCCACTCTTCTCTCCCCGCTCTTTTTTTTCCTCTCCTTCTGCTCCTCTCCCTGCTCTTCTCTCTCTTCCTCCTGCTCCTCTCCCTGCTCTCCTCTCTCTTCCTCCTGCTCCTCTCCCTGCTCCTATCTCTGCTTTCCTCTCTCTTCCTCCTGCTCTCCTCCTGCTCCTCTCCCAGCTCTCCTCTCTTCTTCCTCCTGCTCTCCTCTCTCTTCCTCCTGCTCCTCTCTCCTTGTCCTGCTCCTCTCCGTGCTCTCCTCTCTCTTTTTCCTGCTCCTCTCCCCACTCTCCTCCCCCCTCCTGCTCCTCTCCCTGCTCTCCTCTCTCTTCCTCCTGCTCCTCTCCCTGCTCCTATCTCTGCTTTCCTCTCTCTTCCTCCTGCTCTCCTCCTGCTCCTCTCCCAGCTCTCCTCTCTTCTTCCTCCTGCTCTCCTCTCTCTTCCTCCTGCTCCTCTCTCCTTGTCCTGCTCCTCTCCGTGCTCTCCTCTCTCTTTTTCCTGCTCCTCTCCCCACTCTCCTCCCCCCTCCTGCTCCTCTCCCTGCTCTCCTCTCTCTTCCTCCTGCTCCTCTCCCCTCTCCTCTCCCTGCTCTCCTCTCTCTTCCTTCTGCTCCTCTCCCTGCTCTCTTCTCTCCTCCTGCTCCCCTCCCTGCCCTTCTCCCTTCTCCTCCTGCTCCTTTCCCTGCTCTCCTCTCTCTTCCTCCTGCTCCTCTCCTCTCCCCTCTCCTCTCCTCGCCCTGCTCTCCTCTCTCTTCCTCCTGCTCCTCTCCCTGCTCTCCTCTCTTTTTCTGTGGCTGCCTCATAGATTGTATTAATAGTAAGTTATGGCTGTCTATTGTCAACTTCTGCATCATCGACTACTTTCCTGTACTGCCAAACATTATAGTAAAGGTTTGCTCATGGGTCTGAGCTTATAATGATGGATTTAAAGTGAGAGCTGTTTGAGAGGAAGGCAGAGTGCAGGCTTTGCTGTGAAGGCAGAGGAGGGAGGGTGTGCTTCATTCACCTTACAGGGTAATGCGAGCAGAAAGCACAGTAATTGTTTAGTCATGATTGTTGTATTTTTCTGATTGTGGGGAGTGGTAATAGTAATTAAAACTGAAACTTGATCAATCACCCAATGATAAGCTCAGCAAGCAATCTGCTCCTTTTTCCTGCAAAGAATCTAGAAATTGCAACTGATCCCTGACACGGAGTCCAAGTCCTGTAAGACTGCACTATAATTAACACTAAGCTCCTCAGAAGTGCCTCTCTGAAGGTGAGGAGACTGATACTTCCTGAATTAACACAAAAACAGGCCCCACTGTAACAGTTTTAGCATGTAGAGGAAATTAACCAGCAGCAGGCAGACAGACCAGATTTAAAATTACCTCTGATAAATGTGGGCCAGCGCTTGATAAACAACTGAAGGTGAAAGAGGCTGAGATTTGCCAGTGTACGTGCAGGAGATTTCAGACAAGGCTAAAGTAAGAGAAGTGTGCACAGGTGTTTGCTTGTGTGATGGCCTTCCTCTTGTGGCCTACATTTCCTTTCTCAGCAGACAGTAATACATGTCAGAGCCTGAGGTGTGGAGATTAGTCACCATTTACCTTTATAGATTTAAGAGCTCACCAGGGAGCATTCACCTGGCAGGCCTCTCTCAGCGGATAGATGAGCAAAGGATGCAACAGGTCACTACTGAACACACGCAAAACCAGGTCCTGATGTGTGGTGAGACCTGCAGAGCCTCTTTTGAGTCGCACATGTGGTTTGGTTTCCTTTAACTCAACGCTTCTACAGCCTATTCAGACGTCTGAAACTGAAATCCCGAAGGTCAAAAGAAGTTCCTCTTCAACAGTCTCAAAGCCGCATGATGGTTCAGATTAGTGCTGGGCGATAGGACGATAGATATCGTTGGCACGATAGAAAATGTCTATCGTGCCATTTTTATTTTTATCGTTTCGGGCGATAGGCTGTATTTAATCCATAGAGCTTGTGCCATCAGATGAGTCATAGTAATAACAACAATAATTGCACATTCAGTAAGTGTATTTGGTGTCGAACGGGAAAGAAAACAATATTTCCTTACAAAGAAAAGGATGCGTTGACATGTAGGCTTGCATTTCTCTTTCGATTTTGCGACATGACGCCGCTTTACGTGCCCTCTTTATGTCCAGCGTCTCCCGCCGTTGCGGGTTACCTGGGTTACACACGTGAGGGGATCATTGTAAGCAGTGCTTAATTTGTGCCGGAGCAAGTCGGAGCGCGATCCAGGACCTCTTTTGATCGGATCCGGGACCTATTTTAGCCGCTCCGGCACCTGTTTCAACTGCTCCGGGACCTTCCCTGTAGAGGATGACGTTTTTCGGGAATTCCCATGGGTCACGTGATTCCCGCGGGAATCCCACGGGATAGGAGTCATTTTTTTATTAATCCCTTGATCGGGACGGGACGGGGAAAAAAGCAACGGGAGTGGGCAGGAGCGGGAACAACATTAAAAGATGATCATTTTCAGCCGTGTTTAACAACCAGATGAACAGGTGCGTCCATTTTTGTAGTCATCTCTCAGTGAGAGCAAACACTCTTGACAGCGCTAGCAACACAAAAGAACTACAACAGCGGTTTGACTTCCTGTCAGCAGGGAGCGCGGCTGCGCATTTGTACCCTTCGAGCCAGCAGCGAGGAAACGTAATTTTGTGACATTCTGTAGTTTTTCAATCATTTCTGGAGTCGTGGCGAATCAAATCACCTTACCTGTCTGCCCCTGATAGACGAATAAAGCGCTCGGATTCATGCTCGGGTCTTGCTACGTGCTTCAAGAGTAAAGTAAACAATGATGGAGGCAGAGAGCAGCTTTGGAGGTGAAACATCTAGCAGTGTGAACAACCTCTTCAAAAGAGCCCTAAAGACCTACCTTTTTAATAAAGCCTTTGGTTAGTTTTCCTCTATGCTTTATGCTTTTACTACCAGTACCTTGCCTCTTACATTGCAACTCTATATTATTATTATTTTTTTATTATTTTTTATGCTAATCTGTGACTGTCATTCTATTGCTTTTTTATTGTTGCTGCTCAATTTTTACTGTGTACTGTAGCACTTTGAGATTTTTTGTAAATGTAAAGCGCATTACAAATTAAATTTATTATTATTATTATTTTTATTATTATTATTATGGAGTGCTTCGGCTCACACTATCGGCGTTTTCTGTAAGTGTTACATAACTTTGGGTGAGCACAGACATGAACGCACTTCAGCCACATATTTATTTATTCATTTTTCTAGTTTTAAGTGCTGGTCTTGTACTGGTACTGTACTAGTGCAGCTGTATACACTTAAATTTTTCATAGAACTGAAAGCATACCGTAGCTATATCGTGATATATATCGTTATCGTGATATAAAATGATCCATATCGTGATATACATTTTTTTCCATATCGCCCAGCACTAGTTCAGATACTGCCTGCCAACGTTGTTTGTTAAAACCAACAAGGAGGGTACATGTGCCAAATGGATTTCAGGCAGCACGAAGGTTAAAAATAAAGAAGGAAAAGAACAGGGGAGCCACATAAATGTGTTTGCCGACTGAATGATTTTACTCTCCTTTAGGTTTGGGGAAGAAACAACCTTGAAAGGACTGTTCGAGGATTTATGTAACAATGAATAACAATGATAAAGTCAAGCTCTTTTCTGCAGTATGGACTTAAGTGAGAGTAAACACAACAACAGCCAGTCTTTTCCTTTGACCATTAAAGCATCTCCAAAAGACTACTTTCTTGATGTGACAGTTGTCTCACCATCTCTTTTTTAAATGTCAGGAGTTTTAAATGAGTTATCTGGAGTGGAGGGTTCTAGTTGTCTCAGTAATGTGAAGTCGTGAGCGGATCTTCAGAAGTGGCAGCTCAGCTCACAGCCCCTGAGGTCATGACAAAGAGCAACAGGGAAACACTGTTTTTTTACACTGAACTTTTTGATGTCCTTTTTCCAGCTGTGGAAGTTTTCCAGACAATAATTTGGCTTATTGTAAAACTCTGTAAAACATGAACACTGAAGAAATAAAGAACTTTAACTAGAGTTACTTCTATGGTGGCAGCTCAGCTTTCACCTGAGCACAACCAAAGTTCCCCAAATCTTAAACACAAACGGTTTTATTATTGTGTAGCATGGTACTGGATTTCTGCAAACATTGTTAAACTCATTGTGAAGAACATAGATATCATATAAATACCTGTATGTGCACAAAGTTTCTCCTGGAACAGAATTTACCTGTTACTCTGATTATGACAGTCTATTTGTTTTAGAACCAGTCAAACAACACAAACAACATTTGATACTACCACAGATGATAAATGTCCTCCTGTTTAGCTAAACACATTCAGTAGAATGTCTGCTAAATGTTTCCAACACCTTTGAACACTTCCACACTGTCAACATGTTGAAGTTGCACATCATCAATGCAACATTTACTTGGCCAATTGTTATATAGGCAGAAATGTTCATATCTGGAGACAGGATGATTAACTTTTTAAGTCTGTATCTGTCAGTATTAGTATCAAGCTGATTAAAAAGTGCAACTCAGGCCAGCAAATGTGTGACTGACATCTTTTGTTAGTTTTTTTTAAAACCTTTTTCTAAACTTTACATTTTAGACCCTTCCAGAGCTCTGTCATTTTATGGAAACAACTCAAACTGGTAGTATTATTATATAACATATTTCTAGATACATACCAACCATAAACTCGTAAACACCTGTCTGATAAAATTCAATAAAACACAACAGTTCTACCATGAATTCAACTTTTTTGAAGCTTCTAAAATTTTCATTTCTCTTGGTATGGTCAGACTAGAGATACTCACCCTTTAAATGAGTTGATCAAGTTGTCATGGGAGTTGGTGGTGTGCTGGAGTGCAATATATTCAAAGGTTTTTCAAATATTTTCTCCATTATGTTTGTTAATTAAGTGGAATATGAGGAAGCTCTTTTAGTTTTACTCAAATATCATGCTAGATCATTCTCATTAGTTTGCCAAGATGTTCTTAATGTTATTGCTGGTCAGTGTACAGCTATCAACAGATTTAAAAAGTTCTACTTTATACTGATGTCAGAGTCAACATCTAAAAAGGATACTTATGAAGTTACAGGCTGATAACAAAAAGGAAATATTCAACATTCAGCTTAGAAGATCAACAGGAAATGGGCTGGCCAGCAGTACTAACACCACAAGTATCACTTTAGCACACTTGCAAAGGTTGTGTAAGGAGCATCTGCAGCTTTTAATGTCCAAAGTGTCTTTTTTCTAAGTGTTAGGCAGATTGGGTGGACAAAGACAAACTTTTCCCTTGTAACATTTCAATCTTCTGCACTTTCCCAGCAGCTCTATGCCTGCAAGATCTGAGCAAATATTGACTTCACTCGAATGTGTAACAGATAGCATTATCAGATCATATATGCCTTTGTACCATAGACTGTATGGACAGCCTGGTTCCGCCTCCCACAAGTATACAGATTTGAAGCTGAAAAGCTATTGGTAATACCATGTTTTTTCTCCACTTCCTGAAACCAACATTGTGCAATAGCGTTGTACGTATTCCATTTGGCGGGAGAGTCGCTGAGAGTGACTGTGATGACGCTCGGCTCGGCATAGGCTGTATCAAGTGTCAATCATAGAAAACATGAACCCCCTAATAACTTTTAAAATGGAGCTGTACAGAAAAAAGAGGACTTGAGCACAAACCAGTCTTACAGTAACTACATGTCAATATCGCAAACAGAGGGAAGAAAAATGTATATTCTGTGTTAGGACTGGGCGATTATATGATCGTGATCGATGATCGCGATTAATTTCAGTTCGATCACGGTGATCAGCTGAGAGCATATTTACTCGATCAAACATGGCGGAAATGTGCGCCACAACAGCCAATCAGAGTCAAGCTGTTCCTGCTCACTTCTGTAAGTTACCAGAAAAATAAACAGGAGAAATAAACAGAATGACTGAACATGGAGCTAAACGCAAAACTGAGGGCAGCAAAATAGACGACAGCCATGACTTTGAGTCCTCCTCCGAAGATGTTATTGTTGAGAAGTTATTCAATGTCGGTTGTGTGGTAGTGGTTCGGGTATCTCCAAAGTGACGTCGAGTAATTGAGCCAATAAACCGGCAACATAACAAATCTGTTTAATCATTTAAAGAAGTTCTTCCCGAATGATAATGCTGGAAGCATGAAAATGCGAGCGGAGTCTGCACAGCCTGTCACTGCTGACGGTACAAGTAGCATTAGCAGTTTAGCCACAACTAGCGGTGCAGCCACCAGACCAAAGCAGCGATCAATCATATCCATACCTGCCAACACTCCAGTTTTTCCCAGTACTCTCCAGTATTTCTGACCTATCTCCCGCCCACCTCCCGTATTGTCATTTGTCCCGTGAATCTCCCGTAGTTTAATGGTCCACATTCATTCATGAATCGGATCACTATATTTGTCCAAAGTTTCCAGACAACTGGAGATAGTCCTGTGTTTCTGCTGAGCCTCACAGACACTGGATTGATACTTTCACTTTAAAATTTGGGATGATTCAGGTCGGTTTAAACTGTAAACTATATTTAAGCAGTGTTTGTTGGAAAATGAACATTTCGATGAAAAGAAAACAAATGCGAGATATGCGAGAGTGATGCGTTCAGGGCAGCCTCAGATGAAAGAGTGCTGTATTTCATGCATAGATGTTCTAGGGGCCCCGTACAGGAGAGGATGTAAAACATATGAGGACTTTAACACTAATATTAGTAGACTAAATAAGTTCAATGCATATCGTACCTATTTTTTAATCACCTTTTGTTATTGTTAAAACAAAGCAAAAGTGTGCAGCTTCACTTATACTTATTTGGATGAGCAATTTAATTACAAATACTCTCATAATTAGCTCATATCCACCATACAAGGTTACCCCAAAACTGCCCAGCGTGCGCTGCAAAAATCTCCCGGATTTTATAACCCAAATGTTGGCAGGTATGCGTATCATCTACATTTATATCATGGAAGGTTTACATTTTAAAGCATCTTCAGTATCCCTGAGGGGGTGATTTGTTTATTTTGGGTCTTGCATACCTGCAAAAGCACTCAGGACTGTAAACTAATTCTCTGTATTACTTAGTATTTATCTACATTTGTTGTACTGTTGAGTTAAAATGTTTTTCAGATTTTTCAAAGTGTATCTTATTCAGTTTGTTTTGTTATTTAGTTTGGATGTTAATAAAATGTTGAACTAATCTCTAGTTTTTTAGTTTTTAGTACAGATACTTTAAAACTGGCACTTAAAAAAAAAATCATGATAATAATCGAGATCGGACAATATGACAAATTATATCGTGATCATTTTTTTGGCCAAACTGCCCAGGCCTATTCTGTGTAATAAATTTTTAAGTTTGTCCACAGTCCCATAAGGATGGCTGGCAGGGGCAGGATTTATGATCTATACTGCAGCCCGCCACCAGAGTGTGCTGTTATTGGAGTGGCTTCACCCAGCGAGGAGGCAGACGGCGTCCATTCTATATACAGTCTATGCTCTGTACATATTGAAGACCCACTCAGATAAGATGAAAATCACGTTTTTCTTGTTGTCTACATGTTCATAGGACATTTTTCTGATGCTACAGGACATAACATGAGAAAAATTAAGTACAAAATTGCATTTCTGAGTATTTCTGCATTCAAATCACCGTGACTCTCTGGCAAATCCAAACGGTAGACTCAGACACAGTGAGATTTTCTATGTCACAAATTCAAGCTCCACCCCCAGACCCCCACTATGCAGGCCAGACTGCAGTGCTGTCTCCGCCCACGATTTAGAGGTGAATTGCTCATGAACTACTGGAGTTCTGCAGAAGAAAAGCCCTTAAAATTGACACAGGCAACGTGATTTTGGGGAAAAACTTCGTAATCACAACTTAAAGACCACTGAGAACACTTCAAGTTAGGGCTGCAGCTATCGATTATTTTAGTAATCGAGTACTCTATCGATTAATCTGTCGATTAATCGAGTAATCGGATAAGAAATGTTTTGCTCTCACTGTAATACTTTGCATTGAATCACGTTTGCCTCATTAAAAACCATCAGTAACACACAACACTGAAATAGGCCAGGTCTTTCAAATGAATATTTTTACTGCATAAATCAGGAACCAAAAGTTTTACATTTTACCATGTAGTTCACATGAAACTACTGAAGGCAAGGTCTGCAGATGGTCTTTTAATTGCTATGGTAATGATCTTTGCAGTTTTCACTAAACCAGTCACAACTATTTCCAGGCTTTGGATCTAATTTTACTTGTTTAATTAATAGGCTGAAATAATATAATTCTTGGATACTAAAATAATTTGACAAGCAAATGTACATTTATTCAATATATAAAAGTGTTACATTTTTATTTACATGTTGTTGTGTGTTGGTCATTTTGCAGCCCTCTGCTGCTCATCACACGCCTAGCAGGTGGTGTATAGCATTATCACCATGGATACACGGATGTTTGTGTGATTTTTTTCATCCACTGCCGCCCGGTTTGTGTCGTGTAGATGTTGATTATGAAAACACTTCGCAATAATTTGGAAACGTGAAGGGGGAGCTGCTGCTGCCCGGTGTTTACGGTAAATAGACGCAAACACCGACCAAGTGGACGCTTCGGTCTCCGAAAACGCCGAGACAAATTTACAAACAGCCACTATTTCAAACAACTGGGCTCATAATCGTGATGTAAACACTTACTTTCTCGCTAGAAAAAATATTATTATTGAATGAATTTATATAATTTGTCCGGTATGCAGTCGTTCTATGTAGCTTGTGGTAGGACTATTTAAATTTTCCCGGCGCTGCGTCCGGCCGGCACGAAATGCATTCTGGGGTATTTAGTATGTATGTGTGTAAACGCTCGGGCAGCCGCGGCATACTCAAATCATCTTTGAGTAGTCAGTAGGCAGTAGCTACTGCTTGAGTAGGTAAGTAGATAGCAGGCAGTATGCCATTTCGGACACAGCTTCTGTCTGTCCTCGTTTCCCTCCATGATTGAACCAAACGCGCGGCAGCGGAAGGAGCGGAAAGAGCACGCTTCTGCGCAACAGAAATAACCGTCCGTGTCAAACACCGTGCGCTGCACATGGTTCCGGATTTAAACGATTCCTCGAGGCATATAATTTGCCTCGAGGAATTTTATTAATCGAGTTACTCGAGTTACTCGAGTAATCGTTTCAGCCCTACTTCAAGTAGTAAAAAAAACTATCAGAGGGGGACTTCAATGTCATTTTCTAAGTGTTGGACAGATTCTTTAGACAAAGACAAACCTTCCCCTTGTGATTTTTCAATCTCCTGCGCTTTCTCAGCAGCTTTATTTGCCTGCAAGATCTGAGCAAATACTGACTTCACTCTAATGTGTAACAGATAGCATTGTCAGATCATATATGCACATAATAAGGCTTCAGCCCATTACACAACTGTGTTTGCAGAGAGCTATTCTTGGCTCCTTCATATTGATCCAAGTTAACATGAATAAGATTTGTGAAGAACACACAGTGTACATGTAAAGTTAGTAGCTGCTGAAGCTTTCTGACTATCAAACAGCCACATTATAATCCGCTCAGACTCGGTCTTTGGACCACCACAAAAACACATTTACTAGCACTATGTCCAGCAGAAAGATCATTGGACCACAACCAGGCCAGTGCAGCACCAGCCAAAGACCTCACTCCAGCTAAGCAGCTTAGCACTACTGTCTTTTCATGGCTGCCTACATGAGCGCAGACACACACACACACACACACACACACACACACACACACACACACACACACACACACACACACACACACAGCAACTATTCACTGGAGGTGAATTAACATTGTTCAGCTGTAGCAGCAAAGATAGTGAAGACAACAACACTGATGACTGAGAGGCGTGTGTTTTCCTGCTCTTTTGTGAGAAGGGAGTCAAGGTCAGCCTTTCATTCAGCAAGACAAAGACTAAGACACTTAGGTCTGAATGAGGCACTTATGAATAAACAACAGACATTTCTTACACTTTTCAGTGGTTTCTCTATAGATCCCAGACAATCTTAAACCACTACAATGAGCAGAGACAGGCCTTCAATATAAATATCAATCACAGTGGCGATTAAATGTTGTATGTATTCACTAAACAGCCAAAATTGTAGCTTACATAAAACCTCCCTGCTTTAGCTGGCTCTATTGGTACAGTATATTACTTAGGATAAATCAAGAAGGCATTGACTTTATCATAAGTGTGGAGAGGTAATCACGGTGCAATCTCAGCTCAGGTTAGGTCTAAAAGAGTATCATTGATTTCTCTCTCTTTGCAGCGCATGTGATGTTCCTAGACCCTTCACTGATACCAGAAAAAACAAAAGGTCGACACACAGCTTGTCCAGGAATTGATGGCTTATTATGGTGTCATCCTCTTCAACAGTTACACAAATACAAAAATTACTTTGGATTTTTCAAAAGTTTACTTTTGGATTTGAATGTTTTTTTTTATAAAAGGTAGGACAGCAGTTGGGGAATGAAACTGGGAAAAAAGATTGCAGAATGAGAAGCAGCAAAGGGCTGCCAGTTATAACCGAACTCTGGCTGTAGTCTCTCTAGATGGGGTGCATGATTTTAACTGCTAGCCAAGACCGATTTCTCAAACCAGTTTATTTTTGAGATTGTTTGGATGTTTGTGTCAAATTTAAAGAAAATCCCTTTAGGTATATCAATCACTCAACATTGGATTTCTGCTAATATCCCACAATTCCACATTTATTTTGGCTGATACCAATATAGGTGTCTTATGTATACAACATTTTTTATCATGGTGAGGAATACCATGCTGGTCATTCACTAAAGCTATTACTGACGATATCAATATCATGTTGATAACATCCTCCAACCCTATTTACTTACAAAAGACTTGTACTTGTACAACTTGAACTCAATATATGTGTCAATAGCCTGTTGCATTAAAGTAATGTTGATCAAATAGTTTAAAGGGAACAATATGACATGTTGAGGTACTTTTCTGTCTGAAGGTCCTTACACAGCTGGACCGTTTTTGTTGTGCGATTATTTCGGACATCAATATTTTTTTTCGAACTCGTATCCTGTCAATAAAAGCGTTCACATCAGCGACGTTTTCCTGATCTACATATTGCTGCATTTATTTTTTCGAATCATGGTCAATTTTTCCAAAGTTTCGCATACTGTGTGTCCACTTCTGACCAATCAGATTTCGTGTTGTCGCAACGTCAGATTGATTGATTGATTTATGATCATTTACACATTACAAAGATAATGACCTGAAGGACAACTTGTGGAGAGTGACAGCTTCAGTATTTTTGATATGACGATGTTTTGTGTGCTTTTACAGTTTGCTAAATGACTTTGTTTTAACTTTCACCTGTGCTAACATAAGCTAACGGTTGTTACCATAGTTTCCAAGCTTATCTGGTACTGGCCCTGACTCAGTATTTGCTATCATGACAGAAAGCCATCTCAACACTAGTGTCTAGTGCAGGTGTGGGCAATTAATTTTGACACGGGGCCACATGAGAAACCTGAACTGCTCAGGTCTGGTCTAGTGTGTAGTCCTCTGCCTCTTCAAACTTGGAGCTAACTGTTTTAGCAGAACTTCAAATTGTCCAACGAACATCCGAAAACAGGTTCTGAGGCGACCATGGTACAGTTTCAGCTCCTGAACCAAGCAGTGAAACTCACCAAGTTCTCTATTTTTTTTCTTGTAATATTGGATGCACCCATGTGCTACGTTTATTTTTCTTGTGAGAAAGCAAAGGGAGCACCAATGCGCCATCACTTGAAGTTGAAGTAGACTCCCTTTTTGTCCTCTCGCTTCCACCGGGAACGCTGCAGGTTGTTAAGGGAAGGTCCCGCCCTACTTCGCCTCTGATTGGCTATAAGTGCTGACCGTTTAGCTTGAGCGTGTGATGACGTTTCAGCTTTTCTAGCCAATCAGATGCGAAGGAGGCAGGACTTCCCCCGGAAAAGTCGCAAAATCGTATCGGGCTTGATGTGTATAGCCAGTCGTGTCAAAATTTGCCTCCGAATATTTCGTAATTTCGTGTTCTATATTCGCGTCGGCCCCGGTGTATAAGGACCTTAAAGCATAGCCCAGTAATTAAAAATGTAAATAAATGATTCAAAGATCTACTGATGGCTGTATGCTAGTTAGATACACGCATGGAAATAACCTAGATAACTAGTTCTATCTAGTAAAGACGTTCCACATGAATCTCACTGGCGACTGCAGAAGTCTCTGCTATGTTCTCATTTCAGAATCTTACAGTGCCACACCTCATAACAGACACCTGGCAGTGACGCTCTCCTTTCCTTCAATTTGTTTATTTATTTATTTATTGCTCAGGGGGTGGGGGGTGTCAGCCATCACCTGGCACTACAGCCAGACGTGGGTAAAACATTCTAAAAAGCACTGTGTATTTCTGGGATAAGAGAATAATTATGATAATAATGTACATTTTAACAGCATTATTAAATATTTATCTTGAACTGTCTTGTTTGGCGGTTAATGTCTAAATCAAGGTAGGGGGTTTTAGGGTGATGTATTACACGCAAAGCTTTACAGTATAGAGTGTATAAGAGAAGTTGACTCTCCAGTAGGGTCAGAAAGTCTCTGGACCCCTGCTGTGGTCACACTGTTGCTGTTTACATGACCATGCTACAAAAGCCCTGTAGAGCAACAACTAGAAAGAGCTCAGGCTGAATCGTTCCTGCCTCTCTCTACAGGAATTTTCTGTTTTTCCTTTCCATACTGCAGCTGATTAAAGTGACAGACCTCAATGAAAAGGCGCCCTGTATTATGTAAGAAGATAAAGGAATGGTCCTGGTTGTTAGCTTAACCTAACAGCTCGACAGGCGTCTGAGCCGACACGATGTGAGAGGAGACCAAAAGACCATTAAAGGAAACTGTCAGACAGGCTAGAGGTGAAAACCCTGAGAAACTCACACCCTGGTGTGAGAATGCTCAGCTCTCAAAGCACAGTTGTCACGTTTAAAAAAAGCCTTCCTGGTGTGATTTAAGCTGATCTCTCAAGATGGGACTCAATCTTATCCTGTTTTGATGTTGGATCTTTGTAAACATGATGAAGAGTATGCTCTAGACCAGAGATAATATTTGTTGTGATTTGGTGCTATGGGAGGATTCTGTTCTCTATAGAGGAGATGACATGGCCTAGGCTTGTGAAACTGTCTCGGAACATAAAATCAGGATAAAACATTGATTTGTCAAGATTACCCCACAGGATAAGCTCGAAAAATTGTTATGGACAGAGGCCAAACAATCCTATATTAGCTCTGTAACTACATTTACCATAGTAACAGATGTCTTTGCAGGGAAATTTCAAGCTAAAGCATCCTGGAGCGCTATCTTAAGACAACAGCAACAGTCAGTCCTTCCTGATACATTATCCAAACACAAGCAAAGTATTCTGATTATATACATAGAGCTTGTTGAAAATGCTAACACAAACCCAGAGCTTTAGATGAAGGGTTCTTCTGTATGCCTGCAATATTACCGTCTAAAATGGCCAACAAAATCAGTCTGCAGTAAACCACAGCCGAAATATTCAGTTACTAGCAGTCAGAGTGGATGCATGTTAGCTGATTACTTCAAACTGTTTACCTGAGATCAGATCAGCCAGGAATGGTCAGGAGAACAGGACTTGAAGTTTGGCTGAATTGGAAGTCGTGATTGTTTTTTTTTTTTTACCTTGCTTTAACAACTAGCATTAAATCCTGGGTATTGGGCTGCACGATAAATCGATTTTAAATTGTAATCAGATTATTTGGTAATGAGGATGTAAAAAAAATTAAAATCATCAAATCAATTTTCCTCTCAATCATGTTTTGTGCCTCCAGGCCACCTTAGGCTCCCCCCTCCTGTTGGAGTCCTCCCCAGTACCCACGCACACCATTGGAAACATGGCGTTTGTGGCTAATTTTGTGGCTACAAGGGGCAAGAGCAAGTCAGTTGGTATCAACCCGTCCAGACAGAAACGAATTCAGGAGTAAAAGCAAAAGTTTTTTGTTTTATTGGCGTTTCACATGGAAACGGCATTTCGGGTGACTGTAAGCTGTACTTTTTGAAAACAGGTCAGAGAGTGCATAAATCAGTAAATAACTACAATTTCATCTCCGTGTGGATGTTTATCTGCATCTCTCTTTAAACGACTATGTGACACACAGCGTAACTCTTTTATGGCGCCTTTGAGTGTCCGGTCAAAACAACCTTTAAACGCATGCTTTGTACTGTTCTTCTGTCTTTTGTGCATTTACAGCGCCACTTTCTGGCATATGCACTACATCATTTTCAGTGGTTTCGTTTTGAGAGATGATAGAAAAACTTTTTATTTTTAAAGTGAAGTTTAGTGAAGTTGTCACTGAAAAAAAAAAAGAAAATTAAGTTTTCAGAGGGAAAAAAAAATATTTTTGGCCAAAATCAAGCAGCCCTACCTGGGCATCACAGTTATTTAAGTGTCTGGGTATAAATGTAAGGATACACAGTCATGTAGAAAGTGAATATTTATTAGGAACACAGATTTATTATGATTGAAACCTCCTCATCTACTTCACAGAAGATAAGTAAAACGCAGAGACTGGCTTGACTGGCTCTGTGTGTTTTGGTGTGTTAGCTGCAGCAGCTCTGTTGTTCTCTGCTGTGTTGTGTTGACGCTCAAGGGCTGTGTAACCACGTGTGGTACAAAGCTCAGATGGTGAAACGAGTACAAAGAAAAGAGAGGTCTGAATGTAAGAAATGGCTTGTTCAGGAGAAATTGAGCAATTTAAAAATAGACACAACTTCGACAGGGTCCTTCTGATGGAACCAGCACACACAGGCCAAAACAGTTTCCTCGGGAAACAACCACTTGGAGGTACAACAAAGGCTGCACTTCCTGAACATTCATCCTGTTTCAAACCACTCTCAACAGTTTCTCGACAGGAAGCCATCACAATTTCTTTCTGCAGCTGGTGCTTCTGTGAGCTGAGAAACAACTCTGCACCTTGTCAACATAAACACCTCGCTCAAAGCTTGTATTTAACCGACTGGAATCCAAGATGACTTTTTTTTTAAATTACAGGTCGATCTTGTGTATCAGTTGACATACAGTGCTGTCTTCTTTTATGTTAGAGTTCTGTGTGTGACAAGTCTGAACAGACCGTTTGCATGAAGACCTCCGAGCAGAGCTTGGGGAGGTGGTGGGTGGAAACGAATCCTTAAGTGTAAGCAGTTAACTCATAGTGGGTCTCTTCTCTGTGGTGAGTGCTGCAGCAAGAGCTGAGGAACAACACAACAGCAGTGCTGTACCAATAAAATCTTATTTCAGACATTTAAATGGGACACTCCAGTGGTTTTATACATGAAGTCTAATTGGATTTTCATGAGGAGTGCGGCTTAATCTTTGAAAACAGCTTTGTAATGTTTGTGATTCTGGAGGGGGTTAAGCAAGTAAATAAATAAATATACAGAGGATGATATCAGAGTTTGCCAGGCTGGGGATGAAAGACAAGGAGAAAGCAAATCACTCAAGACAAAGGAACAAAGGTCCACCATCACTACACCTTGATACTGACACACTGGACCCCACAACGGCATAGTACTGGGTGATTCACACTGCATTACTAAACTGCATTACAGTGTATGTAGACCAAACAAAAAGCTTTAGGAAACCTGATCAGCTGTTTGTCTGTCAGAAAAATTATACTGCATCTGACTTGCAGCCAGCTGAGAACGACAGATATTCTGGCTACTGCTGCTTTGATTTTCACTATTCTGTTTAAATCTTTCTTTTCCATTTTTATCATTCAGGCTAACAGAGAAGCGACTCTGGATCACTGAAGGATCACTCAACAAAAAGAAATACAAGGTCAAACATGAACCAGTCAAAATAAGTCTGATTCAGTGATGAGTTTCTATGGCTGCAGGCTGAATACAGGCTGCCCAAGTATGATTGCTGACCAATTTTCTATTTTTTCTTGGTTTGATCTGCATAAAATAAGCATTTGCCATCAGTGATTTAGATGATCTTTTGTCTCTCTTTGTTCCTACCCTATGATAACTAACGGCACCGTACAACTGCTTTGCAAGAGGGAGTGGGAGACAGAGAGGGAAAGAGGTCCTTGAGTAAATCTTACCTGTTGATGCACTGATTGAGGAGCAATGTCTCATGTTAGATAAAAACCCTCTCATACCTCCTCTTACAAGTTATGTGCAGATGCTTGTTGCCAAAGATGAAAATGAGTCTGAAATGTGTCTTCATTGTTAACCGAGTATGAGGAATGCTAGTATTTTCAGCAGGCTTTTATTTAGACTTACATGTGGTCTCTTGAGAACCTTGTCTTTTTATAAACCAGTCAGTACAGAAATATATGTTGCTGATAATCTTTGAGAGTGAAAGATTAAACTAAAATGAAGTCTGTAATTCTGTTTGCTGTCAGTAAGTGTAGAAAGGAGTAAATGCAGAGGGTATTTATTTTCATATCTTTGACACTACTGTGATTCATTTTTACGCAATCTAGTCTTCTGGTTAAGAAGAAAAACACGGGGAGTAATTCTGCATCAATTGCTTCTTATGAATATTTAAGGCCAGCAGCATAGAGTAAGACAGCAATGAATATTCAGCACCCCTGAGATGGTATAATATGGTTTAGGACAAGAAAAATCTGGGTTGGGTCTATATACACTGACTCTCTCTTTTATATCTTCTGTACACTCTGTCTGCATGCGCTCTGATTGGTCTTTTGTTCTCCTCCCCTTTAATGAGGAATGGCCCCGAATGAATGATGTCTCTCTTTATGTCTACATGAGCAGTCAGCAAGCAAACGGCTCAGCCATGGTTTCTGATCAGCCGTGCCTAAAGTGACCACATTCAGCTTGGGGAGCTCGCCTCTCACTTATGATTCCTTCAGCTGCATCAGAGGAACGTGCATGTCTGCAAACCCTCCTCCCCCCAAGACCTAACAGTTACATAACAAGCCCTTTACTGCCACACACGGGCTCTATCAAAATCCCTGAACCCCCAGGACTTCAATGTGATATTCATGCATTGAGGGCTTTTGTTGGATGTTAGCTGTCATCCTAAATAAAGCTATCAAGAACACCTTAAATGAGCCAGAAACGTCCCCGACTTTCTGAAATGTCAGCAGATGAATAACTGTATTCTGTCTCTAAAAGGAGAATTATCCATTCAAACACAGAGACATCCACATGTCTAATTAGGATGCGAGTCTGCATAAGGGCAATCTATGAAGGTGACCCTGAAACATGCATTTTACACATGCAACAGTATGCACAATATCCTGTATGCAACAACACAGTGCAATGAATAGGCAAGTAACAGTTTAAGATACTGCAGGCCACAGATTCTATAAATGATTGAGCAGCCAATGGACCGACTGAGACTGCACAATAGTTCAAAGGAAACACATCACAAGAGTCGCTATTAATCGCAAGAAATATTTTATGCCAACGACCAGTTTGTACACATGTTGATGTATTGGAAAGAGGCCTCGGCTATGCTTTTACATTATTTTAAAGCAGTCCAACGAAGCTTCATGAGGGACAGAGTCAGACATAAATACTTAGTCATAGTTTATATGAACACATTATCTGTTACACATTAAATTATAACCAAAACATTGGATGATGCAATCAGATATATATATATATTTTTTATATGAGATGCAAGCCTTGTCCAGACAAAAATATATGATGGTGTAGTATATAGCTGGATGATGTTAAAGTAGGGCTGCAGTAATCAAGTATTTCAGAGATTCCATTTTTTTTTTTAATTACCCTGTCAAATAAACAGGTAATCTAAGAAGAAAGCTATTATTCTCCTAATACATATATCCCTGTTATGGTAATTATAAAAGATCGTCTTGTTGTTAAATTGTCTGGACCAATAGTCTGGACACATCCCTGTAAAGCTGCTTGGAGGAAACAGTGAGCTCTGAATGCTATCAGCCTGTCAAGTTTGCTCAACAGAAGGGACAACATGAGGAACCTTCACCACTCTGCTAAGCAGTGTTGTTCATCAGCCTAGAAAACAGGACACCTGTGAAGCCAACAGACCAGCTTGACAAAAGTGGAGGTTCCACTGATGAGAGGGACCCCACTCAAACTTCTCTAGACTAAACCAGCTGTGGAACTAGTGGCCTGGGCTTTTTGGCTTGGGATGCTCCAATCCAACTTTCTGAGTTCCGATACCTATGCTTGAGTTTTGGTATCAGCTGATACTGATACTGAACCAATACCAACACAAGCATTGAATTGACAACCTTTATTCTTTTATATAAGGGTGAGACTAGAAATTATGAATAGATCGAAATAACTAGATTAGCCACAGGATCGGCCCTTTGTCACTGATGCTGATCAGTCTTTTTAGGTCAGTATCTGGCCAATACCTGATACCAGGATCAGGATCAGTGCATCTCTTGTTTGATGTGCCACTGGATGGAAACACTGAGTAACATTAGCCTATTGCTAATCTTACAGCAACTATCAATTCCAAACAAAATTGCCCAGAAGCTTTGCTACTGCATGTGTTATAACCTCTCTACTAACTGTGATGAGTCAAGAAGCTTTTAGCTCCGGTTGCTGGATTGATTGCATTGTCTCAATGAGCTGCTCCAGGCATCAAAGGTGGCAGAGACCACCTCTTCTGGGTGATCTTTTGTTCTGCATCAGAGTGCAACTACTGTGTTAACATACGTCAAAACCATCTGATCAACTTCTCCCAATGATCCAGGTGGGAAAGGAGCTAAACACTCATTTGGGCTAACCCAGGAATCCCACTGGATCCGGAACCCTCCTCTCCGGACCAGCAGGCAGATCAAATACAAGCATACAGCGCCCACCGGATCAGATCTGCCACCGCCATCACAGGAGAAGCGCTTGCGAGATTACAGATATCTCCCGTAGGACTGGACGAGATCCCACAAGATCTTGCGTGTTTCCCCTTGAGACATTGAATCAGATCCGCTGATCGGTGTGTATAAACAGTGGTGTATATAAACACCCACATCCCACAACCCTGGCCTCTCCTATTATCAAGTGAAGAACAGTTTAATGTATTGACTTTATTCTATTTTGAAAATTAACCGGATATTTTACTCTGTAGCTGCATTCAACTTCCGCTGCTGCTCGTGCTGCAAGCACTGAATTGATGCACCATACTACCGAATCCGGCAAAAATTGAAGCCTTGCGTATCTGATCTGACCACTGGAGCTGATCCGCAGCGGAGCCGGACGGCAGACGAATTGTGTGGAATCACTCACACTGATTATAATGCTTGCGTATTTGATCCACCTTCCGTGCCGGAGTGGAGCGGAGCTGTTTCGAATCCTGTGGGTTTTAGCTGTAACAGTTGTCTGCTATGCACAGGTTCATTTTTTCTACTTCTACAGACAAATGGCACTATTTTGCCATTCGGAGCCAACTCCCTGATATTGCCTCATACATGGTTGATCCAATTTCCATTCAAAACAACTCAGCAGGGAAAGTTTGCTGGGTGTAAACAGTCTTTCACTTTCAGTTATACTACATTATATATTGATGCATGTACATGCCAGCAAACATAAATGGGTCATGCAGCATATCTTGATAACTCCTCTGCTCAATGAAGATTTATTAGCCTGCGGCAATAAAAAGAAAAACAACTTCAACTTGAGCACTATCCTATCTCTGCTTGTCTGGGCCTCAAGATTTTTACCACACACAAACAACATGGTGATCAATCAATACCTCTACACTCGCTTCCTTTATACCAGTGCAAAATAGACCTATAAATCTTTTATGCATGCATTTCCCCCTCGATGTCAACAGAATGATATACCACTCTTGGAGTTCTCAGTCAGCTATATAATGCTGTTCAGTCATACACAATCAACTGTGCACACAGAAACACAAACACACACACTCCTCTATTGAATTCAGCAGCCTTTGTGAGATCTGTGAGACGAGTTGTGAATGAGAGGCATATCTAATACCCTTCTGATTTCCCATTCTTCTTCAAATAGGCCACTCGTTAATTAAGAGATGAAAAAACTTCAAACACATGCTCTTGAGTTGGAGTGGCACATCAAACGGGAGAATCACAGTGGCCTGCTTTAGAGAGGGCTTTGGTCCAACAGGACCATTACCCTGCACATATCTCATACGCAGTTCCTGGAGAGGATAAAAGGAGTGTGTGTGCAGGGCAATCATAGGAGATGTCAACAAATATGAAAGGTTCTGAGGCTGTATTTCAGCTCTGATGATCAAAACAGTTAATCCCGTGTTTCCATAAAAGTCATCCATAGTGTGATGGAAATACTAGAGATGGTTGGCGGCTAGACCATCTCTGTATAAAGCTAGCCCTTGAAAATGCTGGTGAATTTCATCCTGAATCCCACCAGGCAGATGAAGGTGAATATGTGCATGGTTCATAAGTTTCAAGGCACAGAGAGGTCTTTCTGTGGTTGAAGAAACATCAATAACAAGTTGGACTGTAACCTGTAAAATTCTTTGAAATCTTACAAATATATTTACAAGGTTTGAGTAAAAGGCCATCTTTCCCTTTAACATTGACTCCCTTCGGCACTTTTTTAAAACCCACCCTCTACATCTGTCTCTTACCTTCAATGCTGAGTTCAAAGCAGACGTGGCAGAAAGATAAGGTCCCTGTCTCGGTCTCTAGCTTACAGACACTGCAGATATTGTCGTCATTCAGATCAATGCTCACAAAATTCTCCTCCTCATCCATGCTGCCCCTGCAAATCAAACAATCAGTTAGAGAGCCCATGGCTACATACCAGTGTACAGCAACAAAGCTCAGTTAGGCTAATAAGAATAAGAAGAACTGGCAGTTTGAATCAAGTCACTGGTATGTGGTTGGTGATAGGGTTGTGGTTGGTGGTAATGAGTTACTAAGATACTTATTAAACATGTATTTCTGGATAATATCACAGGAAGGATAATTTTTGGTTGAGGTTGTTATTGCGACAGAATAAAGTTAATGAGGTAGTGTTGAGATTGAAATGTCTGCTGTGTTATCAGTTTCACACCATGCAAACTGATAGAATGTTGGGCTGGCATTTCACAGTGGAACAGGACAGTCTCTACCCACTGTGTCTGACCAACTTGAGGACCCACATGTGAGGTCACCATCAAATTCATCATATACATCTCGTAACAACAGGTACAGCTATGGACTAAATCAAATGCCTTAAGTTTGGAGCCATGTTCAAAATCAATATGATTATTAATAATAATGATAATTAGGAATTTACACTGACTGAATAAACACTGAATATGTTCACCAAGCTGTGGCAAATACATTTGTCCAGCTTTATAATAAGAAGTCTCCATTAAGCCTACGATGTCTCATCTGTCAGAAAGCAGAGCTGTTATTGATATCTTGAGTTCTAGTGTCCGCCTGTTGTCTCTCTGAATATCAGTACAATAGTCTAACATGAGTTACACCTGACACAGCGTAGAGCTACCAGCTGAAAAAGTCCACCAACCACATACCAGTGACTTGATTCAAACTGCCATCGAGGAAATGCAGGACCAGTGGCATTTTCCTCGGAATTACGTGCATGCCAGTGTGACTGCACCACTCTGAAACATGACTTGGAATTACTGCAGTGATTCCCACAACATTTTGGGGTTGTGCAGTACTGGCAAAAACAAGTACCTTGCTACTTTGGGGGAATTTGCCAAAATCAATAATTGACAATTTTTTTCCATCCCTCATAAAGGTTTTAAAAATTCAAAAGGTTTTAAAAAGACATGAATTGTTCTCACTCACCCTTGTTAATTACATGACATGCTGTTATTGATATCAATAAAAACAACTTATCTAAGAAAAACAGGTCTTATCTATTTAAAACTGAGTCACTCGAGTAAATGTGACCTCCAAAGTTTGCTGAATGTGCTTCTGTTTTGTCGCTAAATCAAGGTTGAATATAGATAATCAGAGTTTTTCATATTCTGTGCCGAGGTTAATTTGAAGATGATAAAACACATTTAGTGGTTCATATCGCACACCTATGTATGTTGGACAGCAGCCAGCCAATATTGGATGGGCTACCTGATCACTGACACCTTTTTGTGTATGTTAAAGGAAAAGAGCATTATTGTGTCCATATATCCAGTGTTTTGGATGGTTTAAATCAACCTCAATTAAAGCCAAGCTTTGCCATGAGATTAAATGCAAAGTAAAAACCAGAGGACAGCAGCTGAGGACCTATTTTGAAAAAAACTAGGTTTTCAAACAAAACATACTGCATCTCTTTTGTTGCATCATGAACAAAAAAACTGTACCTGTGGTGCTACGGGTCACCAGGATGGGTTACAAAGGTCATATTGTTTCCTCAGTCACTATGGTCTTGACTAAACGATAAAACACTTTCCTCATCCTAAATTCAAACACACAGTATCTCAAAGTGACTGACTAGTGTTAGACATACACTGCGCTGTGGTGTGCTGAATAGTACAGTTTCATATCATCATGTTCTGAAAACTATAAGATAACTGAATGAATTTACCTGTCTCATGAATTTGTTAAAAATGTTTCTAGAACATAAACAGACGAAACAAGCATGTCTTCTCAATCCTACTGAACAATAGAAATGTGTTTGTATAACTTTATTATTGATTTTGTATTTTGTTCTATTGTGATTATCATAAATGACAGGGCAAATCCAGAGGTAATGTAAATTTGTGATACTAAATTAACTGTAATTTTTAAAAATCTGCGATATCTGCTGAATATTTAGCAGCACCAGATGACCCGCTCTCTAAATATCGGCATTACAACCAACAACAAACTATCGATCGACAACTGTTCGAAAGGGTTTTCAAATTGTACTTATGACTGATTATACAGTGTTTTCGAGCTGTAAGTGATATTTGATTTATAAGGTGATAAATATACAGAGTTTTGTCAGTAGACAGGTGGCGGTGTTAAGGAAGAATAGCCAGTGGTACGTTCAGGAAGCTCCACTTGCGTTTGAACTTTTTACCACTAGATTGGCATTGACAATTCAACCATCGGCCGCTCTTTTTCTCCTTGATAACAGTTACAAACATTTATCTTTTTAATGCTAATGCCTGTTGAATGTGGGCTCGGCTCTAATAGGTCAGCTGTGACCCCAGCGTCCGTTCACATACCGTTAAACAAATGCTAACAAGAAGTTAAGCTAGCAGCTCACTGAGGTAACGTGAACTGGTCAGGCTGATTCGTGACCGTTATTTTCCGATGTAAAACAGAGGGCTATCCAAATACAAGAGGATGTCACCAGGCTTCAAATACAACACTTTAGGAAACTTACCAGTATATGCTCAAGTATCTTCTTACGGGTAATCCTCAAGTGTGGGCACCTTGGTTCTCCTTCGCCAGGGTGAGCACACAAACATCAGCGCGTCATGGTAAAACCCATAGACGCTACAGGAGCTGCTCCCCCCCCTCACAGCGGAATGTACCACTAGTTTAGGAGAGGGGTGAAACAAAATAAGCACTAGTGTAAATGTGATCTGTTCGGCCTCTATTTACGACAGTTAGAAGGAAAATATTCATTAACTATGTAAACTTCATTTTTTGAAAATAGGTATAGTACATTTTTTACCATACAAGTCGCGTCTAATAGCTTTAGCCGTCCACACACCCCTACGCTTAAGAGTTAAGTAGTTCTAACGTCATCAAAACATTACTTTAACATGATGTTTGGGCACCAGTTAAAGTACCCGCTAATAAAGTCACTGTTGTATTTACAGTTGTATATTACAGTCGACCCGTATTTCCCCATTTTACGTGTAGTTATTTAGGCACTACATCTTCAACAAATATGGATCAATCATGGGTAAAACTCTCTTTGTGTTTTCATTCTTCACGTGAAAAGACACGCGGGGAATTCCCGCGACAGATTGAGAGACACAGCCATTAATAGTTTGGGCAGTTTCGTTTTCTTTGCTCCACCGGATTAACCCGGACTATTACCCATCTTGAAGAATTACACCTGATCGATTTAGCATACTTAAACTGTGGCAGAAATGAGGAGTAATATTGGCTCCCTTACTCTGTTGCAACTTGTTACCCTTCCAAAACCAATTACGTGATATTTAATTCATAAAACAATATTTGACAGCCTGTGAATACAAGAGTACCCCACAAATGAACGTCTTTTACCTTAGGTCACTTCTTGGTTTGTGAGGGTATTTCCAAATGACCTCTACTTTATTTTATAATCCCCCCAAATCATCCTGTGTTCATAAAAATAGATTTGGGTGGTTTGCAAATCATTGAGACTCTGGTCACCGAAAATACAGCAAAGATTTCATATGTTGAAAATGACAAAATGTATTAATATATTTTTGCTTTCTGTTGCCTTTATTTTATTTTATTTTTGTTTGTCTTGCTTCTGAGGATTTTTTAAAACTAATTCTTAAATGTCCTTTTTTGACTGTCATGGACATAATCTTTTTTTCACTCTTTATTGTAGAGCTTTGAATTTCCTTGCTGCTGACTTATCTTTCAATGCTCCTGTGAGGATCTTGTTGTCAATGTGGACAAAGCAATCTTTGTTTATCTTGTCCTTCATATGCTTTCACAGTGTCCTCTGACAAAAGTCCTCATCCTGCTGACTTGACAGTCAAATGTACTTACTGTGAGTATTTAGTGTGGGAATTGTAAAACTGGGCTGTTTTTTCAGCTGCTCCACCGAAACCCACCCCCTCAAAACTAATTGTCCATCTTCTTTCTGATTGTCTTGTTTGCTTTTTGCATACCATAAAAATGCATATGAATTTCAGTCTATTTTATAAACATCTAAAACTCCTCATGGGAAGCTTTCAATAAACCTGTCTTGCCTAATATCTAGAAATGTAATGCAGCTCTCCACCACTTGTGATTTGTAACTGCTAGTAAAACTTGGATTTATAAGCACAACAGTGTATGAGTATGAGCAGTGTATATTTAACAGCTGTCTACTGAGAATTTAGTATGACTATGCTGCACACTTTCATAAAACCACAGAAAGACTGATGCAGTGATTTTTTTATTGTCATACTGTTTTCTATGTAATATTTGTGATAGTCATAATTATTCAACTGGATGTTTTTGTACTATACACAAACTTTTCTAGAAATACCGACACATTTTCTTTGCTGGGTGTCTACATCGATCATAAAGGGTTCTGAAATCACCCATCAAGTTCAAGCCTCTGTAAACCTTCAGCCGCAGTAAAGGAAGCCCGCTGTGAGCTACATCATTTTATTCAGGATGTTATTCATTGATTTAAATAATTCTGCCTACAGTCATGTGCTGTTATATTTCAGGACTAAAGCATTATTAGATGACAAATAAAACAATGACAAACGACTGCAAACAATCAGAGAACAACACTGACGGATTGCAGGAGTCCTCACCCTGACAGGCATTTCTTAAAATTTGCTGACGACACAGTCTCAGTCAGTTTTGTCCTGGATGGACAGGTCGTCCATGGGCCAGTTACGACCGACTTTGTATAGAGTGATCCAACAACCATTTCCTCAAGTTAAACATGCAAAAACAAAGAACGCGGTCATCGACTTCAGAAAGACACCACAACCAGCTCACCCAACTATTATCAAGGGTACAGCAGTGGAGATGGTCCAATCCTACAGATACTTGGGATCAGTGGCTGATGAAAACCTGACTCATGACCTCAATACCTCAACAATCTGCACCTGCATAGACTTTACTTAGCAATCTAAAATCTTTCAACATTGATAAAACCTCAATGGTTTTATTCTATAGATCTTTTTTTTGAGTCATTTCATTTTCATTTTATGGAAACTTGTCTGTCAAAAACATGAATTGTCTGTTCAAAATCATGCAAGAAGCCAATAAGATAATCGGCATGCAGCAGCTCTCTCTCTCAGACATGTTTGACAGATGAGTCCTACAGAAGGCTCAGTCAGTCCTGTCCAACTCCAATCACCCTCTGTTATAGGAATTTATTTCCCTCCCATCTGGACAGAGATATAAAGTAACTAGGGCATGAACAAATAGGTTTAAATTTTCTTTTATCCCATGTACAATCAATTTGCTACATTCTCAATTGCCCTGCTCTGGTGGTATTATATAGGATGATGTCAGGTTTTTACTCTCCTGACTTCTTCTATATTCTTTAAGACTCTTGAGATTCTTTTATTCTCCTATTATACTCCTTTATTTTTTTATACCCTTAGATTTCCTTTTTTTTCTTTGTCTAGGGATGTTCCTGTCCAGTTGTTTGGTCTTGTGTGCTGAGATGTTGTTCTGTGCCTGTCTTTATTCATTGTTGTTTTCGTGTTGATTGTACTGCCACTGCAGATCAAATTTTCCCTAAAGGACAATAAAAGCGCTGAACTGACCTGAGCTGAACTGACTAGGATCTATTTCCAAAGAAAACCAAACAAAACAAAGAAGGTCATTCCTTTGCTTCAGACTGTGACTGATTTTGTGAAGCCTGTAGCCAGTTCTTGTAAAGACTTTGCGCCATCTGTTGGCCAAAGAGCAGCAGTACAACTGACTCCAAAACTTAGGTCTGCCTTGAGAGAGGAATGGGAGAAAGGACCCACGGCAAGGGTCGCAGACCTAAAAGAAGCTGCTAAACCAGAGGAAATGAAATACGATTTTTGCATTCCCTCTACTTTTTAATGTATTTGTGCAAAAAATTCATGAAGAGAAATAGTAACACATGAAAGCGGTATGTTCCAAGTTTGGTACTGTAAATCTTGCTCTCCATATACTTTATGTTCTGTAGCAGAAAGCAGAAAAACATCCAGTAAACCAGCTGCATGCCCACATTTTACTGCTTGTGTTAGTCAAAGCTGAGTTTGTGAGTCCCTCTGGCTTATCTGGCATCTGTGTAGACAATACGTCATTGTTCCTGTAAATCATACAACTACTCAGAGAACATATGTTATGTTAACTGCCCAAATAAACGCTTAGAGAAAATCCTGAATGAACAGCTGAGAAACACCACTCCATTACAGAGTCAGAACAAATCTTTAAACTAATGCTAAAACATGATAATAAACCTTTCTACCATCCAAATAAGTAGACAGCATGATGCACCATGATAGTGTCTCTACAGGTTTGACTTGATTTGTAAATGTGAACACATCTATTTATTGCTGAGCTGGATTCATCTGTGCCAAGACTGATGTCATGTGAGCAGATCCTGACACGTACCAACGCTGCTCCACTAACACACAAGACATACAGGACAGAGAGACACATGCTGACACAGTAGCAGCACACTGATTACTATGAGGTGATATGGACAGGGTTTGGGTTTGCAGATCTTTTTCAAGTTTGGTGATTAAATAGCAGACTTGACTTCTCGAGGACACTTAGGCTGCCTCCCTGGCTAACAGTCAAATAATAAACTATGTAAATGCCTGAAGGAGCCTAGGAAGGATAGAAATCAGGACATTTTAGCTGCTGTTAATGCTGTGATGGTTAATTAGTAAAACTGAAAGTGTTTATTTGTTAAGTCAACTCCACCCACATAATTCTGATCCTACAATATCTCACTGTATTTCACCATATTAGTGCATTGTGTCCTATCATATCATATCAAATCATATCAGATGAGCTCATATTGTTTTTATTTATATATTTTGATGATACATACTATATTCCACTGTGCTGTTTTGTGTAGTGCATCATTATATATTGTTTATTGTAGTTTTATCATATCACATCACATCACATCACATCACATCACATCACATCACATCACATCACATCATATCATATCATATTATATCATATCATATCATATCACATCACATCACATCACATCATATCATATCGTTCTCCATGCATGTATCTCTTCCAGACTGGACTTGTGTAATTTACTTTATCCTGGCATCAGTGAGTGTAACACCCAAAGACTGCATTTACTTCAAAATGCTGCTACCAGACTTTAACACATAGTAAGAGAAGCATTTGTTTAACACCAGTTCTTGTTGCTCTTCACCGGCTCCCTGTGAGTTTCAGTTTACATTTTAAATTGTACTGCTTGTTTTTAAAGCCTTAAATGGCTCCAGCCTATACTCGTGAGCTGCTAACTCCTTCTGAGCCTTAGCATAGCATGGGGTCTTCTGGCAGGGCCCTTGACATGGTTACCAAATCTCAGCTAGTCTCAAGAGGTGACTGACTGTTGCTCCACAAATGTCCTCCTTTAAATCTCTTATCAAACCCTATTTCTATCATTTGGCCCACTCTTTATAATAATAATAATAATAATAATGCATCAGATTTCATATAGCGCTTTATCAGAGACCCTCAAAGCGCTTTACATTGGATACATCATTCATTCGCTCACACAGTCACACTCTTGATCACTGACTTTGAATAAAGCTTGTGTTACCTTATATTGCTGAAGGTTTTTGGATCTTAGATATTT